ATTGTACTACAGTATTCACATGAACAAGTGAATGCCAAAGGCTTTTGCATGACTGAAGTTCTCAGGATAGAAACACAGGTCCTATAGAGAAGAAGATGCATTAGAATCTTGCCAAATACAACTTCCAAATACAAGGTATTGGAGTCCTTTTAGGATATTTTAAACACTTCTGTTGATCTGCACTGTTCTTGTATCATACTTGAGCTTGCTATCAATCTAATAAAACTGAATGTTAGTGAAAACGATGGGAAGATATTTTAATCACTTCCTCCATTGCCTTTCCTTCCCTTCTGCTTTTTTATTAGGCAAGATGGAGTGATACAATGCTCTTTATCTAATGAGGATAGAGCTGCAAGGTGCAAAGTGACTGGGTCTGAAAGCTGAAGCCTTTTCAGCAGACTTGGGCCACCTGGTGTGAATCAGCTGATGAACTTGGCTGGCCTGTCCTTGGCCATACATTATGCTATAGCTGGCTTTTAAGCTCTCTCCTTCAAAATAATGCTTGGCTGTTAATTATGTGAAGGCAAGCACACCATGGAGCTATCTGGGCAGATTTCATTGCTTACTCAGCCTACCCAAGATCACTCCTGTGTTTTCTCTTCATACTAAAGAACAAAACCTACTGTTTGGCATTGCTATGGTTATGCTCCAGTTAAGCTGGGCTTTGTAGGAGCCTATTGCATAGGCTGGATTGGCCTCTGGAAGTTTTCCAGCGTGGATTTTGAGATATGGTGCCCTCAGAATGCACCCTCTTTGTAAAGTATGAATGGAAGGCATCACTTGAGCTAAAAGCATTTCAGCAAATATCTTCATAATGGTTTTGGGAAAGTACTGATGGCTTGATTTTGAAGAGAGATAGGCAAACAGTTAGCTGTGCTAAATATTTCCAAAGCTTTCAGGAGACCATTCATGGCAGAAAAGTTATGCAAGTAGCTTAAACACTTGCAGAATTTCATTGTCAATTCTAATGTTTAATTTTAACAACTTATCCTGACTCCCAGTTAAACTGTAAGTAGTGCAATATATGATACAGCAACATATAATTAAAATTGACTTTATCTAGTGTGGCAAAATTCACTAACATCTTTTCCTTGTGTACAGATTTTTTTTATAACGTATAGTAATGAAGGGGAAAGGTGGGGGGAACAAGATGGTTGTGTTTCCATCATTCAGTAAGTCCAACGCTCCTGTTATCTCACAGAATATCACATGCATGGCACTCCTCAAATGATGAAAAGCACAGTTCTGCACTGGTGGAAACAATCTGCCCATTTAGCTGGAAAAAATCTTCAGTGACACAACCATACGAGACCTGTGCACTGAATAGCATTAGCTATGAGCAGCCTCCCCAGTGGCACATTTCAATCAATTCTTGCCACAGTGTTAGCTGTGTGGATTTTGTGTTGGCAAGGAGCTGTGTTTTGGCTCAGCCTTAGTGCAGCAGACAAATTTCTTGATGGAACTTCCCATTACCTTCGATAATACAGCTGGATTGTTTGTGGGATTCTCTGGTACCCATTTGTTTGCATGGATGGAATGGCTTGCTTCCCTGGCAGAAATCTGGTGGTCTTGCTGAAATTCAGCATGTGCAAGGATGGAAGCCTTCCTTGTTATCCCTGCAGAGCTTGTTGGACGTGTTTAAATGCTGGAGACCTTTCAGATGAGAATATCCCAAACCAGTAATCTTGACTTTTCCATTATGGCTCTTTGTTTCTTCTGCTTTTTAACCTGTGAAATAAGATTAAATTCCTGCAAGAGACTTTTCTGGGCAGCACAACGTAGATATGTGCTGTGCCAGCCACCAAGTAGGAAAGTTTGGGAATCATCTTGTACAAGTCGAGCTGATCATCAAAATGAGCACTCATTATCTTAGGGAATCAACACCTTTAATCCTGTTGGATTCTTTATGATTAAAAGCATGAAGTAAATACAATGCTTTTTTTCCATGTAGAACTACAAGTGTTTCTCTGCAGAAGTGTGTGATAGAGACAAAGATGTGATAAAGACATGGGGCTAGAATTCACTGTGACAGGTAACGAAAAGGAATTCTTACTCTATTAGCAATTGATTTTCAAATAACACATTAAAAATAAGAATTAGTCACTTTTTTTGTATCCCATGTAATTATTATTATTTTTTTTTAAGCAACCCAGTTCGTCTTTCTCTTTGCATTTTTACGTTTAGTCACACGATAATTTTTTTAGATGCTGACAAAGGGAGGTACATAGGATGAAGAGGAAGTCCTTAATAAAGGTGTATTGCAGTGAGATAACTCACTTTGAAGGCTTTTGTGAAGTTCACAAGGCATGGAAGGTCTTTGGAATTACATTATTGTTGTTAACGTGGTGAGAACAAGAAAAAAATGTAGGGTAGTTAAAAATACACAGAAACAGGACATCAAAGGAGTCGGAATGGCTACTCTCATTTAGACAAAATGATGTAAGTAGGCTAATTTTAGCTTTCTCTAGAACGACTTTCGTGTTCAACAGTTTCTATAAGCTGAAAAGTAGCATAAATGCTGAGCAATACGTTGTAAGTGAGCTGGTGCTGGGAATTACTGTGACCTTACTGAATGGTTGGTTTCTTTCTTCTGAATACTGAAAGACCACGATGTCTGAAAAAGGAAGTGATAAATGTGTGTTAGTTCCCTATATGCTTTCCTGACAGGCAGAAAGAGCGAGTTCAGAATGGAAAGCAGCATTCAAGAAATGGGACATTGCAGCAAACTCTCAGCTTGAAAGATCTGTAGCTTTCCCAGTTGTTTTCCTGGATGTGAGAACCTACCCAGCCAGGCACTATCCAAATGCTAGACTTACTTAGAGCCCAGACAGATTTATTTCATCTGTATATTGCTCTTTCTAAGAACTCTGATATTTTATTTTGTAGACTGTCAGCTAACATTTTTTTTCTCATGTTATAGAGGCAGAGTAAAACAGGCTAAGAACAAAAACCTGAGGAATACTTAATTTAACTGCATAAAAAATGCAACATTTTGTCTTTAATCCAAGTGGAAGTACTCTGAGGACACTTGGCCAAAAGCTGAGCTCTGCTGTCAGAACAGCAGCTAACTGCTGATATGTTATCAAGACTGCAGTGCAATACATTGGGTGTTTTATAGTCTTCATAGTACTTCATTTTACATCACACTTCCTCCTGCTGTGATTTCAATATGTACAGTAGGAAGGAGGAATAAACTCCAGATTTTTTTCTTTTTTTTAACAGAGGATGCTGGCATTTCAGCAGACGTAAATCGAAAGTACCTGTTATCAAACCTAAATGCTTTATGTTGAAATGGAATTTACCATACTTCATGCACATTGCTTCTTGCCATCCCACCAGGCATCACTGAGAAGAGTCCACTTGTGTCTTTATTCCACCCCACCAGGTCTTTATACAAACAAATGAAATCCCTCTGAGCTTTCTCTTTCCAGACTGCACAGTCTCAAATATCTCACTCTCTCCCTGTAAGACAGATGCTCCAGTCTTCAGATGCTCCTTAATCATTTTAGTATCTTCAGTAGACTCCCTCCACTATGTCCATATCTCTTACAAGCTGGGTAACCCAAGACTGGAATCAGCACCCCAGGTGGGTTTCACTGCATTGGGCTTACCTGGATTTTGGAAGCAGGGGGGCACAGGGGAGCCCCCCATCAGGAGAGAGCCCTGAAGATGCCCCATGTCATGGTCATTTCTCAGGAATTTAGAGGAAGGAATAAGAGCCTGTAGCCCCTTCCCAAACACAATGTGCCATCACTCCGCTGAGCACATGGTGCTGTTGCTTTTGTCAGGAAGGCAGAGCTGTGAATAGCAATGTTCATGCTTACATTTCTTTATCAGTACGTGAATACAATCAGTCGTATTTACCATTGTGCTCCAATTGTTTGCTCTTCTCAGTGGCTGCTTTGATAATTCCTGATTCTGTTGCTGGACCCTGCCCTTTTGTCTTTTCTTCCTTTCTTCTAGCAGTGTGAACCTTGCAGAAAGCGGACTTGTTATTTCCTTTTGTTTCTACACACAAGACTTGTTTTGCTGCAGGAGAAAAGTTGGAATATACCATCAGGAATCATGAATTATTTCAGCTGTTATTTGTTTGCTGTTTGTACCGTAGTCAAAATGAGCAGACAGGTAAAGCTTGGGTGAAGTGCACTGAATGGAATATTAGACCAACAAACGAGCTGGCCTGTATGTGAGGAGGAAAAACTACAGAACTGCAATATAATGACTCCAGCTAAGAGATTAGCAGGGCAGGATTATGGGCAGTTGTTCCCAAAGCTGTCTAAAACTGCTTTAAGACTTCACACTGACCAACTGATGAAACCATTTCCATGGAACTATGGATTTTTCATCAGGCCTTATTTCCTTCCCTTTTGATAAGCTTTATGATTCAAAGAATTGCTGACAAATTCAACAGAAGAGCACAGTGGTAGATTTGGGGCAGATATTGCTAAATCAGAGCAAGCTCAGCAGAGACTCCTAATGAGCACCAGTTAGGGTATTTAACAAATAACTTGCAATACCTTATTTTTGATACGTGACTTAATCCCATGTATTATGTGCTGTTTGTTGAGAGCCAACAGAGAAGCAAGCCTGTAATTTCAAGAGGAAGCCATCAGAAACATAAACATCTATGTTTATGACATAGAATCCCCGCTTGTGAGTTTGGAATCTCTGCTCGTGAGTTTGCTGCCTGGCCTTGCAATATGTGTTGCAATCTGCCTAATTAAGTCTTTAGCTACAGGCAGCAAAGAAATCAAACTGGGATGATAGGAAGAAAGGAATACCTAAGTTCACCAGTCTGGTTCCAAAGGTAATACTGGACATGCTCAAAAGTCAAAGATACAGTTAATTTGTAATAATGATGATAGAACAAATTTTCCAGGAAACGGGAACTTTGTTCTTAGTAGGTTCTGTTGCTGTACAGATCTGTTTGTCATAAAACACCGGATAAGAAGTCAGGTATAAATTGGATCACGACTGTTGAACTACATTTCATAATCATCCAGTGTTTGGACAGGTTGGCCTTGGGAGCCTCACCCTTTCACAGGTGGGGGGTATAAATTCTGATGCTCTGCTTCATTGGCACCTCTTGTGCACGATGGGCACAAAGAAGATCCTGCTTTTCCTCGTAAGCACAGCAATTCTGTGTGCCATCTCAGGTAAACTACTTTAAATCTTTTAAAACATCCTTACAAACAGGTAGTGAAGAGGGGCTTAGTCCTCTTCACCAATTTCATACACGTATCTCATGTGCTAATACTGTGTTCAAAGATTGTATATGTAAAACAGACTGCAATTAGATAGCATTGTTTTCTTATTAAAAATATGAATCAACTTTGTGATTAACAATTATTCGCGTTGAAGTAAATTTAGTGCAATGAACTGATGCTATTCTGACTTTTACAGTAGTGTCCTGTAGCATAGATTAAAACAAAAAGTACTGCTGTGAAAATATTAATGGCTTTATTTGTATAAATCCATGTCTATTAGTATGAAATTTAGGAGGAATGTAGTTTCTTGCCTGTGCATACCTGCTTTAAAAGACTTCAGAGTTCAACTTGCAGATGCACATGGAGCAGCAATGCTTTGCTTTATATCATGTAATGGAAACACAGTAGTAAGATACAGCTGCTATCATATATGGTATCATGAAGTCTCAAGGACTTGTATTTTTCTACCAGATGTGTCCTTGAGGCTTTCATACACATAGAAAGAAAACCTGGAGACAATAAAAGCCCAGTTGGCAAATTTACACTTGCAAATCACAACTGTGTTCAGGTAGGTTGGGCTTTGTGAGAAACCAATATTTAGTATTACTGAGGACTTTCTGACTACTACTGATATTTCGCTGGAGTTAATATTTGAATACACAATATACCCAGTAAACACTTCTGGAGCTGTGTCTTACCTGACAGCATCACAGTTTGCATTGGAAAAAAGACTTCTCTGTATCAATTAAGCCATGCCTCTAGGTCATTGTCATTTTTTTTTATATCCTTCTTAAACTTCAGAGCCCAAAGCTTCACATGGTACAGGATGTGCAGCTGCACCTCCATTGAGTGTAGAGGGACAAGTGTTCTTTTTGACAGGATGACTGCAGCTTGATTAGTGCACCACAAAATAGGCTTGGCCCTTTTGAAAGCCAAGGAACAGAAATGAATTTTGCTGAGCTTTCCATCCACCAGAACTCCTACATCCTTTCAACAAGCACGAGACATGCAGAAGAGAGGAATGGGAGAGGAGAGTAATGGAAATGAGGAACCTAGGTCAGCTGAGAGTAGCAATCTTCATGGCCTTGAACTTGTGTGGTGTTGAAATTGCCCTGTGAAGGAGAGATGCGTGCGTGCTGCAGTGTTTTCCCATGTGTTCCTTGTTTCTCCTTTCCCAGATGCCTCTCTGAGCTTGGTGAATGGCTGGAACCGCTGTGAGGGGCGCGTTGAGGTCTACTACAATGGGAGTTGGGGCACAGTCTGTGACAACTCCTGGGACATCAGTGATGCCACAGTTGTGTGCAGGCAGCTGGACTGTGGCTTTGCAGTTTCAGCGCCAGGAAATGCCTATTTTGGACAAGGCACAGGCACAATTTACCTGGACAATGTGCAGTGCACGGGGAATGAGTCGTCCCTCTTTGAGTGCAGGAGCCGTGGCTGGGGCGTGCACAACTGTAACCACTCTGAGGATGCCAGCGTGATCTGCTCAGGTACCATTGATTGTCCTTCCCAAGTCCTGCTACTTGGGCAGATGAATTGGCCCTACTTTGCCTGGCATGGGGAGGTCGTGGAGCCATGTTTGCAGCCCGTGTTTTGCCGTGCTCCTATGGGAGATGGCCCTGCCGAGACCCCCACGCTGTGCATTGCAGCGTGACAGGGCAGCACTGCCATCCCCAGTGCTGGGAGCAAACCTGGTGCTCTCCTTTCTCTCAGTGTCCCTTACTTGCTTCTTTCTCTTCCTGCCTCAACAGGTGCTAATACCTCAACCCTTGTTTCTACTTCACCACCATCCGGCACACCTGGTATGTATGTGATTTTTATTTATTTATTTGTTTTTGCTTATTTTTGTATGGGTTGTCGTTTATATTTCATATCTCAAAGTTTTGTCTTTTATAGTCTTTAATAAAATTCTGAATTTTCCACAATATCTACTAACTTGTGAAATCCTACCTTTTACCCTTCCGTTACTCTGATTGTCCTGTGAGAATATTTTGGCATCTGTCACTTTCCTGATCTCTCATATGCTTTATGCCATTTTAGCCAGCTTCTGTTCTTTTCTTTCATGCATGTTTATGCTTTAAGCCTGCCAAATGCTAATTAGCAGTGTAGCTTCATAGCTCTGTAATGATTACACCTTAGCCTTGTTAAGAAGAGTGTATCCATTCATTTCATCTGGACACTTTGCCATCATTTGCTCTGGTATGTGTACGTTTACTGTATATCAATTTGTTGATAAGGAAATCTAAGTGAATCTCATTTACATCTCTTTTTTTCAGCTCAAAAATATTTCTGTGGTAGCTTCCTTTCCAATTCATCTGGAACAATTCAGAGTCCCTTTTATCCTTCAAATTATCCAGATAATGCAGATTGCTTGTGGGAAATACAAGTCGTGAACAATTATCGCATTATGCTCACGTTTGGAAGTATTCAGTAAGTAAATTGCTTGTTTCCTGACTAGTAAATGGGGCAAAAATTTCAGCTTAAAAGCACAGTTCTCAAACATTTTCCCAATACTTAAACGCGTATCATAAACATTACCTTGAAATTGTGTCAGTGCAGTATCTTGGTTTGTTGTTTATTCAGCATTTATAATACTGAACTTTACCAAATGCATTTTACCCCACTGCTCATGTTTTACCCTATGTTCGTGTTCCTTCCCCAGGCTGCAAGGTGGATGCCAGTATGACTATATTGAGATCTATGATGGTCCACCAAGTACTTCTCCTCTGCTTGGAAGAATTTGTTCTGGTTACAACATCATGTACACATCCTCTTCAAATATGCTGACTGTCAGATTTCACAGTGACTCTAGATATTCAAATAGAGGGTTTTATGCTGATTATCATTCCTTTCCAGCAGATCAGAACACCAGTAAGTTTCCGTTCACTTTATAACATTTTCTTGGCCAAAAGGCTTTTATACCCTGATGTTATTTGCCAAAGTATTTGTTAATGTTTTTGCACCACTCCTAAAAAAGATGACATTCTTACTTGAATTTCATAAGTGGTTATTAACTGATTACTTCCAGACAATAATTAATTTTTCATTTTATAAAGACCTTCAAGTATCAAGTTGGTTCCACTTACATGGTTTTTTTTATGATGGTCAGTCTAAACTCATCTTTATTCTTATCACCTCATTATTTTCACGTTTTTTCTATTCTTGTGGACAATTTCTTGTACAAAAATTCATTAGAAAGGATATTTGAATTTTCCCTACTCCAACTAGCAGGACTATCACCAGCACCAGATCACATCCATTATGAATTTAAGCAGCAATGAAAGTGAAATTGGACTCTGAGCTGCATCTCCAGGGGTCTTACCTGCAGAGACTCAGATGTGATCATTTCCCTCTACTCAGTGCTTGTCAGGCAGCAGCCTGAGTACTGTGTTCAGCTCTTGTCCCACCAGTTCTAAAGTGATGTAGACAGACTGGAGAGGTGTCCATAGGTGGTCACATAGATGTTCAAAGGGTGGAGAACTTGACTTAGGAGGAAAGACTGAAGGAGTTAGATAGGAGGACCTCATCACAGTATTCCTGTGCTAAGAGTGTGGCTACAAAGAGGATGGAAGCTCTTTTCAAGAGGGCCACATGGAGGAGATGAGAGGCAACAGTTACAAGTTGCATGGTTAGAGGTCTTGTCTTGGTAGAAGAAAAAAAATTTCAGTGAGAAGAATCAATCTCTAGCATCTCTGTCGTTGGAGTTTCTCTAGATGAGATTGGACAGGCTGCTACATAACCTCATCTGTGCTTCCTTATCCCATGAAAGATTGAACATAATGATCAGTTGCAAATCACCAAAGGATGAAATTTTCATAGCCACAACTTCTCTGAGTGATCTCTTCCATTGCGGTCTAGCGGGGGAATTTTTCTAATGCATTTCTAATTTCTAACAGCCACCCCAAGCACAAATAGTTGCCATCAATACTTACAATACTTACACCTGCTGTCCCTGGACACTTATCTCTGCCAGAAGCTAGGATCTCCCTGGGATCATTCCTTTCCATGTAATGGACCCAGTCATGACGATGGTTCCTAGATCTCCTCCCTAAGCAAGTGGTGTTTCTGCAAACAGTGTACATTTATTTCTACCACTTCCACATTAGCTTTTGGATGCTTATTTAGAAAAGACTCCCATCTCTTATCATTTTTGCATGAGTGGTGATACTGGATCAAGGTGTCATCAAAATACTATGGTATACTACTTGTTTTTACTAGGAGAGTAACTGAAGGTCAACTGAAGTTTGTCAGAGATTATTCACATCTAAGCGTCAGGTGTAAAAATGAAATAGCTTCCCTAAATGGTAGAAGCTTTTGCATTTGGTGAAACTTTATCATGTGAACATTATTAATTACATCACTTCACTAATAATTCATATTTTCTGCCCTAGCCCTGTTTTGCTTCCCAACCCACATGCGTGCAGTTGTAGAGAGAAGCTACCTCCAGTCACAGGGTTACTCTGTGTGGAATGCTAGCTTGTCTGACTCTTCTTGTAGACCAAGAATTACATCAACCCAGGTTATATTCAACATTCCATACAACAGCTGTGGTACCCGTAGACAGGTGAGTGTCAGTGTATTTTGGACATATCTCCAGGTCTGGGCACAGAAACTTAATATGCAGTTGGAAAACTGTCAAGAATTGCATGGGGCATTGCTGTCTACAAGTATTCAGAACACACAAAAGAAGCATGTCTTTCCGGAGGCTAAGGTTGATTAAACATTCCTGCTTGTCCTTCTTAGATTTTAAGTAATATCTGTATGTATTTTAGTGATGCTTTAAAGAAGAAAGTGTAGGATAGAGTGAACAGTCACATATAAGATGCTTTAGGTTTTTGAGTATGACACATCCTTTCTGAGTAATAGTAGGATCTGACACATACAGTTTGTACTGCACGGTGTGAACCTAACTACGCGCAATAATCTTGCACTCATCTAATGTGTCAAACAGAGCAGCAACGAGACTTTCACCTATTCCAATATGATAAGAGTATTTGCTTCTGATTCCACCATCAAGAGGAAAAAGGACCTTTACTTGCATGTGAACTGCAAAATGCTCCAGAAAACCTGGGTACAAGTAATGTACATTGCTAATGACCGTGGTGTTGCTAACATTGATGAAACCCAATATGGCAGATATGAAGTGGACGTTGCATTCTACAATTCCTCCTCTTTCCTTTTGCCAGTGTATAAGTTTCCTTACTATGTTGAGCTGAATCAGAATTTGTTCCTTCAAGCTTCTCTTCGCAGCAATGACTCAAATCTGGTGCTGTTTGTGGATACGTGTGTGGCATCACCTGATCCTAACAATTTTAGAACACTGACCTACGACTTGATCAGAAGTGGGTAAGAACTTTCTTAGGAATGATTTTGAAAGTATTCGGATACAGAGATCTTAAAGTGAGTCATTTGTGAAAGATATAACTTAGGACCAGTGTGCATTGGTTATCATTCTCAATACAAATACACTTTTAATAAACACTTTCTGCCACATACTAAATAAAATTAAATGTGGCAATTGAAATCCCATTGAGAAGTAGCAGTCAAGCTCCAGTTTCACTCCAGGAGGCAGTGTAGAAACTGAGGTCTAGACTTGTTTCTGACATAGATGAATGAAATACTGGAATGCCGATGGCTCTTTGTTTCTGTACTCCAAAATCAAAGTTTTTTAAATACTGTTTCCTTGAATTTATACAAAATTTGCCTTTTAATTTGAAATGGAATATTTGTGCTCTCTTGTCAGTAATGCTAAATAGACAAAGAGCTAGAAGCATAAAAGTGTTGCTCTTGGTGTCACATTTTCTTCCAGGAAAGAAAAACTCTTGCTAATTTATTTTGCTTGTGTGCTTAGTGGGACTTGAATCTTTCTACCTCCTGAGAAGGAGTTCTTATTGGTAACCTTACCAAAGTCAAAAAACCAACCATTAGGCTGGAAGTTTATTGCTTGTAGGAAGCTAGGGCAGTGACGTAGTGCCTCCTGCATGTGAGATGAGTGTCCTCCCTTTTACACGCTGTGTGAATATGAGGAAGGTTTTCCTTTTGTTGAGATTTCTTTTGATTCTACCTGTGAAAATGCTTATTCATCAAGCAGAAACAGAAAGGGCACTCAACCAGGACACATGTCAAATAGATTCTGGTCTTTTTACAGTTAATTTTTATTCATTTGACCTTTAACAACGTCAAAAGAAAGTGTATTTACTAAATCTAAAATCAGTAATATCCTCTTATAAATATCATAGGTGTTGGGATATCATTGCAATATAGCATAAACTGTGAGAACTCTGGGATCTTTATGAGGAAAAGATGCCCAGTGAAATCTAATCTGTTAGTTTTCTCTCTCTCTAGGTGTGTTAAAGACCCTACCTACTCTTCTTACTATTCACCATACCCAAGCGTCAGTCGGTTTGCTTTTAATGCATTCTCCTTTGTCAACCGCTTCCCATCAGTCTACCTGCAGTGTGAGATGGTGGTGTGCAGCTCTGGTGACTATTCTTCCCGCTGCTATCAAGGCTGTGTGAACAGGTTCAGGAGGAATGCAGGATCTTCCCAGGGAAAAGTGAGCGTTGTCATCGGACCTGTTCAGCTTCAGGAGGCTCCCAGTGAGAACAGGAATGCTGGTGAGTGCAAACAACTTGTATTCAAAGTAGGGCTCTGTATATTGCTGTGTGTTTGCATGTCATTTCAGAAAGCCAGTTCTGCTGGCTTATGCACAACCCTATTACAATTCTTAAGACTATTTTTTTGAATGTATATTAAGTTATTTTATAGTATTTACAAACAATTTCCTTTCTATTATACTTAGGCCAAATATTTGTTCTCTTCGTGTCAAGCAGCAATTGATTTAGTTCTGCCAGAAGAGAAATGAGATGTAGCTCATCTACCTACTGGATTTGTATTAGATTTTCAATGTTTTTTTCTGCCTGATTGGTATACCTCTTATTTATTAGCAACCACACTTTAGGTCCCCTTGAAAATGTTTCCCCATTCCTTATAAATGGTGTTTCCACTGTTAGGAAACAGCATGTATGGTCTTGGAGTGTAATTATTACAAGTTCCTAGAATTGTTTGAGCTGGAAAGGACCCTTAAAGCCATCTTGTCCAACTCCCTGCAGTCAACAAGGGCAACTGCAGCTCAATCATTCTTAGCTACTTTTTAAGTTCTTGCCATAATCTTTGCTTGTTTGCTATGGACACAGAATCACTTCTTAAACACCTGATAATTTGTTTTCCATTCAGATCCGTATTGCAGATCCGATCAGATCCGTTTTGTATCAATTTCTCTTTACCTTTCAAATGAACTAGCTCAGGAGGCGAATGTAAGTCCCTCTCTTTCTCTCTCACTCACAGAGCTGCCCTCCAACACCCAGGTGAGAGAAGAGCTCGAGAGCCCTGTGAATGCTGCCAGCTCCCACGTTCCTCTGGCTGTGGCCGCCGCTGTGCTGGCAGCTGCCATCCTCACAGTGGGAGGAATTCTTCTGAAGCGCAAAATGCAAGAACCCATCCCCTACCAGATAATGTGAGAGGTGACCAAGAGTCTGCAGGTGGAGGGTGCAATTCGGATGTTTCAGAGCATTTCAACTGAGCTCCTGTTTTGTTGATGTTGTGTTTCAGGAGAACGATTTCAGCAGCTTGGGAAAGAACTGATTTCTTTTGCCATTGCTTACATGCAGATAGAACACTTGTGTGGTGTCCTACTGGTATTAGAAACTCCATAAGTAGCCAAGAAAAACGTTTCTTTTAGAGAAAAGAATCTCAGTAATCAGCCATAGAATAAAATACACAGATATTGCACATAAGGAATTGTTCCTGTACAATGTTAATTTACTGGGGGGGAATGGTTCTTCACATTTATATGGTTCTCTCAGAAAATGTAGGCTATTTATAAATGTTTGCGTAGAAGATAAATACAATCTGACCTGTTGTGTAAGTGTGTAATTTAAAAACACAGGGGAGGAAGCATTTGTAGAGAGATATTTCTTTTTTTTTTTTGGTCTTGCAAATACACTGCCTATGTGTCTGAGCTCACTGCTGATACATTATCAGATTAAAGGACATGGTTTCTGAGAAAGTGACTTTGCCAAGGAGCAATCTGTACTCCTGCTATTACGCATTTCCAAACCTGTAGTGGCAAGGGGAATGTACGAAAGTTGCCATAAGGAAGCGTGACCAGCCTCATATCCCTGTGTGAGAACAAAATAATAACAACATTAATAAAGGAAGAACCTATTGGGAAGAACCCACTTGCTACAGGTGAAAAGATCATTGGTATTTAGTTGAGAAATGCTCCTCTTTAGACTTTTTTGTTTTCTAGCAAGCAGTGACAGAGGAAAGCTTGTTAGGAACAGCATGAGTACTACCTGTGAGGTGAGCCAAAGACAAAATAGTGACTTATACTTGAGATTACATCTTGTCCTGGTGAGGAGGATAAGAATAGACAGAAACAGTCATTTCAGCCTGTAGTATTTCTTCCTACCTTTTCTAGGTGACCCCAGGCATCTCCTCACCTCCCCATGCACTGTGGAGAAGGGACCTAACAAGGATGGACTGCCAGTGCCTACAGAGAATGGAAGTGCATTTTGTTTCCCACACATGGGGAACAAGGACTGAGGAGGGTCCTCCCCTTTTCTACCTACCACCCTACAACCACATTTGAAGGGCAAAGCAGTCAAGGAAAAGGACCATCCTCTTTGCTCTCTTCTACTCTCTGCTCATCCTCTCTGCCCCTACTACTTTCTCTCTTGCACCAGCTCCTGCTGTTGTACTGCTGTTGTGCTACCCCATAATTTTTCATAGTCTGATGGCACCTTTTCCACATCTTACATTCCCAGAGTATCTCTGTAATCAGACTGGGAGAAATATCCTAGGCCCAGGATGTTGATGCCTCCAATCAGCAACATGCTTGTGCTTTTCAGAATTGTTTTCCCATGCTACATCTGTACCAGGGTTTCTAGATGAAGATAAATCAAGGTTGTACCAGAATACAGGGTAGAAGTACCAAGTGCAGTGGTTTCAATATTAAATGTTGCTGTGAAAAACACTAATAAACTGCTCAACTATTTGATGTCCCAAAACCATTGTCCCAATCTCCCCACAGTTTCCTTGATCCACAAGTAGAAATGTGGAATTCAAAAAAACTAGGCTTGGTGAGGAAGAAAAAAATCGTTTTCTGAGGTAAACGTGCTCAGTGAATGGCACTTTTCTTAAATACCTTCCCTCCCACCTCCTGACCCATGGCATTCAGGAGCTCTTCTATTGGTAAACCCAAGGGACATGACTCAGCTTTTCTGATCCACTTGTCTCCTCACTGTAAAACAAACACAAATTGATTTGTATTGACATGCTTCATGTCACACAGGCAACAGAGTTCAAGAGGCCATCAAGGAACCTGATAAATTTGACTAAACTGCCTCACAGGATCAAAATACAGACACTCAGACTATTGCCCCTTTGTGTAGAAATCTGTGGACACCCTCGTTCCAGTGTAGATGCTTGGAGTAGTCATGGATGAAAACTGATTAGTGTCCTACGTCCTTTCAGTTGTTTTCATCCGAACATCACAAAAGCCAAAATGTCCACAGAAGCTCCCTAACAACAGGCAGCAGAACATAAAGTGTTTTCAAAGTCCTTTCATAGAGTAATATGCTGAGAAACACTTTAAGCTGCCAGAAGTCCTAGAGAGCAAAAATACATTATTGCTAGAGACCTTCTACCCAATGGGAAGGATGAAAACCTCCTTTTTACGGTATTTAACTGAATTAATTCAATATAATCTGAACATAGTAGTTATCTATTTGTACTGTGCTGATTGTCTGATGATTAAGAGCTCTAGAAATACGTAGATCTTTGACGTTTGTCACAAAGAATTAATTAATGAAGAATGAAGTGAAAAAATAAATGATCAGTGTTGTTTATTTACCTGGACAGCTTAGTGGGTATTTTTTCCATTGAGCCATATGGGAATCACTTTTGTGTTCCCCTTCCTCCTACGCCTTTTCAGTTATTACAAGAGTTTGGAGAATTGCTGTCCATCACTTACTCTTGCTTCACTGATTGCAACGTTGGATTGGTCAGCCAAATGTACTGTATTTTCTCAGCTTCTTGTCAAAATGTCAAAACAGAAGAATATGAATTGTGAATACCAAGTGCTGAGTACATTTCCTCATTCGTGTGTGAATGTGGTTGTTTGGATAAAGAAGAAATATATTTACTCTTCTCTTAGGTTTGCTTTCAAGGCTTCCAACCTTATCTTTGGCCTCTTGTGTTTTGCACTTCCTTCTTCCATTCCAATAATGCTGGCCTTTGTGGAAAGACCTTCCAGGTCATTTTTTTTTCCCTTGGGCTCCTTGAACGCAATAGATTTGTGCATTACAATAACCTTGCCACAGATTTTGACTGCTGATAATGCCATTCAGGACTTGATGGCTGTAAAGGTAAGAATCGAATGCAGAATGATATTTTGGCGCTTCGATCTTAGGATAGTTGTCAGACTACTAGCCACTCTGACAAGAGAATGATGAATGAGAATTCAACATTATTTTATGCTTTGGAAAGCTTTGGATGCGTTTTTCAAATTTTAGAACAAACATAAGTTTGTTAAATATGCTCAGAATCCACTGATTTTTCTGCTTGGTTTTCACAAAAAGTTACCAGCTGACCGTGATTCTCTTCATGTTTTCTTGCCATTAACAGTTTCATGGTGAACAGAGTATGAATTTGGCATGACCTTAAAACTCCAAAAACAAATATACTCATGCTGGAGCTGCAAGGTTCTTCACATATCTCGCAGTGATTCACTTAAAGCCTCAGAACAGCCTCACTAGTTATCTGGAGCAAGTTGCCCACATAGTGTGGTAAAGTATGTGTCACTCACAGTGGTGTGAGATCCTCTCTGCTGATGGCTGAGGTGCTCAAGAAAATAAATCAGTAAGCAAGCCTTGATGCCTCTCTGAGGTCTGCTCTTGTTATAACACCTGGCAACTGGCAGCTCAGCACAGAATCACTGATTGCCCCCTCTCCTTTCCTCGTATCTCCAGCATGTTGCCTCTCCAGTGGCTTCTTTGACCATCAAGACCCTGCAGCCACTTGCAGCCCCCTTCTTGTTGGCTCTAATACTGAAGGTAGAAACACTGAAGTTGAGGTAAAGCTAGCAATGCTGGTAGGACCCAAGTGTCTAGATGAGGTGTCTGTTGGTCATCTTCACTTTATATTTAGCAACAGCCAGTTCTGGTGGGTTATGTTCAGAGACTCCCACTTGTTCTTGATCATGATGCTATTTTATCATATTTAAAGTATGTCAAATCTGTACCCCATTGATGGCTTCCCGGGGAACTTGTCTCAGTAGCTGGAACCAAGGTATGAAGTTCTCTAACAACCTTCTTGGAGATAATCCCATTTGAATTTCAGGATCCCACTACCTTCCTCAGACTTGCCAAGATTTGTCATCATAAAAGAAAAACACGAGATTCATCAGCCAAAATCAAGATCAAAATCATCTTTGGATAAGAGCTCATTTTGTTTGTACAACGAGGTGATTGTACAACTCATAGTAGCATAAATATTTTCTTCCAAGCAGTGGAAAATGTTACTCTTGAGATACTATCTTCAAGAAGAAACCAGGATGTGACAAAATATTGAATAACAAGTCAAACATATTTTTACTTCAGACTATCATGCCATGCTTATTTTACCATCCTCCTGTAGAAAAAGAGATCTATAAAGCCACTCCCCTTCAGAAATAGAGAGTATATATCCTGATGGTTCTTTCCATCAACAGCTCTTGATGAGATGGGTACCACTATGATATTGATGTGCTTCCTTTTGCTTGGTGCAGCAGTTCTGGAGGCCAGATCAGGTAAACCACTTAGACTTGTTCTAAGGCACATAGAAAATGTGAGATATAAAGATTGTTGATTCTGTTGACAAAAATGATAGTCATGCTGGTATTAACTTGGGAAAAAGATTAAAGGTGAAATTGAGTGCATGTTAGCAATTCTAGTAGAACAAAACTGTCCCTAATTATATTAAATTGTAATATTTATTTAAATCTTCTAGCGGAGTGCATTCTGCACCCATGGGACAGTCCTTGTCTCAGTGCCTTGAATCATTGTTAGAGTTGCTTCTATGACTATATAATGTATGTGTGGTTCTCCCCGTTACCGAAATTTGACCTAGGAATTATGGAAGAATTTATTTATATTTTACTAAAATAGATACTTATTGTAGAATATATATGTGACTACATAGGTTACATGTAAAATATTGCTTGAGTTATTTGAATCTTCACCTTATGTACAATTTAACGAAATATGAAAGAGATTAGTTTTCATAGTCTATCACTGTGTGATGGATTACAACAATCAAAGACATGAAATGACTTTCATTCAAAAAATTTTTGGACCTTTTTTCCTTACACGACAGTTACTGTCTCCTAAGTGATGTAGGTACCTTTGAGGTAAATAATAATGTGTATAACCTACAATAACTGCAGGTAATTTTTCTAGTTATAGCTAGATAAGTAGTTATAAAAGTATCATTATAGCAATTTATATTGCCCTCATCCAGTTTTCTTTATCTGTCCTTTCTGTCCTCTCCTTGCCATCTTTCTCTCAGTCTCTTTTTCTGTTCTCTCTGCTCTTGCCTTCATTCCCCAGCCCTGCCTCTGTCTCCTGGGTCACAGCAAGAGCTGCATTTGTAGCTTTGAAGACTTTTCCAGTTTTGACACCTCTGAAGTGCAAAGCAGGATGCATTGTATCTGATTAGATTCCCAGCAAATTATTTTGCTTGAATGAAAGTAAAATCATTTCAGATCACTTTTAATTTCCTAATGCCAAGTTTGTTTCTCCCCAGGTTTGCTTCTCCAGTTTGAAGAAATTCTATAAGTATGGTTTATAAATGTGCATCTCCAAGTAAATGCTTGAAACAATTGAGATCCATAGAAATCAAGGGCCAAATGTGTGGCTCCTCACTTTGAACTGACAGTTAACAGTGCATAAATAGGGAAATATTTAGTTTGGGCATTGTCTTGACAGCTCCTCTAGTCCATCAGCAGTGAATTAGATCAAGTGAAGAAATCCTGGAGCTGGTAACTTCTCAAGATTCTTTTGCTTTGGATGACTTTGTGTCAAGTAACGAGCAACACATAGATTTGACAGATAGGAAAATCCTGGCAAATGCAGCTTGCTAGTTTGATTTCCGAAGTATAAATCCTGGAGATAGTATATTACAATACTTATTTGGGGACTTACTTACATTTTAATAAACTCATCAAAAATGGATCTAGGAATTGATATTTTCAGGCTGTTTATGCAGGATGTCTGAATTATGGAAAAGCTAAATCAAACTGAAAAGCAGATGGGTTTCACATGAATAGATCTATTTTAAGAGCAGCTATCTAGGTGTGTTCATGAAAAGTTATTCAGCATTTCTTCATGTAAGAAAGTAAAAGCCAGTGGATTCCTACTGAAATGCTTATAATTCCATTGTGTTCATTGTCCAGTTTTTTGAACTTTCCTAAAAAATACAGGATTTAGTTGTGATATGTGGACTCTAGATCTTTAAAATTCCCTTGCAATTTTACAGGAAGACATGTTCCATATAAATTCCATAAACGAGGGAGAAGAGGTAAGAATGACTATTTTTTTCTGTAAAATCCCACTCTTTTTTCAGAAGAATTAATTTGGTCTTATTCTGATGTCATTTTAAGTGAACTAGCACACTGCTTAGTGTCCTTAATGTCGCACATCAGTAGTATGGAATGGCTTCTGAATTCCAAATTGTTTGCCTGGTAATTTTTCTATGCCACCACTGTGGTTACCCAATGAGAATAGGTTTAGGAAGAAGTGGTAGTGGATGTCCTTGCATTTTGCTGTGTCCCTGAAACCTCAGCAATTTCCCTGAGCCACTTTGAGCTTTGCCTCTGCCACCAGTTCAACATTCTTTCCACAGCACATAGAAATGCTACTCATACACGCTTCTGGTAAGACACAGGTTGGGGGAAGAAAAGTCTTGTCGTACTTTCTAAACTTATCTGGGATTCAATGCAAATTGCTCCATCTCCCTCTTCTTACCAGAAAACATTTGGAAGGCAATAAAGAACTACATAAACACATGTTTCTAAAGCATGTTATTTTCTTCCTATCAACAGAGCAAAAAATTTTAGTGCTATTTTTCTTACTTGAATATTCCTAGGATTTCATTCTGATATTGAAATTCATTTTCTTTCTTTTACTCGCTTACTTGTGCTTTTCCTATGATCAAATAATTTCATTTCTTACAAAAATAGTTTGATCTTATCCCACTTAGTCTTCTGTAGAAATTTTGCATGAAATACATTTAGCTGACTTTCAGGTAAGGCAGGGAGGAAGAAAATACTGTCTGTCCCTCCACCATCTCAGTCCACGCCGATGGCTAATACTACACCAGACAGGCACCCAAGGGGAATGGTGGTATCCTGGGGCAGGAAGATGACATAAGCAGCTTCTACAGGTCCTTCCCAGCTAACTCATCCAACTGTGTTTGTGCTCAACTCCCTCTCTCCCATAGGAACCAGTCTCCACCTGGTCAATGGGCGGCACAGATGTGAGGGCCGCGTAGAGCTGTATCATGAAGGCCGGCTGGGAACGGTCTGTGATGATCTCTGGGACCTCGCTGATGCCCAGGTTGTGTGCAGGCAGCTGGGATGTGGCCAGGCCATTGCAGCTCCGGGCAGTGCTTACTTTGGCCAAGGCTCAGGCAGCATCCTGCTGGATGACGTGCGGTGCCAGGGAAATGAGCTGGCCTTGCAGCACTGCAGTCACATTGGATGGGGGAGACACAACTGCCGCCACTATGAGGATGCTGGTGTTGTCTGTTCGGGTACTGGGACATTTCTACTTCTCCAAAATCTTTTTCTATAAAGTGCATACAACAGGTGCATTTGGATGTAGGGTTACTCAGACATACTTCTGAGATATAAAAAAAAACCCCATGCTGTGATATCTCTATTTCCATGTGCATGTTTTGTTTAGTGCACTTGTAAGTGACATTTATTTCCTACATGGCATCTATAGTTGTCAGGAGTATTTAGAGGAGAGCTCTGGTTTCCCCTGACCTTTGGTGTCCCACGCAGCAGTGTGCCACGGCAGTGCCCTTCCCTGCCATCACCATTTGTAAATACCAGTTTCAATTTAGTAATAATTTTAAAGCATGTCGCTCACCTGCCTCCATTCTTTCTGTTGACTTCTGTCAAGATAGAGCATGCTGGTGGAGTAATTTGTCCGTCTTTCATTCGTGTGGAGCCGGGTTTCTAGCTTACACACAGTCATACTCATTACTCAGATACACTTCTTCATATGGCAACTGTCCTTTATTTATATTCACAGAATGGAGCTCCACTGAACCCCCAACACTGCCCACAATGTGGCTGTCAGAGACAAGCTCCACATTAGAATCAACCGCTGTAACCCACACCACAGCACCAATGACGTCCATTCTGGATTTGACAACTTCATGGCCAACGTCCACTACACTGGCTGAAGAGACTTCCACAGCAGCAATGCCCAGCACAGGACTGTTAGCAACCAGCATGTCACAGTGGAGCACCACACTAGAAATGACAACCACACCACAGACTAGCACTGCTCTGGAGACAAGTACTGAAGTGCCAACGACCGACAGAACACCAAGCACGACATGGGCAACAACTACAGTGCTGGGGACGAGCTTGCCCATGGACTTCAGCACAGCAGGTAACTCTGCCCAGTGTCGCTCACCAAGCTACCTCATCCCCTCAATATTCCTTCCCACACCTGATTGCACTGGAGGATATTTCCTAGCCAGGGGAAGAAAAATTGTGGTCTCTTCCTCCATCATCTCAGTCCACGCCGATGGCTAATACTACACCAGACAGGCACCCAAGGGGAATGGTGGTACCCCGGGGCAGGTAGATGAGATAAGCAGCTTCTACAGGCCCTTCCCAGCTAACTCATCCAATTGTGTTTGTGCTCAACTCCCTCTCTCCCATAGGAACCGGTCTCCACCTGGTCAATGGACAGCACAGATGTGAGGGCCGCGTAGAGCTGTATTATGAAGGCCAGCTGGGAACGGTTTGTGATGATCTCTGGGACCTCGCTGATGCCCAGGTTGTGTGCAGGCAGCTGGGATGTGGCCAGGCCATTGCAGCTCCGGGCAGTGCTTACTTTGGCCAAGGCTCAGGCAGCATCCTGCTGGATGACGTGCGGTGCCAGGGAAATGAGCTGGCCTTGCAGCACTGCAGTCACATTGGATGGGGGAGACACAACTGCCGCCACCATGAGGATGCTGGTGTTGTCTGTGCAGGTACTGGGACATTTTACTATTCCAAAGTGTTTTCAATAAATGGCCCCAATTTATGCTTTCAATTGATTTGAGTGTAGTGTTATTCAGTCATCCTTCCTCCAAGACAGCAATATGACTTACCGTGATATCTCTACTGCTGTATGGATGCAGTCTTTAGAGCTGTACCAAGTGACATGTTTTTCTTACCTGGCACCTGTAGGTCCACCGAATACGACAGACTGGCCCCATTCAATGGGTGAGTCATGCCTCCCTGGCCCTGCAGCACACTCTGCCCCAAGCAGCAAACAGCTGCTCCCACAAAGGAGCTGAGCTACTGCAGGAGTGGTGGTGATGGGGACAAGCCCTGCAGCTGCCCACAGTCCCACAGTCCCACAGTCCCACAGTCCCACATCTCCAGGGCAGGAAGCTGTAGGAGAGAGCTCCAGCCTCAGTTGGCTCAAAATGTCTGGGCCTTAGGGCAGGTGCTACAGCTGTGCCCTTCCCTGCCATCACCATCTCCAAATACCACTTGCAATTTAATGATGATTTCAAACAGGCTGTTACCACCCCCATTCTCTCCATTATCTTCTGTCAAGGTGGAATGTAACAAAGGGTAATTAGACCCAATCCCATTCCTGAGGGGTCTGTAGCCTACATGAGACATGCCCATCATACAGACAATGCTGACGTGAGTGATTTTATTCTCTCTGTTTGCAGGACTGAGTGCCACCATACCGGTCACCTCCGCAGTGGAGACAAGTGCCCCAATTCCAGAGACGACCTCCCCACTGGAGAACAGCACAGCAGGTAACTGCCCAGCACCACTCACCAAGCACCTTCATGCCCTCAATCCAATTTCCTAAACTCAATTGCATTGGAGGATATCTATCTCCCAGCCATGGGAAGAAAGAAAATATGGTCTCTTCCTCCACCACCATCCCTGTCCACACCGATGGCTAATACTAGGCCAGACAGGCACCCAAGGGGAATGGTGGTACCCCGGGGCAGGTAGATGAGATAAGCAGCTTCTACAGGTCCTTCCCAGCTAACTCATCCAACTGTGTTTGTGCTCAACTCCCTCTCTCCCATAGGAACCGGTCTCCACCTGGTCAATGGACAGCACAGATGTGAGGGCCGCGTAGAGCTGTATTATGAAGGCCAGCTGGGAACGGTTTGTGATGATCTCTGGGACCTCGCTGATGCCCAGGTTGTGTGCAGGCAGCTGGGATGTGGCCAGGCCATTGCAGCTCCGGGCAGTGCTTACTTTGGCCAAGGCTCAGGCAGCATCCTGCTGGACAACGTGCGGTGCCAGGGAAATGAGCTGGCCTTGCAGCACTGCAGTCACATTGGATGGGGGAGACACAACTGCCGCCACCATGAGGATGCTAGTGTTGTCTGTTCAGGTACTGCAACATTTTACTATTCCAAAGTGTTTTCTGTAAATTGCACCCATTTTATGCATTTATAAATTAACTTCTGTCAAGCTGGAATATTATGGAATAATAATTTGTCCTGATTTCATTCCTGGCGGACTCTGTCTGTACCCTATATTGGGCATTCCCATCATTCCACTTATCCTCTTGTGGCTGGTATTATCTTCTGTATTTGTAGCAGTGACCGCCACCACAGAGACAAGTTCCCCTGTTCCAGAAATATTGCTGAGAGAAACAAGCTTTCCGGAGGAATACAGCACTGCAGGTAAGTGTGCCCACTGTCACCCACTGTGCCTCTTTGTGTCCCCGATGTCTCTTCCCACACCAGTTAGCAATGGAGGTGATCTTCCTGCCCTGGACCTCTCATGTCATACAATCACAGAATGGCCTGGTTTGAAAAGGTCCACAGTGATCATCTAGTTCCAACCCCTCTGCTATATGTAGGGTCACCTATCACCAGACCAGGCTACCCAGAGCCACATCCAGTCTAGTCTTGAATGCATTCCAGTTAAGCGTTCTTGGCAGTCAAATCTGCAAGGAGGATGCAAGCAGAGCATGAGGAGGAGCTAGTAGTTTGGAAGCCTGTGTCTTGGGGCCAGGATCTATTGGGCAAGGAAACTGCTGGCAGCTGGGGACACTGCAGAAGAGGGTCATGGAGTGTGTGCCCCTTCCATGGATAAATATTTCCATAAGTCTTTTGTGGAAATGTTCTGCATGATGAGCGTGCCGTGGAATGGGAGCTCCTTGGAGATGGGTTCTGCTGGGGAATTCTGACATACCCTGACTGTGTTCAATGTTCCACACCCCAGGCGCCCGTGTGCGGCTGGCCAGCGGCCGACATGCCTGCGAGGGCCGCGTGGAGGTGCAGGACGGGCAGCGCTGGGGCACAGTGTGTGACGATTTTTGGAGCGTGAGGGATGCGCAGGTGGTGTGCCGTCAGCTGGGCTGTGGGCCTGCCATCGCCGCCCCGGGCAGCGCTCACTTTGGTGCTGGCACAGGCCGCATCCTGCTGGACAACGTGCAGTGTCGTGGGGACGAGACCTCCCTGCTGCACTGCCGGCATGGTGGCTGGGCTGTGCACAACTGTGCGCACATGGAGGATGCCAGTGTCATCTGTGCAGGTATGTGGGTGATGGAGATCCAGCTCCATGAGCGCCTCGTTGAGCTCCATCCCTTCCATCCAATGCCCCATCCTGGTGCTCCTTCATCTGAGCATCACAGCTCACCCGTGGCTCCTATTCTTCCCCCACAGCTGCTGTGAGCACCCCAGCACCAGATGCAGGTAAGACTCTCCCGTGGCTCTCATCTTTTGCATTTTGTTGAGCTCTTTGGTTGGACCAAACCATGGACTGGTATTGCCAAGGTGTTCATGTTGTTTTGTTCAGAGCTAACAAACCAAAGTGCACTGACATCAAGGCATGCCAAGACTGCAAGCACACTGCTACTCTACTGACATTAGTTGTGTGTGTGTCATACCCTTTATTTAGTGTGATGATTTTTATACAGTGCTCACATAGTATTTTTCAAATTGATACGGTTTTACTCGAAATGTTCACCATTTGCATTCACAGCTGCAGGCAGTTTATCAGTCAAGTGTTGCACATTGGGTCCTGTTTGGCTGTACAGCTGCCATTGCCTTCGTCCTGCTCTTTCTGCAGTGAGAAGCAGAATTCAGAACTTGAGCATTCACAGAAAACAAAATGGAGAATTGCCTTTTGCATGTTGCATGCTGTAAGAATTAAGTTCAGAGCTTATGCCCACCTTCCTATAAGGAAGCTGTATGGCTTATCTGTGTGTTTTATGTAAGAACACATTCATGCTGGCATTTTGTAGCCACCCTCATGGGCAAAGCAAGAGATAATTCATTTAAGGCCTTGCCCAGCTGCTTGGAGTGCTTATTTCCGTGTGAGGGGATGCTGTCTGTTCAGGAAGGTGTTTCCATGTTGATTCTCATGGCCCCTCCCAGAACCAGACCTTGACTTCAGGAAGAAGAGATCAGAGCAGCCTGAAGATGGTGATCTGACACTACAGATGTGACAACGAACCAGCAATGTGAAAGTAAACCTGCAGCAAAACCAAATATTTGTTTAGATTTGAAACATACTGAATATGACCTGAAGCCAGCAGGAGAGCTGCTTTTCAGCAGCTGTAGAGTAGTTACTTTAAGCAAAAGTTACGTTTTGTAAAGGTTACTGCGAGTAAATTCTCTTCCACTTCCTTTTGCAGCACCTTACTTTTGTGGTGGCTTAATTTCAAATTCCTCTGGGATGCTGCAGAGCCCAAACCACCCTGGAAATTATCCAAACAACGCTGACTGTGTGTGGGAAATACAAGTACAGAATAATTTCCGTGTTATGCTCACATTTAGAGATATTGAGTAAGTAAATCATTGATTCCCCAGGCAGATAACAAAGCCAAAACTTACTTGAAGAGTTTGAAAGTATATTTGAGACATTTTCCCAACTTGAAGAGTGTCTTCCAGCATTTGGAAGACTTGAACAGATTGGATCAGTGAGGTGTTTTCTGCTTGCAACTACATGCACAATGAATAAAACCTCTGCCCCAAAAGCTTCAAGTGCTGAAGGCTTTCATCAGGTCAGCCCGAGCTTCTAGAACACTCTGACAGGTGCTGATGCTTGTTTCTCAGGATGCAGAGCAGCAGGTGCCAGTATGACTACATTGAAGTCTATGATGGGCCCCCACACTCTTCTCCACTTCTTGGGAGAATTTGTGCCGGTTCCTTTCGCACGTACACGTCATCTTCAAACCTGATGAGCGTTCGCTTTCACAGCGATTCAAGATACACATCTAGAGGGTTTCAAGCCCACTACTCCTCCATTCCAGCAGATCACAACATCGGTAAGTTCCTGTTCAGAATAGACACCGCTGCTCAACAGACAGGCCTGTAATAGATTCTTAAAATAAAACATGTCGTTTCGTAAAATAAACATGTGCAGGTATTTAAAGTTGTAAGGGAAAGGAAGTGATGTGTGCAAAATATTCTGGATTCTAATGTGAGCTGCTTTAAGTAAAAATCAGCATTTGATTCAGTTGTGCCCTTTGATCATTAACCAGTTGCCTAATTCACAAATGTATCTTACCTTCTTCTTCCACCAGCCCTTACGTGCTTGCCAGACTACATGCACGCAGTGGTTAGCAGGGACTATCTCCAGTCCCAGGGCTACAATGCAGAGGGGGTCACCCTGAATGACACTGGCTGTGAACCAATGCTCACATCACGTGAGGTTGTGTTCAACATTCCCTACGACAGCTGTGGGACGACGAGAGAGGTAAGCTTACAGCCCTGCACTGAACTGCAGGGCACACTGAAATGAGTCCTGAAAGGACTGCTGTGGTCCTCGGTGCTAAGAAATGCAATGAAACCTGTAGGTTTAATTGCTTCAGCATTCCTTGCCTCATGGAATCTTCATGCTTAATAGAAATGACTTTTCAGGGAGGAAAATCATCATTGTAAGTGCCGTGCAGATTTGGGGTGATTGTGCATTTCATGGTCAGTGTACAGAAGTGCAACAAGTTGGCTCTGCTGTGAATTCAGAAGTTTTTCTCCACTAATTTCTGCTTAATTAAATACCAGCAAGTTTATTTACATCTCAGCAGAAATAACCAACACCAAGCTTAGTTCAAAGAGCTTAAGATGAAACTACCCTTTTAATTGCATATTACTTTATCAAAGCTTAGAATACAGGATGTGTAAGAAATTCAATTCCTCTTTTTAAATTACATTACAGGAAAGCAATGATACAATCAACTATTCCAACGTGATCAAAGTTATCTCTTCTGGGCACATAATAAAGAGGAAAAAGGATCTTCTGTTACACATCAGTTGCAAAATGCTACAAAACACATGGATGCAAGTGATGTATGTTGCTGACGATACTGTGGATGTGAATGAAAATCAGTTTGGAAGATATGCTGTAAACATTACGTTTTATGATTCCTCATCATTCTTGCGGCCAGTGCGTGACTCTCCATACTACATTGATCTGAACCAAAATTTGTACCTTCAAGCTTACCTTCACAGCTCTGACCCAAATCTGATGATGTTTGTGGACACATGTGTGGCATCACCCGATTCTCATGATTTTAACACTCTGGCCTACGATATAATCAAGGATGGGTAAGAGCTTTTGCAAGTCTTTAGATGTGTAGTGGTAATGTCCTTCCTGCATTTATTTTAAAAGAATAGAGACAGTGAGAACTGGTTTGGGTCTTCTTATCAATGCACTGTCAAAAGAGTTCTCTGATTTTTTTTATTCTTTTTACAACCTAGGCCTAAGAAATGAAACTTAAACCTTACTAATATTTTGTTTGGCTGGCTTTGTCCTTGTCCTTATATGCAAAACTCAGTGAGCAGTGGGATGGATGGATGAGATGGTGAAAACTGGGAGCAGAAATCTATCATCATAGGCATTCATATTTTAGTAAATCCAGCAGAACCACGTCAAGTGTCAGGCCCATTCGTTGTGCCTCACATAGAACTGACATTGAGCAAGGAGCCCATTCTCCCCTCTTCACCGCTTGGCATACTTCCCTCTCTAGCTTCTTCACAGGACTTAGGTATACTTAGACACAGTCTAAAAGTTGCATTATTTTTGTTCTCAGCACCTGGCTGCGTTCTAATTTGCTGTATTTTTGAAGGAATCCACGTGTAAATCCATAAAGACTAATTCTCTTTATTTCTTTCTAGATGCATCAGAGATTCTTCCTATGCCTCGTACTACTCCCCCTACAGCCACTTTGCTCGCTTCAAGTTCAATGCCTTTGAGTTCATCCACCGCCACGCGTCGGTCTACCTGCGGTGCGAGCTGGCGGTGTGCCGGCTGGGCGACTACTCCTCCCGCTGCTACCAGGGCTGCCTGAGACGCTCCAAGAGAGAGGCAAGTCCTGCCCACGAGAAAGTAGACGTCATTGTCGGACCGCTAAAGCTTCGAGAAGGAGATGCTCAGAGCAGGAATACTGGTAAAGTCAAGTAAATTTATCTCGTTCTTATTTTAAGCCTTACTTAGTTGCTCAAGTGAAAAAGCCATAGCTCTATTTGTTTCTGACATCTGTCCTTGAAATCTGCTTGTGTTAACTTCACCGTAAACAGGAAGGGATTGTTTGGCTCGATTGTCACAGAATCGTAGAATCATAGAATCACAGAATTGTGGAATCATAGAATGGGTTAGGTTGGAAAGGCCATAGAAGATCATAAAGTTTCAATCTCTCTGCTGCAGGTAGAGTTGCCAGATATTAAGTCAAGAACATAGAACCCTGTCTTCAACATCCTTCTTCTTTCAACATCTTGCAAACTATTTTCATCTGCATGCATGAAAAATGATAGCTGCTTTGGCTGTCCCAAAAGAGTAACCCAAGGTAGTGCCATAATTCCATTGGACTAATTAGCTCCAATCTGATGGTGTAAACTGATTGCCAGCTCTGCTTCCTGAGAAGCACGTTCCCAGATCTATTCAGAAATGTTTAATTCCTTCAGTTGTCTTCTGCTCATGAAGCTTGCTTAGTTGTCGTCCTTGCTACCAAAACTCCTGTTCAAAGGGCAATGAAATTAGAACTTCTGGCTGTGATCTAGGAAGCATCCCTTTTAGCACAGCAGCTCTTTGTGCCCTGCTCCTTGACACCACAACACCAAACACTCCTCTCTTCCCTCACAGGACTGGATGTTTCCGTGCCTCCTCCCAACACGGTTCCCACTGCGGGTAATGTGCTCGGGCCTCTCACTGCTGCTGTTGCTGTCCTGGCCATCGTTGTCTTCGTTCTTGCCGGCTTTCTTCTGAGGCCTGCAATGAAGAAACCACTTTTACAGAGGATAATGTGAAACAAAGGCCAATTACGAGACAATCTCATACTGTGAGCCACCAAAATGCTTCACTGACAGCAATCACATACGTGCCATTTGTAAGAAGCCAAGATGGAGTGAATTCTAGCCTGTTGCAAGCTCCAAAATAACTTTGTAGTCTTAATTCCTCTTAAATGATTTAAGAATAATTTCAACAATCATTGCACGATTTGCTTGGTGCAGTCATTTTACCGTTTTTCTCCTCTTTAATTATCTCCTCACATTCTCCCGAGAAAGTTCATCAGATACCTTAAAATAATGCCAGCTGGAGAAAAAACATGAATGAGGCAATAACAAATATTTCAAGGTTTATTGAAAGAAAGGAAGACTTAGTTCTGGGAGAAGAAATATGCCATTTGGTGTTGTAGCTGTACCCTGTTCTAATTGTTGGAAGCATTGTTTTTAACGCTGAAAATTTCACTGAAACAATAATCGATCTGTGCTTATTTATAAAATGCAGAGATTTTTAAGCTGAAATCTGTTGCACAAGGAGCGTCACCTAAAATCAAAGGAAGGAATGTTTACAAAGGAATAATTCACTCTTTTGGTTTCAAATTAATATCCATGTGATTAAAATACAAATGAATAATTTGTTGTGTTGAGGACTGTGGTCTGTTGGACAAAAACTTGCCAAGAACATGGAAGTTTACAGATAATTTCTGCCCTTAGGAAGCCAGAGAATAGGCTGGTGATGTCTGATGCAGAAATACCCTCTTTTGGTTTTCCAGTACTTTCTCCTTCCTGAGTATCACACACAAACACTACATCATCCACGTCGTTCTGGGGCCTTGAGGGGAATTATCAGCCCTCATCCCAGTGTTCCCTCCAAAGCAGATGGCTGATCTAGTCTTTGAGTATTACCCTCATCGTCACCACCCCAAAGTCTTCCTGACAGATTTTGCCCAAATCTTCCAAAACTCCATTTGGCCTAGGCAATCTCTCCTCTTGCTAAACAAGGCTCACACTTCAAACTGACATCACTGTGGAAAAGCTTTTCAAAATGCTTCCTCTCAATTTTCACTCTTGCTTTTCAAGCCTGTTTAGTTCTTGACCTCTCTTTCTTGGCCATGAGAATAAATTCTCTCACCTTTCTCTTTAGGTGCATTATGTTGATGCTTTTCCATTCCATTTTCTGTTCTCTGCATCAACGAAATCCAAATTAAAAAACACTGAGCTGTTAAAGGTGTTGTCAACCTTTGAACTGCACAATCTGATCTAAAATCTTGTCAACTCCCTCTGACTCAGTGGCTTTTGGATACAGCCTAAACCAAGCAAAACTGTAAATCTCATTCAAGAGATCGAACTTCAATCAGAGGTCTTTTAAGGTCTCACCAAAATGTCATTTTAACATCAAAAGAAATCTCACACCTGCTTTCCAGAAGAAATAACCTTGTTCATTTTTTTTAAACACTTTTGGATGCCAATCAAACTACAAAAATATTTAACTTCTTTTTTTCCCCACAACTGTTTACTTTGTTTTTTGAGGAGTGTGATTTCTCTGGACTTACCCAGCCCTTCTGAGTGCGTAGCACACATTCGTAAATCAGACTGAAACACGCTGAAACAGCCAAATCCTACATAAGCATTTACCACTGGTGCATGAAAACATGAAAAGCAAGGTTTGGGACTTTTGCCTTTTATGTCTTAGTTGAAAATACAAGGAATTAAAACCAAAATGCAAACTAAAACTGTTCATTTGACCTCTTTGGGGGTGTTGGTTGTCTGCTTTGTGTGGGTCAGTGCTACCACAATCCGGTGCTGCCTTTGTTCAGATGAGCTCCCTGGAGATGGCAGTTTGCTCCTCCTTCAGAGAAGACCAACCAACCATCATCTGGCAGGCTTTTGCTCTGAATAACTGTCTGACTTTGGTATTTTTATTTTTTCCTTGTCTCTGTCACTCAATGGCATGTACTCAATCATGCAGTCTGTTCTCATTCACTCAACCAACAACCTCAGCACCATGTAAACGTTTTTGCAGCACTGTGCTGAAATATGAGTGTCAACATCTGCAGTGTGATCTGAGCTGGGAGAAGGTAACGAATTACACCACGTAGGTACATCTCATGTCACTAGAAGTGCATGTAGACCTGATAAGCACATAACAACTCCCAAAGTGGTACTTCATGGTATTTCATGGAGAGAGGATGGAGCCACAGCAATCTGGGTTCCTGCCAGTGTAATTTTCCCAGCGCAATCATGGAACCTATGTGACCAGTCGTGGGGTTAAAGCAAAGCCCAGGAACAAAACTCATTTGCTTGTTTGTATGCTAAATTTCCCGTACTTTGCTCTCCTGTTTATCTTTCTATTCTAATTTTGGAGTATGGAGAAGATAATACGACTCTGCAGGCCTTCTTCCCAGGGACGTATTATGAAAATATTTATAAAAGGGTATAAATAAATGTTGTTTTGTTTCTGGATCCCACAGCTAACAAACAGATCCAGTTGTTAGTAACAAATCCCCAAGTTCTGTAGATTGAGACTTAGGAGAGCTAGTTTGCTTTTGCAGGATATGGGTGAGAACCACAGTTTTCTTGTTTTTATTACTCTCTCCCCATGCCTCTCCACACAAGCCCACAGATACCATTGACACCAGCCTGAAATAAGCAATTAACCTTTATTTCGTGGTTCCAATCAGGTATTCTTTTAATACCCCAGATGGAACACTTACACTAAATTCCAATTAAATGACTAAATGAATATACTGCAGCAATCATTTCCACTTGACTGTTTGAAATAACTCTAGCAGACTCCAACAGAGCTTTTTTAAGCAGGGTTATACTAGAATTTGCCCTGAGCTGGAGATCAGGCAGACAGCCACTGCTGCTGGGCTTCTCAGTTGCACACCACACTTCAAAAACTCAGAGAAAACAGCAAATGTGTTTCTTTAGACTCCCACTGCTGCCCTTTCTGTGGTGAGTTCAGAATAAGAATTGCAGCCTTTTGCTGGTGAGCATCTCTGAATCCAAACAGGAATTTTTGCACAATTTCTGTCAAATATCTTCTGCTACAGGGATAGCCAGTTTTCCTGATTTATTCATTCTTTATTTCAATAAAAACTTGCTTTTACTTTGATTTATTTGGGCAGTTTATATCCAGCTGAAAAGAAACCCAGGCGGTACTGAAATTCTCACAGCAGTTTGTGTATTTTGGGAGACTTTCTATTTCAGGCTCAAGAACTATGACATGAAAAACATATTTTTACAAAATCATGCTAAACTGAGGAAGCCCAGCGAGGGCACTGGGAGTGACATCTGTTTTTCATTTTTTGGAATAACACTTGGATCACTTCTTTTGCCCTGAACCTCTTTGTACCCATCCAAACAGCTTTTTCCTTGTTCTTTTTCAAAGGAGTGAATTAGTCACAAGCTGTAAAGTAGGAATGAATTGCATTACCACTGTTCTGAAGAAGACAAGTTTGAATGGCTGTTGCCTTCTCTCTCTTGTTTATTCTTTCATTTTTCAGAAATTTATCTTTGGAGAGAGAGCTTCTCCATTCCTTCTCTTTCTTTATGAGGGCTGGGTTGTAGAATCATAGAATACCCCAAGTAGAAAGGAGTCCACAGTGAGCATTCAGCCCAACCCCTGGCTCCACACAGGACCACCCAAACCCTATATCTGACAGTGGTGCCTCAGTATTCCCTGGGCTCCAGCAGCTCGGGGCCATGCCCTGGGCAGCTGTTCCATGCCCACTGCCCTCTGGGGCAAAGCCTTTCCCCAACCCCCATCTTACACAGCAAAATTTAAACTCAGTTACTTGGTCGCGATGGCTAAGATAGCCACAAGTTATCACTTCTCCCATAAGAACCTTTCTGTTTACAAACCACAAATTCAGGGGGACAGCTTTCCTAGTTGGCTCCCTCAGTACCTGTACCAAGAACTTATCATCAAGGAATTTTAGGAATCTCCTGGAAGCTCCATTACCACAGCTGTGTGGTAATTCCTGTTAACATCTGGCAAGTTGAGGTCACCAGCAAGGACAAGGGTGGCTGATCCAGAGGTATCCCTTTGCTCCTCAAAGAACAGTTCTTTGGTGCTGCCACCTTGGCACGGTGGCTGCAGCAGACTCCCCCAGTGACGTCCTCTGGCTGTGTTGTCCTCAGATGTACTCATGCAAACTTGCCAAGTGTAAGGCAGTTTTATGCAGACGTGTGAGTAACTAATCAGGGCAGATAAAACATATATTTTTTAAACAGCTGCAGTCAGATGAGTGCTGCCTGGTAGCTTCAGAGGCTGCACATAAGCCCATGTATCAGGTTGGGGTCTCTGTATCAGTCCCTATGTTTTTAGAAGATGTCCCATATGACTTTTTCCTTTCTTGCCTTTACCCTGTTCTCCATTCTTGAAAGCACTGCAGATAACTTTCTAATACCTGTCGAGATCTTGTTATTCCATATCTCCCTTGTCACTTCTGCTTGTTGCTTGCCACAGGCTCAGACACCTGACTGTGAACCCCAGATGCAGGAGGACAGCCAAACCTGCTGCTCCCCTTTCTCTTCGATCTCCTGGGCAGCCTAGAAAGCGCGTTTTTGGAAGCTGCCCCAGCGTGTGTCAGGAAAACACTCACTGTGAGCCGTGCCAGTGTGGAACAAGCCGCCTTTGTTTCGTAAGAGTTTGTTGGATGTCTGTAAGGAACGTGATGTGGAGGAAGACAAGTGCTCTTCTCTTTGCCAGGCCTGAAGTGTTTAATCCAGGGAACACATGAAGTGCTTCCCAAAGGCTGGGTAGGACAGAGGCTAGAGCAAAATGAAAATTAATAGCCAAAATGCCCATTAACTACTAAAATACAGTCTGAAGGGATGACTGACTACATTTTAAAAGAAATCCTATTTTTTCCAGCAGATAATGCAGTTCACTGCTGTAGTAATGCAGGCTGTAGGAGCATGGAGGGCACAGTCTCCATTGGTGCTCTGAGCAGAGCCGCAGAGCTGTGGACATCTGGTGTAGATGTGAGAGGATGGGAACACAGCAGCCACCTGTCTCCACTTTGGGACAAGGGAAAAATGGAGACGTGAAGAAAATCTGCCAGCACTTTTTGCTTGGTTTCACTGATTTTCTCCCTGGCTGCACGAAGCTGGTTCTTCTTGAGCCGTTGGGTCCGTGAAGGGGAGTGTTTAGCCAATATGTGCAGAGAAGGGATTGAAATGATAAGGTGATCGAAAAATCAAGCTACTATAAACAAAGTCCTGCCAAAAAAAATCGAGAGAATGTTTTTAAAAGTTAGAAGTATCCCTGTTGTATGAAAGCACTGATTTACTTTAATAAAATCAGGCTGGTCAAGCTGCAGAACACACCCCTTTAAATCTTCATGCTTATAAATTCTGAACCAGGTTTTATCAGCACGATGGGGATCCCAGGCAAAATGGGTTGCACTCTGGCCATCGTGTGCATGCTGCTTCTGCTTGGAGGGCATCTCCAGGGGTCAGGTACTGTGCCTAATGCTGTTCTACCCTACCTCCCTTTAAAATCAATATTGCACATTTTGTAGCTTGTAGCAAAGCCCATTGTAACTGGTAGATATCTTGAGAGTTAGTAGGACTGAAGGGCGGGTGATGCCATTCAAATATCTTGGGTGTGTATTTAATGCAATGTAAAAAGCATATATTGTGTTGTATTTTAATTACTGTTGGAAAAAAAATGCATAGAACAAATAATTATTCTTTTGCATTCCACTGGAAGGTCTTAGACAAAGTACAGTGCATTGAAAGAGGACGCGAGCAAGCAGGTAGGAGCTTTGGTAAGCGCATGGTGCACACAGGTGGCAGTTTTGACACAGCCTGGGTCAAAATTATTGCTTTGGACACACGAGGGTTGACAAATCTGTTCCTTACAGTAAGGTGAAAAGTGAAATACTGTAGGCAGTGGCTTTCTGCTATTACATTCTTAGTATTGGCTTCCGTATTTAATTCACTGGTGGCCAGGAGAAACACAATATGCTATGCTGGAGTCCCCACCAGATGATGATGTCTTTGTGTCAGTATAACTCTAATTGAATGTGACTGCCACAGGGACACTCGGATGCCTCATCCTTGGGTGATGCTTTAAAATCAGGTCTGTGATCTCAGGAACTCGAGACTGGTGAGCAGAAGAGAATGGAGCACACTTTCCTTGAGGACACGCTCCTTGGAAAGCTGCTGTAGAGCATTTCCTCTGGTTGCCTCATGGTCCCATAGAGATGGCAGCCACTCTAACAGTTGACCTAATTTCTTTCTGTCTTCCAAAGAACTGAGCCTGAGGCTAGTGGATGGGCAGAACAGATGCCAGGGCCGCGTTGAAATATTTTACAATGGAGCTTGGGGAACAGTTTGCGATGACTCCTGGGACATGGACGATGCCAACGTGGTCTGTGCTCAGCTCGGATGTGGCCAGGCCACTGGTGCCGTGGGGGCAGCCCAGTTTGGTGAGGGCATAGGAGACATCCTGCTGGATGAAGTGCAGTGCCGAGGGAACGAGGCTCTGCTCTGGCAGTGCTCCCATGATGGATGGCTCATCACCAACTGCCTTCATCAGGAAGATGCCGGCGTCATCTGTGCAGGTAACTGGAGATTTATTGGCATCAGTGATCAATAATAGTTACAAGTATAAGCCAGAATGAGGTCTGGGTGCTCAACAAATGGCAGCTGAACTACCAAACCATCACCAAGCTATACAGGACATCCCCAGATTATTCCTCCGCATTTCAGCAAATACTTACTAGCACTACAACCTATCCATAACCTTTCACGTTCAAAATCTTCACATAATTAGCTCAGTTAGACAGTTATGTTTCCTTTTTTCTGTAGAGTATAATGCCTTTCTGAGACTTGTCCATCTGTCCATTTCCATTGCTTCCTAACTAAAGGATGAATTCAGCTGATTATTCCGAAGAGCATTGAGAAAATAAGCAACGATTTCCACATGCAGTGTGAAATTGGGTCTTTCATGAGACATATTGCTTGATGTGAAAATACATGGCACCGTACATTTTAAAGCCTAGATTGGCTTATATATACAAAATCCTAATGTGCTGAGAGTTGGTTTTGTGCTGTCTTTTATAGCCAAGTAAACAAAGAGGGATCTTTTCTGCTCACTTTGTTGAGTGCAAGTTTGTTAAAAAAGTGATCTTTCTCACTCTGCTTTTTCTTTTATTTCAGGTTCTTTGATGTCTGAAATTCCTGGTAATTTTCATCTCATACATCTTCATCTTGTTTACTGACTAAGTCATTTTACCTAGTGTAGTCATTCAGTATATACAGTTTGTGAAGAAGAGTATTTGCCAATACCTTTGTCACGGTATGATTTTGATGTATTCCTACTGGACATTTCTGAATATGCATCCCCACAAGTTTTTAACCATATCATGTATTAACCACAACCTCTTGTGTTAGGAATATGCTGTATCTCCAAGTTTTCAGTGTGTTTGTATCAGTTTAATTCCACAATTCTTCATTCAAAAAAAAAAAAAAAGTCGATAAATATTTTTGGCCAATCATCTGCCATCTTTGGGTAGGACTTACTGTTGTCTCAAACGCGTAACAACCTACTTAAAGCCTAAATAACTCTCTCACTTTTGGCCTTCCAAAGACGTGTCCCTGAGGCTGGTGAACGGGAGGAACCGATGCGAGGGCCGTGTCGAAGTCCATTACCAGGGCAACTGGGGCACAGTCTGCGACGACTCCTGGGACCTGCAGGATGCCCAGGTGGTGTGCAGCCAGCTGGGCTGTGGCAGGGCTGTTTCTGCCCTAGGAAATGCCAATTTCAGCCAAGGCTCGGGAGAGATCCTCCTTGACGACGTGCAGTGCAGAGGGAACGAGGCCTACCTGTGGGAATGCCCCAGCAGAGGGTGGTCGGTCCATAACTGCGCGCACGTGGAAGATGCTGGTGTTGTTTGCTCAGGTGTGTTTTATGTATTTATGCAATGCTCCGTGCCGTGGCCAGTCACAGCATGAGGGACAGCCCTGTCCTGGCACCATGCTCCTCGCCAAGACTGCTTCCCAAAAAAACAGGCAGAACCTTCATGTTTGAAGCAATTTTTTTTCACCTGTAGCATTGGTTCTGTTTAATACTTGCTTTTTCTTACTATTCAGCAGTGTATGCTAGTGATTTCTACAGAAATTAACTACAAAAAATCTGTAAATAAATCGAAAAATTGTGCACTCCATAGATATGTCAGTCTAGGTTAGGTTTTTCAGTGAAAACGGGATAACAGCCCAAGAGAGCTACCAGGTGGAGTACAACCATTTGCCAACTGCTTCTGTCCATCTGCTGGTATGTCCTGCTCCTTCTGGGACCTGGATGTTCCTTCACTGTTGGGTAATGTGTAAACAGAAGGTCAGCAAGCAGAGCCATCCCATGGAAAAGTGCCAGAGCAGGCGCAGAGGACAGGTCCAGCCTGGTGCTGGTGGCACCTGGCACAGCCTGTCCCTGCAGACTTGAACACAAAGGTGTCATTGTGTTGGAGGTGGAACAAACAGTGGTCCTCATTGTCACAGTGAGTAATAGCCTGCTTGGACACTCATCAGCTGAACTCTGTGGCAATCTGTGCCCATTCTGTGCTAGTTCATAGTAATACTGCAACACAGACTGCACTAAAATGCATGCTAGAAACAGGCCTACAGAATATTAGTACTACTAATATTCCAGAACGGATCTAGCTTCTGTTGTAGGCCTGTGTAACAGTCCCCACACAAAGAGAACTGTTCTGTATAGGACTGATTCAGCACTATTCTCAGCATAATGTCCAACGTGACACTTCATCTGTAGAATCAGATGCTACCGCAGTGACTGAAAACTCCACCTAAAAATGAGCTATGTTTTTTTTCTCATTTGCAGCTTCCACAGGATCTGAAGTGACAGGTAAGTGTCTTAAATGCCTGTGATTCTCTTTAATGTCCACATGTTTTAGAACTGGATTTGTACAGCTAAAAACAATAATAGATTTTAATTGAAAAGCCAGGACTTTGCCTGTTGGAAGGGACCTCCCTTTAAAATAACAGACCCCTTTAGCCATGTAACAAACAGGCGCTCAGCTTTCTTCTTCTGTTAGTGTTAAGCAGAGAATAAAGTCAAGAACTCACCTCATTTATATCCATCAAAAGGTTAAGTCTGGACAAACGAGGCTTGGCTTTGTTATATACAGAGTTACATGAAAGTTCACACCTAAAGTTTGTTCAGATCATCAGTACTGTAGATCCTGTGTTGCAGAGCTTGAGTTATTCAGGAACGTCTCTATCTTCAGGCATAGTGGCTTAAGGAGCATGGCCCTGTCCCAGGGACTCCAAAAAACAGGAGTTTCTAGGTAGGTTGGAAATGCACATGCACACCTAACTAGTGAAATGAGCATGGCATGGAAATCTGTCTATCTATAGTGTGTCACCTTAATTCCCCTTTAGCAAAAAATATCTTTGACGTTACATGTCAGCTAAGGTTATGGAGCGCAGCTTGCAGGCAGAGAGCCAGCTGTGTCAACCACAGCTTTGCAAGAAAGGATCTGGGCTTCCTGGTGGACGAGAAGTTGACTATGAGCCAGCACTGTGCCCTTTGAGTGCTGCCAGCAGGTCAAGGGAGGCAATTCTTATCCTGTACTAGCACTGGTGAGACACACCTGTAGCCTCAGGTCTAGTACAAGAGTGCAGCTTCCCTGTACAAGAGAGGTAGGGGCATCCTGGAGCATAGAATTGTAGAATCATAGGATCATTAAGGTTGGAAAAGGCTGCTAAGATCATCTAGTTCAACTGTAAGCAAGCCCAGCAAAGGGTCATTAAGGGTCAGGGGGTAGAAGAATGAGATGTGCAAGGAGTTGCTGAGGGAATAGGGTTTGCTCAGTCTTGAGATTGAGAAAGGGGAGATTTTGTTGCTATCTACAATAACCTGAGATTATAGAGAAGATGGTGCACAGCAATAGGTCAAGAGGCAAAACAGATGCATGTCAGAATTGGAGAAATCCCACCTTGATAAAAAACAATTATTTCTTTTCCACGACGTGGTCAAACACTACAACAGAGAACAAGAGAAGCAGTGGGATCTCCATCCTTGGAGATACTCCACACTCTCCTAAACAGGACCCAGAATAGCCTGCTCTGGGCTAAACCAGGCATGTCTGGAAGTCCCTTCTGACCCACACGAGTCTCTGATTTTGTCTAACAACAAAGGTTCAGCAAAACTCTCTTTTTTCTTTCAAAGACATGTCAGTGAGGTTGGTGAATGGATGGAACCAGTGTGAAGGGCGTGTTGAAATCCTTTACAAAGGAGCCTGGGGGACCATTTGTGATGATTCCTGGGATATAAATGATGCAGACGTTGTCTGTAACCAGCAGGCTTGTGGACATGCTGTATCATCTTCAGGAAATGTCACCTTTTCTCACAGCCCGAGATATATTGTCATGGATGATGTGCAGTGCAGAGGGAATGAGAACTACCTGTGGGAATGTTCTCACAGGGGGTGGTGTAGAGAGGAGTGTGACAGCCGGCGCGATGCCAGCGTCGTTTGCTCAGGTACACACTGATCTATTTGCTTTACTGTGAAGAGAAATACGTGGTTTAATCTCACATTTTGTCAGATTGAAAATCGCTCCCCTGATCTTGAAGATTTTTCTCAGCAGTTGCGGTTCTGTTGCTGGAAAGATAACTCCCCTTCTTTTCTTAGGTGATCAACATTTGTTCTTGCAAACTTCCATCCAGATAAGCTTCGAAAACTTTTAGAGCATTTTAATCAGTGTCACTCGTAAAGCATCCACAGCTTTTGTACTGCCATCACACTATTTTAATCACCTGTAATCCATATTAACCAGTTCGATCTGCTTGCTACCAGACTAGCAAGAAGCACCAGAAAATAATCCTGAGACACATTCTGCCCTTAAAGAACCAACCAGCTTTCACAGAGGAGACTTCTCACAAGCTTAAGGTCCTAATCCTACATGCCTTTCTCTGACAAAGCTTCTATTGAGTGCTGCAGTCTATTTATTCTAGTGAGATAATCAGGGCCAAATCCAAAGGTGTAGAGTCATGACTCTTGCAATCCAGGCGCAGGAAACAAGGAGAAGGAACCAGGGCTTTGCTAGGTTCTCCTGAAGAAAGATATGCTAAGATTTTTGGCACTCTTAGCTCCTTACCTAAATTTAACCTTGGACACTTTCTGCTTCTGTTAGACGGCATAAGAAGCTCCAAAGTTCTATCCTGATCTCCATAGATTCTCAAGTTGCTGGCAAGGAAAGTCATGTTACAATTTCATGTCTCACCATTTTTGTTATCTTCAGAAGCAGATTATTTAAGCAGTCGTTGAACACTTTCTGAAATAAAAACAGACATTGTAAAGAAGGTTGAAGCACTAGAAGCTCTTAAAAGAAGCTCTTAAAAACTAATTACTTTTGGAAACATTGATGACTGAAATGTGCATTTTATCTGTTTCTTCCCATCACAGCTTCTACAGGAACTGAAATACCTGGTAATTTCAATTTCATACTTATTCAATAGTTTCTATCCAGAGTTTTCTAAAGCATAAGCAATAAAATGACAACAAATCATGTTCTGACTTGGACTTTTGGAGCGTGAAAAAGTCTTCATTGGACTAGGGTGCTTTAAATCCATGGTTATCTAAAAGAAAAGCTATTGGATTAATCAGTATTTTAAACATTCCATCAGTTGGATGGAGCCACATCCACACACCCACGCACACAAAAAGACCATTTTATTCCATGCTTTGATAAAACTCAGAACCCCTTAAGTGATATTAAAACACAAGGAGAAGAGACAACACAGTTATTAGGAAGCCATGGCCCCGTTGTGATGCCTTGGCTTGGTTAACCTCATCTCTTGGTCAACTCTGTTTCTGTGGGAAAACTTTGATTCTGTTCTACTAATTATACTGTCATTAATAAATTGGTTGATAAATGCCCACTAGTGTTTATCTAATGCAAGTTATTTCTTTCGTTGCTATTAATCCCATCACAGGAATTGAACTGTTTAGGCAACTGTGAACGCTGCCAAGCCCTAGCAGCAAGACTTGGTTCCAAGGGTGAACCAGGAAACAGCACATGAGTGCAAAGACCCGAGGACAGCTGGCACTTATCAGTGCTGTCCTCGCCTTCCCTGGGGGTGAAAGGCCATGACAGAATACAATAGCCATAGGAACATGTTGAATCAGCTCCAGAACTAATCTAGGATTTTAACTTTGCAGTTCAGGAGCCTTCAGATTCTTATCTCCTCTCTTCTTTTTCACAGAGGTGTCCATGAGGCTGATAAATGGCAGAAACAGATGTGAAGGGCGCGTGGAAATCTACTATAAGGGAAGCTGGGGGACTGTATGTGATGATTTCTGGGACATAAATGATGCACAGGTCGTCTGCAGGCAGCTGGGATGTGGAAATGCTCTCTCTGCACTGGGAAAAGCACATTTCAATCCAGGGACAGGGGATATTTTCCTGGATGATGTGCAGTGCCATGGAAATGAATCCTACCTGTGGGAATGCTCTCACAGAGGATGGGCCACACATAACTGTGGGCACAGAGAAGATGCCAGTGTGCGTTGCTCAGGTACAAGTGGTTCTATTTATTTAAGTAAAACTCTGCATTGTGTAAATTGAGAATCTAATCATCAGCCTGTGGCAAGGGAAATAGCAATAAAGACAGTACAGCTGTAATTAGAAGGATGGTGAGGCAGAAATCAAGAAATGAGCTGCCTCTATTTCCCTCCATGTATCTTCTGGTCTGGGGTGCTCGGAAGATGCTCCTGGTGGTCAGTCAGTGACATTGGTGTGAGTGCAGAGAGAAGGAATGCTGTGTTCTATGCAGGATACCAGAGGAGGAAATACTTGGTGGCTTGGTTGACACTTCACACTTTGGGTTTCACAGACGTGGTGCTCTCACAAGAATTTAATTTTAGAAGCCGTTCCTAAAGAATTAAATGTTACTCTATCTTTCCAACACAAGTTAAATGTTATCTTGATTAAGGTAATTAAAGATAGTACATAAAAAGTAACTTAGTTTTAGAACAAATCAGACAATATAAGAGATTCCCACCAGGTGAAGCAAAGTTTTGTTTAGTATTTGTTCTGCTGTTGTTGATGATTATTTCTTCTGAAGTACAACTGAAGCTGCTGAAATTAAGTTTTTCATATTTATTCCCAAACCACAGCTTCCAGGGGAGCCAGAGCACCTGGTAAGTCTTACTATTTCTATTACTGATCATTCTAAAAATTGGGTACCTATTGTTAAACACAGTTTGCTTTTGTTTGGTGCAAAGCCTTGGGGAAAAATACATTTGAGGAGAATGGCCAAGTTCCACACTGCAGCATTTCATAGAATGGCTTGGATTGGAAGAGATCTCAAGGATCATGAATCTCCAACCCCCCTGCTACAGGCAGGGCCACAAACCTCCATATCTAATACTAGATCAGGCTGCCCAGGGCCCCATCCAACCTGGTCTTGGATACATTTCAAAAGATGTAGATGATTACGGAGAGCTCAAATGTTGGAAAGACACTTTGAAGAGGAATGTAAAGTGTGTATTTCATAACTTGTTACTGACTGAAAATCAACAAATCACACAGCAAGGAGGGAAAACCTTGGACTCACTTCTTCAGACATTCATCGTGACGTTTATTTCTGCTCTGTCTTTGGTAGAAGTAGCTCTGCGCCTGGAGAATGGCGGCAATCGATGTGAGGGACGTGTGGAAATGTTTTACAAAGGACAGTGGGGAACAGTGTGTGATGATCGGTGGGATATTGAAGATGCTCGGGTTGTCTGCAGACAGCTGGGCTGTGGGCAGCCCATCTCAGCACCAGGAGAGGCCCAGTTCGGGGAAGGCTCTGGGGTTATTTTCCTGGATGACGTGCAGTGCAGAGGGAACGAAGCTCACGTATGGGAATGCTCCCACAGCGGTTGGTCAAGACATAACTGTGGCCACAGTGAAGATGCCAGTGTTGTCTGCTCAGGTATGCTCTGCTTTGTTTTCCTCAAGAATCTCCTTTGATATAGATTTTGAACTATAGCTGGAAATCATTAGGAGTCGAGCCCATGATAAAAACCACTCTTTCTCCGCTGCTGTGGACTATTAAAGACCTAACAAATATGAATCTCATTCCCATTTCCCAGCTCATTTGATCGCTTTTCTCTCTGCTTGTTCTTACAGGGCCTGCAGCATAAGCAGAGGAAATAAAGATGTGCATTACCTTTAAGGCTGGTAAACTGCTGAGGCATTTGCAAGAAATCTCAGCAGGCATTTTCACTGATCTGCAATCTCTATGAAAACCAGATTTCTCAATGAGGAATTATGAGCACACCTTCTTTCCAATCACTTTGATCTGTTATGAACTGAACATCTCAGTGATTTTGTCTGTTACCCATCTGATATTCCACTGGATGAGTACTGGTGACTCGTGTTTTTGAACTTTAGTTCATCTAGCAGAAATTAGAGCAAAGCTCATCAAAAAAGTAGTGCCTGTGTTATCCTCCACTCTGTGCCTCTCAATCCTGAATTTGGAGAGAGAAAAATATTTCAGTTCCCCCCCATAACAGGCTGCTGACTGCACTTATAGAACCAGAACAATCTCAAATTGAATGCTCCTACACTTAGACACTTTTTACATTTGCTAATGGTGCTGTTCATGTGGGACTTTAGAAAATATATTTGTATAATCCATCTTCGTTCCTGTGCTTTAATCCTCTCTCAGGCTTGTAAACATTCAGATATTCAAACCAACTGAAACTGAATCTGATTAAAAACTGATCCAGTAAAAACGTTTTCACAAATGGAGTCAGCATTTGGACTTAGGATAGTCAGAATTATTTCTCTTACATATATAAAGCAATCAAATTATGTGATTCTAAGTTATCACAAATAAGCAATAAACTCTTTCACTGCACGATGTTGCTTACAGCTCATCCTTCTTTTTTCCATGCCGAGACTCTGATTGCATTATTTGTCCAAAATGTCACAGTTAAACAGGATATCTGCTTTTCCACACAGTGTTTATGGAAAAGAGAGCCATCCCTTGCCAACCTCTCACCCAACACAGCTCCTTGGGGCATGTGGGGCAGGAGAAGGTGGCATTCCCAGGTGTCCCACTCAAGCATTTATTGCTGATCCCTTAATAGGTCCTATACCTGTTTTAACTTTGTTAGGTTAGCTTTACATGTGCAAGCTTGCACTGTGGAAAAAAATAAAAAAGCAATCAGTTTACAAACAAAAACAATCTGTATAGCTGCTTTATGTGTGATTTTTCCTTTCCTGTCCCAGTCACTCATGCAGGAAGGAAAACTTTCCTAATTAATCAATGCAGTTAGCCTGATTGTTATTTTTTTCCCCTATTTATTAATTAACCTTTTTTATTTTGTTAATTGCTTGTTTCATTATCTTTAATTAGCAACTAATAGAGCAAAGTTAGAATCATAGAATCACCAAGGCTGGAAAAGACCTCCAAGATCCTCCAAAGGGGTGTTTCACCTCCATAGCTGATTCTCTATGTGATTCCTAACGATGGCACTTGCTGAAATGGAAGGGATTTTCTTTGAAGCTGAGAAAGATGTTGAGAAAACTGCCAGGAGAGTGTTTGGGAGAACTTTATATTATCATTAATAAAGTTTACAATGTAAACATCAAAAGAAGGAAAAACAGCAGAAATGTGGCACATGCCAAGATAAGTAACCCACGTTGACAAGGAGTGCTAGCCAATGAAATTATCTGGGTAACAGGATTAAATGACTTGTAGTTCTGCATGCAGAGCCAAGACCTTTGGTACCCATTTACATTGGCACAGCCTCCATCTCTGACAAAGGTCTTCTCTCACTGGATTCACAGGCGTTGATAGGGGGCTTCCAGAGGCCAGATGGTAACACCTTTCTTTCAACACAACGCCTCTGGGAACTGGAAGCAGTACCCAGCACTCAGTACTCAGTTTTGTTCACAAAAGAGGGCTTCCCATGTAAAAGTCCCACTTTGCCTTATGAAGAAATTTGACATAAGTGTGGAGAACTTACTTGAAGGTTGTATTGTCAAGGATGTGATAATTTCAACCTGGCCTTGCCATTTTCTCTAGACATTGTTAGTGCACAAAATGCACTTCAGAACTTGCTGGAGTTGAATTTAGCAGAATGGTTGGCAGAAAGGAAATGTGAAAAATGAAAGAATTGAAAATCTTTCCTTACATCTTTCCACAGAGTAATATGCAGCAAGACACAGCCAAGTTCTGGACACTTATCTGCTACGTGCTTTCACCCTCAGCTAGGAGCAGCGCCAACCCACAGGCTTACACAGCAGCCACATCCTTGGGCTGACTGAAGTCAAGGACCAGTACATGGCAATTGCTATGGCAGCATTCAAGTGGCAATACTGTGAGGCATTTCAGTAAATTCTGCTTGTTTCACTGCTGTGAATTTGTGAGTAATCTGCAATGACCTAAAAAACGTATTGACATGACCCAAAACAAAAGTAGACCCATGCATCATGCTGCGGGTTCACACATCAGGGTTTTCTTTATCAGGGAAGAAGAAATACAATTAAATACTTGTACAAGAAACATGGCTAGAAAAAACGCAGACAGCTCTCGTTAATCTGTCACAGGCACCTCAATTAAATTCCTTGCAAATATTAGTTATGAGAGCTATGACGTGTTGTGGTTTACAACACCACTGAGATATAACGAATAAGCAGCTGAAAGGGAAGATGAAGCGGGCGGCGCCTCAGGAGGGCCAGATTCTCCAAAACTTTGCTGGACAAGGAATACAAACAACCAACCTGCAGTCTGTAGCTGTCTCATGCATCATTTATTTTGCCCTCTGCTTATTTGTTACGGTATTTGCTACTGTTAAGGCCTCTAGGGACCCTACAGAAGATCTGTGCCGTTAGGTCACGTTGTCCCATAACACATTCACTCCTTAAGGACAGTGCCTCGCTGCCCTCCAGCGGTAGCAGCCTCACAGCTGTAGCTCTGCGTTTTCTGGTTGCTTGTAGCCCCTCAAGCTCCATCTTTATGGAGTGTATAACGCTACAGGTTTCCATGAGAATTGGATGTAGTTTGAAAAAGCTGGAAAAAGCTTTGCAGGGAGGAGTAGGTGCAGCAAAGCTCCAGCACTCTGCGAGGAGAGCTTAACACCCACCCTCCAGCATAAAGCTCTTTCACTATGGACAAATACTCTTTGTTTTCGGAGTGAATTTTGATAGATTCCTTTAAGAAGATTTCCTGGGAAACGGCACTGCGACTCCAAGACCACAAAGGTCAGCCCTACTGTCATCACTGCTGCTTCCTGCCATGCAGGATTAGTTTGCTTGCTTAGCTTTGGACTGAAGACTCACCACCTCCTCTTTTAATGGTGCCTTCGATGTCCGTGACAAGAGCTGCAGTGTTTAACGTGGAGGTTGGTCACTCTTTCTCACCAAACACTGCGGATTAGCTGTACAAATCTGCTGCCTTTGTTCACATCTATACTTACCACCACGACTCCTCAGATAGGGCACAAAACAGCCTGCAGTAGGACCCAGTTTTACCAGGCAAGTATGGGGATGTGGAGCCCTCGGCCCTAAGCATGTCTGCTGGGACCAATGTCTTCTTTGCAATCTGTTTTGTGAAGGAGAATGAGGAATGCTGAAAAAGAGAACCATGAGGTTCCTTCTATTTGTTTCCAAAGTTATTTTCATTCAAAAGTGAGACGTGTTTGTATAAAATAGCTTAATTGCTGTTAGGAAAGAAAACTGTTACGTACTATACCAGACCCAGCTTATGGCTGTTTGGATAGAAAAATTGATAAGGATCTACTATAAACCCATTTAGTCACTTCAGGAAATGGCAGCAGAGTTCAAGTAATCCACACACACGGAACCGGGAGTTTAAACATTTGACATGACTGGTTTTGCTCAAGAAGGTATTAGGATGTCAGAACATGGATGTTTGGATAGCCACAGTATGTAATAGTGCATTGAGAAAATAAGAAAAGATCTCATGGAACAAATGAATTTATGTTCATTTTGGTATCTGCTAAGAACCTTTAGTTTTGTTTAGTTTAGTCTCTTTAGCTGAGAGCCAGCTTCTCCCTGCTAGTGCCTATTGAGGCAGAGCTGGAGGCATCCTTTGGCCAGTGTGTTGTCACCATCACCTCGTGCCAGGGAGAAATCTGTGTCTGAAGGGGTCGTGGTGGATTCATGGCTTTGTGAGATGCAAATCTTCTCCAGTTGTACGTCGTGGCCCTTCCAGGTGGGATTTTTTCATGCAAAGCACCTGATCTAAAAAGATAGCTTGAAAGCTAATGGCAAACAATAACCTCCAGCACAATTTGTGGTATTTTTCCTCTTCACGATGATTTTCTTTCATGCTTTCTCAGTCCTTAAATTTGGATTTCCACTATCACTATCGTATCTTCTGCCTCTCCTCCTCTGATCTGCTATCTGTTACCAGCAGAATGAAAACCTGTTACTAGTTTCTCCCCTTCAGCTGACAATTGCTCTGTGCCTCAATTCTTTTGTGCAGTATCTCACAGATCCAAAAGCATGCCTCATATTTTGCAACACACAAAGGCTCCACTTCCATAGTTATGAAGGATGTACCACAGAGGACTGTCAGATAGCATGTGTACTTGTCCTCTGAAGAGGAAAATTTCAGGCTAGTTTGTTCAGGAACAAACCAGCTGTGAAACTGGTAGATGGAGAATGGGGAGTAAGTTGTCAGTAGACTCTACTGGTCTTCCCAGTAGTCTTCCCATGCAGTGCATGGCAGCTGGTCATGCCACTCTGACTTTACATACAGATTCTTTGAGTTTTAGCTTGATTTAACCTTCTGGCCCTATCCTACTCCATTTCTTTGGCTGTTGTAGTTCAGCACTTGCCCTGCTAATTTATCCCCAAGAGAGTTCTTCCCACCCAATTATACCTTGGTTGATAACTCGTATAGCTGTTTCATTGCTCTGTAGGCTGCAAGTGAGAAAAGGACTGACTGCAGATGAGGGGAATGATGGAGGGATCTACTTTCAGGTTAAACAGGAGCCAGAGAGATATGAAGAAGTGTAGAAATTCTTTTTTGTAGGAATAATGTCTAGAGAGCAGAGATAATTTGCTTGAGACTTTCCTGAAAATTTTTGGATGCTAATCTTCTGACACAAATCTCACCACTTTCTGTTTGGGCACAGCTGTATGTTGGAAACACAATTATGCATTGGAAACTGTCTTAACTGGTGGTACGAAAAACCTTACCAAGCAGCCTAATCTCCAAACGTAAATCTTTGCTTCCTGGAAAAAAAAAGAAAAACCAACCCACACCAACGCACAGCTATTGAAGTGCCAGGGGAGTGTTTGGGAAGATCTTGGTAGACAGCCCGGAACAGTGGTGTGATCGGGATCTGCTTATCCGGATGTCTGGATATACCCTGTAAAATGAAAATACCTGGTAAATCATTTCTTTGGCATGGATCTGGAATTTCAGGAAGAGAGATCAAATTGCAAAGCACACACCTTTGGTGGAGACCAGAACTCATTTAGTATAAATTCTCAATCCTCACAGATTGAGAACAGATAACCACAATGAAAATGGACCTTCATGTGAGTCTCACTTGGATGCTTCTGCTAAGTACTTCTCTCCTGTGTGAACCAGGTACAGTGAGTACATTTTTTCATGCTTATATGGAAATGTTATGGACAGAATTCATTACTAATACAGCCTGGCCTGCTGGAAAGTGGTGGCAGAGTCTTCTAACGTATTGCTGGCAAGCTTTGTATGATGGAATTGTTGGTTTAATTTGTCTTCTTATTCAAATATTAGCCTTGTAACTCAAATATTCAGATCAAATTCACAGGTTAGATTTTAAAGCTGAGGAATATTTTCGTTGCTTCTCTTCTGTAAGGGGAATAGCTTGAAGAAGTCATTTTCTTTCTTCCTTCTAACATTCTTCTAATTCTCTTATTTTGGATTTAAATTCTTCTACATGATACATTCAAAAATGTAGAAAAAGACATTGAAAGGATAAAAAAGCAGCTTGACTGACATGGGTGGAAATCTACTTTGCAGAGACTTGGGACTGCAGAAGCGCCATTGTCCTTCAGTCTTCAGAAAAGTAACCTCAAACCTTCCTTATAATCTCACTGGTTTGAATGACGTGATCTTTATCCATGGGCACCATGAGCAAAGGCTCATCAGCCAGAAGGAGAAATAATTTCATAGAACATAGATTCAAGGGTTGGCTATATTGAATTATTTATAAAGCAAGAGCGAAGGCAAGTCAGACATAATAGGATGCATAAAAGGACACCGAGCTGCCTTTCAAGAAGGTGGTAAAATCCCAGCACTGTAATCTCTCATCAGTAAGTTTGCTTTTGTCTTCAGTTTGACCTGGATTAATTTAGAATGGAAAAGTCACTTTGGCTTTTGTCTTGTAAACTCCCAAATTTAGGATCACTGATATATTTCCAGGAGCAAAAGTGTCTGAAGAGCAAATGCTAGCTTGGGAAAAAAGAAAAAAACAGTCTCTAAAAGAAATTTCTCCTAAATTTCTTGATTGAATCAGGCATGGATCTTCAGAGCTTGCTAATTTTGAAAGAGCCTTCTTGCTTCTTTATGGTTATAAAGACAGAAAGATCACTGCTTGCTCTTTGCAATTTCTCTGCATAAGAGGAAGCAAAGGATTGCCTATGAGTTTACAGAGATCTATCATTCCCTAAACTTGACAGAACTAGACTGGAAGAGCTGCTCTACAGATATGTAATGCCACAGTTTGGTTTAGTCAGTCCTTTAAGCAAGTATATATATTACATTCCATGCTGCAGAATTAGGCGAAGTCTGGGCTCCCCAGGAAGACCTGAGCAGGCATTTGCAAAGAGAACAGTTGAGGCTAACATGCTGGGCTGTTGGCCAAAACAACTGCCACACTCTGCACAAACAAATGATCCACAGCCTCCTGTGCTTTTGTGGTAATAACATGGCAAAGATAAGTAACTTCTCTACTGCCCCAGCAAGTTCTGGCAGAGCTCAGCTCCCAGAAGCCCGAGTCTCCATCCATTGAAGGATGTACATGAGGGCTCTTGTGCTGCTATGAAATAAGGTCCTCTACAATCATCTTCTGCTGAATTATGAGAGAAGAAGCACGTCCTTCCAGGCAAAGGAAGGATGGTTTTCACTTTGAAAATATGTCACATACCAGTAAATACTCTATCAAACTCTGTGTCAGCACAGGAAACCATAAAACTTATCTAGAACTGTGTTACATCAATGCTAATGTATCTATTAATCCTACACAGCAAATGGCTTCTGGTGGCAGTCAACAGAAGACAGTGAAGGTTCAGCCTCACCATGGGCCAAATTCTCAAAATGGCTTAAGAAGACATTTAAACCCAAAGGTAAGAGGGTGAGACGTAGACCTGAGAGTGAGCCTTCTGGGCATCCCTGTTAGGGTTAATGGACCCCCTCTGCGTGAGCTTGTTATCTCACCATGGCCCTTTAATGATAGAACAGGTCCTTGTGCAGCAGAGCCAAGTGAACTGGGCTGAATCAACAGCACTGATTTGGGCTCCACTGCTTTGCGCACTGCAGGCATTTCCCAGTCAGCCCCAGCAACTGGAGACACAGAAGCACCACACAGCCCACCCCTGAGCAGATGGGGATGCAGCCTTAGATGTTAGAAGTTTAGATATCCTGGAATAAGCAAACTGATTTGCTTACTTGCTCATTTTTGCTTTGGTTTTAGAAGACACACCACAATTGCGACTGGCATCTGGTGGGGACAGATGTGCTGGAAGGGTTGAAGTTTACCACAACAGCGAGTGGGGGACAGTCTGTGATGATTTCTTTGATATGAACAGTGCCAGCGTTGCGTGCAGACAACTCAAATGTGGCCAAGTTGTTTCTGTCCTGGGCTGGGCTTACTTTGGCCCTGGAGAAGGAAGCATCCTTCTGGATGATGTGAAGTGTGCAGGAACCGAATCTCACATTTGGGACTGCTCGCATGCCGGCTGGAACAAAAGTGACTGTGGACACAATGAGGATGTCAGTGTCGTCTGCTCAGGTAAAAAAAAAATAAATCGTGCTGTTAAAAATTGATTTGGATTTTATCCTTGACCATAATAGCGAGAAACACCAGAGTAGGATTTGGAAATCAGATGGGAGCTGAGCTATGTGCATGCAGATGCTCCTTGTGCTTGGGCTGAACCAAGTGAGCAAGGAACACAAGGATGTCATGTGCAACATATCAAAATTGGCAGCAGTGGGCACTGAGTATGAATATGGGGAGAATCATTTGAGACCATAGAATGGTTTGAGTCAGAAGGGACCTTTAAGATCACCTCGTTTCAACCCCCTGCCATAGACAGGGACACCTCTCACTAGCCCAGGTTGCTCACAGCCCCATCTAGCCTGGCCGTGAATGCTTCCAGGGAAGGGAACATCCACAGCCTCACTGGGCAACATTTTCCAATACCTCACCACCCTCACAGTAAAGAATTTCCTCCTAACATCCGATCTAAATCTACCCTCTTCCAATTTAAAACCATTTCCCCTCATCCTGTTGCTGATTCCAGACTTCCCAAGATAAGCCAGGCAACAAGTTCAGAGCAGACAGAAGCTCATCCAGTAGGTCTGAACTGTATTGAATTGAGTCTGAATTGAAAATAAATATCAACACTTCTATCCTAGATGTCACTGAAAGCAATGATCACATAGCTTGAAGCCACCTATTTTGAAGCAATTTGATTAATGCCAAAGCTAATGGCAATTTTTGCTTTGTTCTATGTTCACAGATGCAGTGCAGTCCACGATTGCACCAACAGGTAAGGCAGGGCCTTTGCAATCTAAGTCCATTAGCACTTCACAGTATGCCTAAATGCTCAGAAACTGATTTTTAACTTGAATATCATGCAATTACTGCTCTTTTCCAGACAGTATCGTAGAAGAATGTGTGTTCCTAATTTTCCTCATTAATTCATTATTCTAATGACCTGGATGTTTGGATTATTTGTAGGAACTTTAATTGCCTTTCACTAACTAATAATTAGAGAAAGCATGTGGCAAGTCTCTACATTCCAGCTGTAGGCTTTAGACTCTTGGTTATTTTACCACTGCCACACAAAACCTGACATATACATTATTTTATCAGTGCCTCAGTTCTGATGACCATTCTTATAGTTCTCCAATAATGTATTTCCACTAACTTTCAGTATCCACAGAGAGGACCCAAACTACAATTTCATCAAAAACCACGTTGGTCACAGACCGCTTTGTAACACCTACTACACAACTGGCGACTTCTACAGATAAAGGCAAGAGAAGAACCCAACCTGTAAATCTACAAAAAATAAATAAAACCCAGTAGTGTGCAATTTGGTTACAGCAGGCAGTAATACTTGGAATTCAGTCAAAGTGTTTCAGCACCTGTGTTTTTAACTCTGTGTGTGATCAGCCTTGGAATAGCCAATGGCCAACACCATCTGCATTTGTGGCCACTGCGTCTTTAGCAATGACTGCTGCATCTCCAGCAGTAGAAGAAGGCAGTCAGAAGTAACACCAGATCTACTGCCATTAAATGTTAAATCAAGGTGAACGCCTCCTGTCAGTAAGAACAGAGGGCTGTGCATTCACTCACTTCCCTGAAAACCCATACCCACATGCTTGCGTCAAGATTCACTCCTAACTGCTGCCATTCTCTCCTCCATTCTCTTTGTTCCCCCAACTTGCTTGTGACCCCAGAACCATCTTCCACATCCACTGTTGTCACAGAGGGAAGTGCCACATCAGCTACTGAAATCCCAAGCACAACTTATGAAGGTAAGAGCAGCTGTTTTGCAAGTAATCTGTAAGACTGATGCTCTTACTTGGGGGTCTAATACTGTTAACTGGGGGTTTGAGGCTGGATTAAGAAGATGTGGCTGTGTGAATTATGGAATATTCAGAGCAGACAAGAAGAAATTGAGCATTTGTGTGAAGGAACAAGGCCCTCTGTGACATCTTCATTTAAAAAAGGCTGTTGGGATGTATCAGCAATACATCCATTTAATGATGGATGTCCCTGAGCCTGTAGCTGTAGCATTATACATGAAATTTTGTGTAGTAGTCCAGATCATTGTGATTGGTGTGTCCAAGATTTATGACTGCTCCAGGACAATTAGAAAACAGTCAGGCATGTGAGATCATCTCCCTCATTTTGACCCCTGCCTCTCCAGTAATTTAGCAGACTAATTATACAGCTGTTTACCAAGCCTGAGATCTAAACTGAGTCTCTAATTCCTCAAAACACATCTGCTTTTAATTGCTGCTGGCAGACATTTAATTTCCCATCCTGAGAGCTTCTTCTGTTTGCTCAGGTTCCACCTCCACTACAGAGGAAGATGTGACATCAGAAATCCCCACCTTGTCATGGAAAGGTAAAAGGCATCTGCACAATGCAGCATGTTAGAAAACTGCTGTGTTTATCTATGTGACTGTAAGTTTTGTCTGGGGTGGGGGATCAATGGACGTGCTAAAAAAATCGGGCAAAGCCACCATCTCTCAGTGTAACCAACACAAATGAAATAAATTGAATTTGCTTGGTGCCAACCTGCTGGCTTTTTGGGAGTGTGGGCAGGCTGCCAGCAGCACCGTGCTGGGAAGTTACCTACCAACCACTGTCGTTGCCAAATTACAACACTCACTGCTAGTTTTGCTTCTCGCGCTCCTTTTGCTTTTCTCATTACTGAGAGAGAGGACTGAAACTTTCCTGATGCTTGTAATGCAAAGACGTGAAGACTCATTTCTGAGCACTGAGAGTGGATAAAGGATGGCAGGGAATACGTGGATTCTCTTTTCCACTAAGCTTGAAGCTAATTCAATGCATCAAGAACTGGGTTCAGCCATACTGCCTTATTGAATGTTGTCATGTTTTCTTATTTCTTGCTTCTTGTTAGACTCTGAAAGCTCAACAGAACCAACATCACCCATCCCATTTGTAGAAGGGAATGTGACTGTGACCTCAACTCCAGAAATCCCTTCCACAGCTCCTAAAGGTGAAAACAGGTTCTGTGTGATAAAATATAATAAGAACAGTATTTAAGCTTCTGATTAAATTAGATTATATGAACTAAATCATATCACCAAATATCAGCTCAAGTGTCTGTGACTGATTCATGCTTCACTCCAGTAATTCATCTCCTCAGTTCATTAGCAGTCCCTTTGACACCCCTGTATTTCTCCTTCGCATCCAGTTCAGGTGATTCTGTCTAATAACCTGTTTCCTCTCCCCTGACCCTCCCTGCAGCTTCCTCCTCTGCCCCCAGCACTGCAGCCACGCAGCCAACAGCTGTTCCAGAGATCCTGACCACCTCTGGGGAAGGTGAGGCACTCCTCTGCTGCAGGTACTCCCAAACACAACAAGGATCACATCTCTCACTGCCCCAACAGTGGCCACTGCGTCTTTAGCAATGACTGTTGCATCTCCAGCAGTAGAAGAAGGCAGTCAGAAGTAACACTCAGATCTACTGCCATTAAATGTTAAATCAAGGTGAACGCCTCCCTTCAGTAAGAACAGAGGGCTGTGCATTCACTCACTTCCCTGAAAACCCATACCCACATGCTTGCATCAAGATTCACTCCTAACTGCTGCCATTCTCTCCTCCATTCTCTTTGTTCCCCCAACTTGCTTGTGACCCCAGAGCCATCTTCTACACCCACTGTTGTCACAGAGGGAAGTGCCACATCAGCTACTGAAATCCCAAGCACAACTTATGAAGGTAAGAGCAGCTGTTTTGCAAGCAATCTCTAAGACTAATGCTGTTACTTGGGAGTTTGAGGCTGGATTAAGATTGTAGAATATTCGCAGCAGACAAGAAGAAATTGAGCATTTGTGTGAAGGAACAAGGCCCTCTGTGACATCTTCATTTAAAAAAGGCTGTTGGGATGTATCAGCAATACATCCATTTAATGATGGATGTCCCCAGTCTTGTAGTTATGAATACATTCTGATGAGCTATTACTGTATATTTTTGTTTTAACCAAAGTAATCAGCTTTGGTTCCTATTCACATTTGAACATTGTTTCTCACTGTACCTGTTTTCCTTCCCCAAAGATTCAACCAGAGATTTTGTCACAGAAATGGTTTAATGAGTCTATGAAATAATTCCTTAAGTTTTGTAAATCTCAGAAGCATAGTTTCACCAGACAGGGCCATTTTGCATCAGCCATCAGCCAGGACAACTCATGGTCATCCAACCAGGATGCCATCTTTTTTAGAGTCATCTTCAGGCTATTGAAAGTCTTCCCACAGCTCTTTATACCATTCCTCAGAGCTCGTGATTTTCAAGCCCATTGTGTTTATTGAATCATCCATCCCAGCTCTCCTCATTATCTCTACCTTTATTAAATATACATCATTGACCAAGCAGCTGAAGCCTCTTTAGTGCTGAGAAGAACAGGCAGCTCCTATGTACCACTGAGAGCAGGACTGAGGTTGGTCTGGCTCACTGCAGTGCCAATGTTATTGGCTTCCAGTTTTTCCACGGTCCTTCTGTGCCAGCTGAAAGGATGATTTAGCCTTTGTGCCTTGCTTTTCTCTTTCCAACGAGCATCCCATCGCACCTGTCGATGTAGAAGTTCAACTTGCTGATTTTTGGCATTCCTTCTGTTCATTCTGAATTCTCATTTTGTCCTCCAGAGAGCGCACAGGTCCAGCATTTCCTTCTGTCGCTCTACCTATGTTCCAAAGTGTCGGAGTTAATGGCTGAGGATTTCATTACAGTACAGTAGTGGTGGCTGGTTATCTAACACCCGTGCCATCTGTTAGGTCAAGATGCTGCAGAATGTGGTAAACAATTACCAAGGCAACTGGTATTTCTTCTCTTTGTAACCTTTTCCAAACCTACTTGTCTTCGACAGCTTTATCGATGTTGTCAGAAGTTCAGAGCTGGGACTCCATGCCCACGGCAGCAGTTGTAGGAAAGGTGGTACAAATTTGCTTACAGCTCCACCCATTAACTTGATTATGAGCAGTATGTTCATATTTGAGCTCTAGGATCCACCCTCCCTAGTTTCTGCAGATGTCTTGCAAATTGACAGACAAATGTTCAGCACAGTAGAGATTTAAGTCAGTGTTTCTCTACCTTTTTACTGCCAGCCATCTCAATTTCAAAAGGACATAAATGAAAACTTTGCTACTTTAAAGGGTATTTAACAGAGCTTCGACCAGATTTTGCTGCCTGCCTTACTTACTCTGACTGGGATCTATTCCAGCTGAATGAAAAGAAGTGGGCACTTCTCAGCAAGCACCAGTGAAACTGAGAAATCCTTTGGGATTTACTTTTATTTTCTTGGCTTTCAGAAGTTTGAATGTGAATTTCTTCTTAAATGACAGCTCTATTGAGCACTGTGCAGGCTTATGGAACCTAATACGCAGTGTATTTGTGCTTTCCTAATACTACCCTCACAACTGTGCAACTAAGTGCTTGTAACTATTAAGTGCTGTGCTTATGCCTATTCACCCATGTATTTGAGCCAACAATTTTATCTTATTTAGGCATACTGTGTGTAACAAGGGAAGCTGGTCAATGGTTAAAATGTTTAAAAAAAAAAAAAAAAGTTCCTTTATAGCTGTAATTATAGCAACTCATTACTTTTACTGTGACAACTGTATGAAAACTGTTCTTTGGCTACAAAAGGCTAAGGAAAACTAATTGATTAATAATTGTTTTGAGTATTTTTTTACACATAGCTATGTGCAAAGCACTGGCTTTGAAGAAAAGTAAGTATCAACAGTTTTCTTTTATTCATTTGATGAGAGTAGAAAGCTGCCTTTCGTCAGTGTGTAGACACATTCACAAAACACATTAACAATTCCTGGGACTGTCAATTAATCAGTTCTGTTATTTAATCAGAAATATGATGTTCGTATTTCAGACTAATGAAATACTTCATTTACTTAGGATGTTTAATCTGGAGGTTGCCTCTCTCTCAATACTGATATCTTTAACATCAGCTGAATCATGACACATTTACTCCTGCCTGTAATCTAACTCAATATTTGGATCTGGATGCTTAATTTTTAATCTTCCTCTTTCTCCCACCTAGATATAGATAACAAATGAAATCTAGTTCTTAAACTTTTTATGTTAACACCCTTCATTATTGCTGATGACTACTCAGCACCTGTTTAATACGTTATCTTTTGACTCAATTATTTTTCTCTCTCTGATATCGTGTTTGGAGCTCTCTCAGAAATTCAGGCCTTGATCTTGGGAAGTGAGCCAAGCACGCCGCTCCTGACATTTCTTTACAGCCAACTTTTGCAGAAGGAAATGATAAGCACGGTACTCAGATGGAAGGAGCTTTGATCATGGTCAGCAAAAAGGAATTAAGGGCAAAGAGAGTCCTTGGGAACAGGGTACTCATTCTGAATGGATGTACATTAGTTGGTTACAAATGACTGCCAGGTGACAGCAAAATGTCCTGAAATGAAAACCTTGTAATCACAGACCTACCAAGGAGTAAGACAGGTGTGTATACTTGGTACAGTTTATGATGGCAACAAACTCAGAAGAACTCAATTATGTTGTCGGCAGAGTCTCTGATTTCTTTCTCTGAAAGAAAAATACACTCCAGACCCATAAAACTAATTTGGAACTTCAGATCTCTAAAAGCCTTTCCCTCTGAAAGTGAGATAAATGTGTGGATTATTCCATAAGTACCCAGCTCTCAGAAATGAGCCTGATCTGTAGAAATGGCTCTGCTACTATTCTGGGGAAATGATGCTGTGCCAACCATCTGTTATGCCAGAGTGAAAAGAAGACCAATCAGGTATTATTTAAAGAAGAAAAAAAACATATTCCTTAGATTGCAAGGTGTCCCAGGGAAAGGTTGGTTCTGGGTGTTTGTGTTCATCCTTTAGACAACGCTACCATATAGATGAGAAAGATGGTAAAGAAATGGTAAGAACCCTGTAGGGATGAGGATTGTTTTCCCTGCATCAGTGTGTCATGGAAGAGGACTATGTCTGTGCCCATTGGGTGCTGCATGATCAACCGTTGGAAAGATGGCTTCAAGACTTCATAATATCAATCCTAAAACAGCACGTAAATTCAGAGGAGGATGCTTTCTCATATCCAACCACACTGCAGGCTACCGGTCCCCGTCATCCCAATGATGGAGACAGTCTCTAGCACTGCCTTGGGTCACTGACTGTGGTGTTCTTTCTCCCCAGCAGATGTTCCAGCCCTGTCCCTGCGCCTTGCAGATGGTGACAGCAGGTGCTCAGGCCGTGTGGAGCTCTATTATAATGGCAGCTGGGGAACAGTCTGCGATGATGCTTGGGATCTGGGGGCTGCTGAGGTGGTGTGCCGGCAGCTGGGCTGTGGGGAGCCTATGATGGCAGTGCCTGAAGCACAGTTTGGCCAGGGCTCTGGGAACATCCTCCTGGATGAGGTGCAATGCAGAGGGGATGAGGACAGCCTGTGGGACTGCTCTCACCGAGGGATAGGTGTGCATAACTGTCAGCCAAAGGAAGACGCCGGCGTCATTTGCGCAGGTAGGTGAGCACATTTCAGTGCTGATTTCACATCAGCTGTGAACTATGACCAGTTGTAATTAAAACGTCCTCTTCTTGTGTTTAACAGTAACTTCCTTTAGAATTCTTGCAAATCAGTTCCCAGTTTTCCAGCAATTTTGTATTCTGACTAGAACACGGGAATGTAGGAAGGTGGCCCTTGGAAGAAGCAAAGGGAATAAATAGGAAGAAAAGATAGAGAATTTACTTCAAAATCACTCCAAAAGAACCATTTGCCAACATGCACTGTTCATTTCCTGGCAAGAGGATGGCCATATGTCTGCTGGACTTTCCAAGAGAGATACTAAGGCACTGCCTATTTAACACTGCTGGAGCAGTCAGCCTTGGCAGTCCTACCCCACCTCCCTCTGGCAGAGCTGGAGCCCAGGTTGTGCAAATGTCTGAATTCTGGCAGTACTCAGACAAAGCAGAAAGGAGGCAGTTTCAAATATGTTTCTCTTGCTATCTCGAGCTCACCTTCCCCTCGCCCTGCAGTGCCAGAGATCTGCTGAACCCAAAATGACTGAGGTGAAATGGCTGAAATGGGCCTTCTCCTCTTTGTGTCCGTGCTCCCAGAGATTAATGGGTTATGTCACTACTGCTTTTCTTTACCTGACTTAGGAACTGAAGAATGTCATTAACCATCCGCCTTAGCAAGACCACAAGTTCACTTTTCTGTTTCCTTTTCCAGAGCCTGTTACTACCCCAGTCCCAACTGAGCCTGTCCCAGCTGGTGAGTTCTCCATAGGCAGGTCTTGCAAAGTTTTCACATCTGATATTCTACATAGCAACTTGGTTTTTCCTCTTTGGTAAACACATCTGCCCATTGCTGAGGCTGCTGAGCAACCACGTGTTTCCTTCTGTTTTTCCAAGAGCTGTCTCTGAGGCTGGTGAATGGAGACAACAAGTGCTCAGGGCGCCTGGAAGTCTTCTACAACGGCAGCTGGGGAACCATCTGCGATGATGACTGGGACATAAACAGTGCCAGGGTTGTGTGCAGGGAGCTGAGCTGCGGAGATGCCGTCTCAGCCAAAAAAAGTGCCTTTTTTGGGGAAGGCACGGGAGATATCCTCATGGATGATGTGAAATGCACAGGGGATGAGTCCTTCCTGGAGCAGTGCTCTCACAGGGAGCTGGGAACACATGACTGTTTGCACAAGGAGGATGCTGGTGTTATCTGCACAGGTACTCCTCTTCTACATTTTATTTAGTGTGAATGAGCCACACCTGCCTGGAGGCTTTAGCAAATGACAGAGCAAAATGCTTTCTTCCTGACTGACCTCAAGCTGCACTTAGGTTATTGTATTTAAAAGCAGTGCTGGTTGGCATATCGTCCAGGATCTTGTTCACCTCAGCATACAGTGCAGAGGTGGTGCTGCTCTGCTGCCAGCAGCGATTCCTATTGCAGTCTGGGTGAAGAGCTGGGATGGAATTGCTGTTCTCCCCACCACCTGCATCAACATCCCTGGCTGATAGACATCCTCAGTAGGGTGGCATTGGCTGCTCCAGGGCATCAGATAACATCTCCTAGGTCATGGTCTAGGGGATACCAGGCTGTGCTTCTGTTTATCTCTCTTTATAACCAATGATCCAGCTTTCATTTTTTTGATGGTGTTTATTTTCTCTGCCCACAGGGCCTGTGGATCTTACCACTCCTGGAACAACAGGTATGGAGCACTTCACCACTCAGTCACCTCAGATGTAGTCAAATATTATTTCTCCCATCATGGAGTGCTGATTCCCCGTGATTTCAGTAGTGCTATCTACATTCTGGGAGGTGACAGCCCTGAACATATTGTTAGCTCCAAAAAATCACAGCGCTCAGATGAATAGGCATGCATTAGGGTCATGATTAGTGGGCATGGTGTATGGGACTGTTGACTCATGGCCTGAGCCACTGATTGGGCACCTGGGGAAAGGATCTGGTCAGCCCTGGGAGCACAGGTGAAGGCAATTGCTACAATGGAGCTGAAATGAGGGTCTGATTACATTGGTCTTAATTGCAGCTTAATGTCAGTTTGGCTTTGGTTGGATAGGTTTTGCTTTGCTCACATGATAATTTAAAAACTGCTAATGCTTGGCTCTTGCTTTCTTTCTGGCAGCCCCAACTGAATCCACCACAGCTGAAACTTCAGGTACTTATTTCTGCTCATGGACCTTATGGATTTGCTCAGGATGCAGAAGCATCCCTAGGGGCTGTGCACGATCACTGTGGGTACATCCTGCCTGTCCTGCCCTGGGCAGCTCCTGATCCACACTTGTGTTCTCTCCCATATCCAGCAACCCCTGCAGGCAGCACCACGTCTGAAGCATCAGGTATGCATCACTTTACACTTACTGCATTTGGTGTGGTGCTTAAGTTTGGCACAAAACCACTAATTTCCTCAACATCAGCAGTCCTTGCTTTGCTGAGGACAATAATTTGTTTCATTATTTTGCTTCTCACAGTAACCACCTCTCCCACTCCTGGACCAGCAGCCACTACCAGCTGTAAGTGATGCTCAGCGTTACACCCTCAGATCTCTGCCCAAGCTGTGACCAGGCGCTGGCTGGCTCCCAGTGCATGTAATCTCATAGATGCAGCCATTCATTCCCAGAGGCGATCCCAGTGACCTCTCTCTTGGCTCCCACACCTAGCCAGGGAGGAATGTGGGCTGGTGCTGGTACAGGACCAGTATAACCTGGGGTTAGCACTGGACCACATGGCTCCTAGGGCAACCCCACACCACAGACAGTACTGGGATCTCTGTATCACCCGGCATCCAAGCCATGGCACAGCTCTGGAGTTGGGGATGCTCCCTCATTACAGCAGATCCCAGCAGCACCAGCATAGGTCTGAGCATGGCTTCATCTCCTGGGGCTGTGCAGTCAGTGTGTGAGTGTGAGCCTGGGGCTCTCCTGCCCTGCACATGCATTACACCTGTCCTGGTCTGGGAAGCCTCTAACTTTTGTGTTCTCTCTCATGTCCCACCAGCTCCTGCAGGCAGCACCATGTCTGAAGCACCAGGTATGTGTTGCTTGACACTTACTGCAATTGGAGTCATGTTTAAGCTTAGCACAAAACTGCTGATTCCCTCAAGGAAAAAAAAAAAACCTGATGCTCATGAACAGAGCTCAGAGCCCAGGGAAGTTCCCCAGGCAAGAAAGGCCACTAGGAATCCTTGGCCTAATTTGTGTGGGGTACACACTTGTTGTTTGAGGGATGAACATATTTAAGCTTTAGACAATGTTTATTTCCATATTTTCTCTTCTCACAATAGGAGCCTCAACAACTCCATTGGTCTCCTCGACTCTACCAGTCTCTTCAACTCCTCAAAGCACAGAAATCAGCACTTGTAAGTAATGCAGTGTTATTCTGGTTTAAGCACTTGGTCAGCCCTCAATGTTGTGATCCAATGACATGTTGACACAGCTCCCCATTTTACTCTGTTTTGGGAGTCAGTCAGCACCTTCCCAAGTTGAGGTCACTGTGAATTTCTGATATCTCCAATGGTATTTGGTTTGAACCTTAAAGTTCCCTGTGACAGGATTTAACTTTTGAAAAAACTTGAAGTTCAAGTTCTGTTCATACACTGCAAATATCACACCTCACATTCTTGAAGGCAGAATAATGTCTTCTTTTAAAGTCTGGCCCTATTAGCTACACATTGACACTCCAGCCACACCAGAAAAACATCCATACTTGTGCTGGCAACATACAGGGGTCTGACCTTGCAGCGCATGCATTTGAGCATGGAGTCATCTGACTACACAAAGGAATAAGCAGAGTTAAATCTAGTCCCCTTAGTGCTAGCAATATGCCATCATTCCAGTCTATACACTTCTCTTATCACTTTTGACAATTCCATTCCTCAGATCAGTTGATTCTACCTTTTCTAGTCAGCCTGCATTCAGATGATTATCATTGTGTAAGCTGATCACATACAAGCAGATATTTTTATCACTCACTCTCACTTATTCTGTTGTTTTTTTTTTGTTTTTGTTTTTGTTTTTTTTTTGTTTCCATTAAAAGCTTCTCCAAAGCCAGTACCTACAAGTCAAGGTAAGTTCTTTTCCTTTCTTCTTCTTTTTGATTACATTTCTTCCCAAGTCCCTCCTGTGCTGGGCAAGATGTGAGTTGGAGGAGGCTGGAAGTATACGGCAGAGGATGTCTGCTCAGCACCAGTGTAGCACTGAGGGACAGGCTGGCCTATGTCTGCTACATTTATGGGCATAGCACATCTGAAACATCTGTCAGCAGATTGCCAGGCTGTCAGCCAGGTGTGCCAGCACACTCCAGAGGGACCTCATCACCAAAGAAACAGCTCAGGGGTTATTGCAGCCAGCTGTTATTGCCAGTAAAGCCTGCATTTGCATTCGTAATGGTATTTAACACATGCTGCATTACGCTGTACAGTAAAACATGTTTTATTAACAAACTTCCTCTCCTCCAGCAACCCTTGCTTGTCTGTCTACTTACATGCGGGCAATCATCAGGAGATCCTACATCAACTCCCGAGGGTACCTTGCAAGTGACATCCACCTGAGGGACCCTAGGTGCAAGCCTGTGATCAGCAGCTACCACGTCATGTTCCGCATACCATACGATGGCTGTGGCACACAGAGGCTGGTGAGAACCTCGGGCTGAAACTATTGTGTGCCAAGACAGAGTCCAAGTTATCTGTGAGAGAAGCTCTCGAGCATTTCTAATGCTTGTTATGTGAGGATGCAGCCACGCGACCTGGAGGAGTTGAGGTGGAGCACAAATATCAACAGCGTTATGTTAACAAAGCATTGATGAACACTATAATAAGACTACAACAAAATTATGTTTCTCAAAGTTCTTGATTCTAAGCTATACAGATTATTAGGAACCTTCCTCATCTTTTTTTCCCCTTCCCTTTTGTAACACTTGCTCTTCAGGTCACCTTGTTCTCACATTTAGCTGTGCACAAAGACTCTGCTAGTGGGTTTGGAAGAGGTTAGTTATATAAAGCAAACCCACGCTTTGGTGAATACAACGTGCAGCACAAGTTAACTAGCTGGGTGTTTGCGTGCTCACCACACCACTGAAACTCCCAGAGGGTCTTTGCTGGCAAGGTACCATTCAGGAGAAGGTTCTTTCCCCATGGCTCCTTGGAGCATGTTTGTTGTGCTCAGCTGCCATTCCCTGCTGGCTCCTTGTTGTTTTCCATGTTGTGATTTTCTTTTTTTCCTTTAGGATTTTATACCTCTGTTTATACCTGTTTTCCTCCTCGAGTCCATGAGCTACTAATGATCTCAAATGAGCCATCTCTCCAGCTGACCCATGTTAGCCCTTATCTCACCTGGCACTGTGCTGCACACCTTCTCACAGCCCTGCAGCTCTGAGGCCAGGCAGCAAGGCCATGGTGTTGGGTAGCAAGGCCATAGTGGCCTTGGCTATGCTTCTCCTCTGCCTGTGCTCCCAGTTCCAGCAGCATTTAGGAAATGTTTTCAGCTCTCCTCTGCAGCTCTTAACCTACTAATGTTTCGACAGATATCACGTGGAGCCATCACTTACTCCAACACAGTGGAAGGATCCATTTCTAGCAACTCCTACAGCAGAAATAGAAATCCTCTGCTAAACTTTGCCTGCAAAATATACAACAACGCTGGCGCCCAAACAATACCCAGCGTCATACGGCCCCCGTACCAGGAAACTCCATCTAGGCAATTTGTCGTCAAGTTTGCCTTTTATGACTCACCATCCTTCTCCAATGTAGTGAAGGCAGCACCATACTATGTAATGCCGAGCCGGGATTTGTTTGTTCGTGCTACCCTGTACAGCACACAGCCAAACGTGATGCTGTTTGCAGACACCTGCGTGGTCTCTCCAAATCCCCATGACTTTGTGACTGTGGCATCTGATATCATACGAAACGGGTAAGGAAAATATCTCAGCAGCCATTTCAAAGCTATTCCTTGTGTGTGGTTGAGGCAATATGGGAAATAATAAATAGACACGCCAAAAAGCCATGGTTCTGTAACATATTAATATGTAACGTATCAGGACAAGCAGGAATGGTTTTAAACTGAGACGGGTGGTTTAGGTTGGATATTAGGAGGAAGTTTTTTACCCAGAGGGTGGTGAGGCACTGGAACAGGTTGCCCAAGGAGGCTGTGGATGCCACATCCCTGGAGGCATTTAATGCCAGGCTGGATGTGGCTCTGGGCAGCCTGGGCTGCTGGTTGGTGACCCTGCACATAGAAAGGGTTGGAACTACATGATTTTTGAGATCCTTTTCAACCCAGGTCATTCTATGATTCTATGAAACATTTGAGTTATCCATTAGTTAGAAGCAGCTGGATGTTACATGAACTAGCTAACACCACAAGCACATCTTTTTAAGCTGTCGTAGTATGCTTAATTCACCAATGAATTCACCACTGCATTCTGCCAGGGGAGAGAAATCAGTATAAATCTTCAGAAAGCATTTCACACATTTTATTAGGAAAAAAAAAAAAAAGCAAGAATGAACTAATTGACACTCATTAAAGTGTCTTTGTTTGATTTGGGATATGGGTTTGTTTCTGTGTAGTTTTTACAAAGCCAAAGGCTGAAGTGAAGATAACAGTGCTACACAATAGCCCTTTCTCATATACTTGGAATTCCAACAGATGCTTTACTTTTGTATATTTACATATATGTGTGGTAGTTATGTATGTTTCATTGCATATACCATCCTACCCGTATAACTTCTGTATTACTGCATCTGTGTTCAGGAGTTCAGGACTATAAGTTGTGATGAATCTCACAGATAAATAGAAAGAAAATCGCTGGTAAATAACGAAACAAATGACACAAAAACCACGTCACAATTTCTGTGTGATAACTATTATCCTTTTCCCTTCTATCTTACCTCAGGTGCGTCAGAGACCCAACCTATAGGAGCTACTTGTCACCAGACAGCAGGATTGTCCAGTTCCGATTCAGAGCCCCCAGTTTTATCAGCAGATACTCATCAGTTTACCTACAGTGCAAGATGGCAGTGTGCAACAGATACGATTATTCCTCCCGCTGCTACCAGGGCTGCATAGCCAGAGGCAAAAGAAGCACAGGAGATGGCAGTGGAAATGTCATTATCGTTGTCTCCAGACTACAGTAGCCCCAATAACACTTCTTCTAATTCTAATATCACGCTGATCACTTATGTGATCAGTAGGTTGCACACCTGCTTGTATTTTAATCTTAACTGTATTGTGTTCCTTAATTTCAAACTTTTGGATCTATATTCCAGATCTGTAAAAGCCTAAACTTTAGTAAAAACTCAGTGATAAACTGTAAAGGATCAGCTTTTTTTGTTTTTTTTTCCCCACCAAGACTGTTTCCCTCTCTTGTACTGCATAACTCAAATACTTAGTATTCAAGAATTACTAACCTGCCTTGTAAAGCAGTGGTGTTGCTTTGCAAGCTCAAGAAGAATAAGAACCCCTTGTAACCAATAACGTCTGAGCAATTATTTTAAATAGGAGCTCAACAGTTTTTGGAGCAAAAATTGTCCATGCCCAGAGAAGTAATCTCTCCAATACCTATGACCTATTCACATTTTCCATGTCAGTTTTTATCGCTGGAGATTAGACCTGAAAAAAATATATATATGTTCTTCATGATATACGTATTTGTTTCATCCCTTTACTTTCAGTATCTGTTCCAACTGTATTACTTTGAGCCAGGAATGTGTTTAACTCAATATGTTAAATTGCCCTATTGGAATGACATAGTGAAAACAGGGAGAAGAGTAACTTTCAGTTTATAATAGAGAAAAGTGTCTTGAAAGTCACCACAGAACTCTACAGGAAAGAGATTTATTAAACTTTGGTAACATGGTGAGCTTTGTTGGGATGAGAAAAGCATCTTGAAGGTCAGTACTCAGTTTCCATGCAGTGAATATCTGCAAATTGCTCAAACTCATAATGAGATGCTCTGTGTGATGCTTAGATCTGATCTGACCAGGTCTCTGTTGAGGTGGCTCTGCCCAGGGCTGGTCCACTTAATGCCAAACCTAAGCCAGAGGGACTGTAATGCCTGGTAGGAAAATGGCTGAGATTTCAGTCCTGAGCTGGAGTATTTCCTAATTGCACTTCATTCACATAGAACTCCGCTGTGCTGGTAACCCTGCTGTTCTGCTTCTCACAGGTAATGATTTAAAGTGCTTGAAGCCACATTTTCTCTGCTATTGCACTCCCAGCCACAGGCAGTGAGGAAAAGTGCCTGTAAATAACAGATCCACTGCAGCTGAATTCTTGTTCCTGTTTTCCAAAATGCACACTAATTTGTCCTAAGGATCAGCTATTTTAAAATACCTTCCATACAGTCATCCTGTTCCCATTTTAGAGGCCTTTCCTGAAGACCTCCCAGCCATTTTCTTTGGAGATGGAAGAGGGAACTCACAGCAGGTCATTAATATTTCAGCTCTGTCTGATCCGTGAGCACATTGCACCATCTGAACGTGGGCTTAACGTGCAGAATTTGTAAAAGTTTGAGAACTCAGACTTGGCACCAGGCTCGGGGCTCCAGATCCTTTAGAGCAAATGCAGGACAGGATTTCCCCATACATAAGAAACTCCCAAGAATTTGCCTACCAGCCTGTAGGTACCAGCACATAACAGCCACAGAGGGTTTTACTCCTAGTGCTGCTGGACACAGCACTGACCAGGGCTGAGTTTTGTACACCAGTTCATGTTTTAAATGCATATAAAGTGGGTGTTAGCAGCTGAAAATTGCTTGCAAATATGTGTGTGGATTCAAGAAATGAAAGGCTATAAAGGATAAATGTAAATTCGGTGTTTCTGGAATCAAAAGGTTCAAATATGAAACATATTCCATACCTCTTGTATATGGGGTGATGGTGGTGATGGGATGATGGTTGCATACATGATCTTAGTGGTCTTTTCCAACCTTAATCACTGTGTGATTCCATTCCACATTTAAAGTCAATACAAATATCTTGTCCTGAGGAAGAGAGCTACATTCAGAATCCTTAAAGACAGTTAAAAATCACGGGGAGGACTGTTTTAAGGAAGGTTATACTCTGAGACTAGAATGGAAGCATAATTGCAGATGCAACATTTCAATATTTGCATATAAAGGAAAGGAATTTTGTTTTATTCGAAAAAGAAACAGTTATAAATGAGAAGCACCTGGATGTGTTTCAAGGAGCTCTGCTCTGCAGTTTGCCTTTGCTAGGGAACATGAAAGAACACCTGTTTGCACAGCTGAACCTCTTCACATTGGAAAGATTCCCCCAGCAAGGCTCCCAATCTGCCCTGCTGGGCATATGCCAAACAACAAGGCCATCTGTGGCACTATCAGCATCACAGCCTGTGGAAGCTTTAAACTCTGCTATTTGCTGCTGCAGTAGAAAATGCCCCACTTTAAAGAGCTTCGGTCCTTCAGGAAAGACAAACCGCACAAGAGCCGTGGAGATGGACATGAGAGACGTGATCAGTGGGCATGGGTTGGGCTTGGGGATCTTAGAGGGCTTTTCCAACCTTAATGAACCTATGATTCTAATAGGGGCTCTTGGAGCTTTTACTCTGAAACCAAGTTTTACTCACAAAGCGTCTGCAGTGCAATTAATTCTGTTCAGTTAAATCCATGGCTGGCATTAACCTGGCCTTGTCCAGCCACCAATGCTTCAGCAACAGGAAATTACTACTCAGAACAACTCTGTTATGATATTTTACAAGCTGAGGAATCTCCAGTAAGGACACACTGATTTGCCCAGGGCTGCCTACAGGGATATGTGCCAAAAGGAAGGTGGGAACAAAGGAGCTATCTCTGATCAAAGGCTGGATGTGGCTGTCTGTCCCACTCAGCACATTGCTGTCCATGTCAGACTAACGTCAGCACATCTGAACAGATGCTCAACGAACCAACAGAAGAACATGCTTTGAAACCACAGGAGTAGGAGCTGATGAAAGCACAGTTAAACAACTTCTTCGCAGCACATGCGAGAAAAAAAAAAAAGGGCACATCTGTTGACTTTCCCATTTGTATCAGTTAAAAAGAAAAAGCAACAGAGATATTAAGACCTCTCTCTGGGATACCACACTGTATGAGATGATTAGGAAATAGCAGGAGGTATAAAAGGCAGAAAACCCTCAGCTGCTAACCCCAGCTGCCATCAAAATGCTGGTGCTCAGACAGCTCCTCCTGCTGCCTCTCTTAGCTGCTCTGGCTTTTGCTGAAGACAACTCGATGGAATTCATGGGTATGGAAAGTAACATTCTTTATTGTGGAATTTAATTATCTCTTGAACTATTTATTAGGCAACTGAAGAAAAAAATGTCAAATGTACATCCCAGTGCACCTTATTTTAGCATACTGCTGCGAAATATTGGCACACTCAGATGTCAGTAACTGCTAAAGACTGTAATAACAACAGCAACAACAAAAAACGGCAATATATGAGTAGTTATGTCAAATTTTCAACTGAAGAACTCAATTTTGAAGAGATTTTGCTCCAGAATGGAAATATCCTTTTATAAATTGATATTGTATTGAACTAATGGCTGAAGTGACTTGGAAAGCATTGCTTTTTGAAACAGTTTTGGGCATTGTGGTGGCTGTGGGATGAAGTATTGGTACCAAGTCAGGCAAAGCAGACCTTGTAATGCTCTTACAGTTCAGAGGTTTCCTATGTGACACAAAAGTTTGTCCCTAAACCTTTCTTTCCCCTCTGGAGTTCAGCAGTAATTCCAACCTCTTCATCTGGGACTGTAGACACTGTATAGGAAATGCTTCCTGCTGCTTTAAGCTGTCCTGACCAGAAGAGGAATTGCTCTTAGTGTTTGATAGTTACCAAAGACATTCTTTGTCAGAGTTCTAAGCCGTTTTGACGTTTAATTTTAAAATTCACATCAATCCACAGCAAAAATCCACATGCAAAGAGCTGGGACTGTTGCTTCGAAATCACAGCTTAGTGGTGGTTTTTTTTCAGGCCACTGAATATTTATAGAGGAAGAGAACACCTCACCATGAATACAGACCTATGGCTCCTCTTTTCTGTCCTACGTTGCTTTAAGCTGTTTATTTATTTCTTTCTTGTCCAGAAGTTTCTCTAAACCTTTGCTCACCTTCATTGCCACTTTTTGAAGCTTCCCCTCTTTAGCTGCCTCCTTTTAGAGATAGAGAACCAGAACTGTGAGCAGCACCAATCATACACACGGTCCTTCAGAAGCTCACATCTGAAGAGCTCTTTTGATTCCCTGGGTGTGGGTACCCAGGTGCTTTCATGTAAAGGCTGAAACCCAGAACTAGATCCAAAGATCCTCAGGAGAAGAGCATAGGGGGAAGACAGGGCTTGAGGTGCTTGTAACCACCAAGCTTGCCAATGAGAGCTGCCAAGGTGTCCTATGTCATCTGGAATTTCCTGTTTTGCCTTTGGCTTTACCTGCATGTGTTTCCCTAGCTCCATTTTCTCTGCTATTCGTGAAAGTGAGGAGAAAAAAAATATTTTCTAATACATTTTTCCTATTTGATTCTTCAAGTTTCATTAGCTACCACAGTAGAAACAAAAAATCAAAATGGTACAATGCTTTGCTTGCCTGCTCTGCAGTGGACTGTCCCAGAGTTTGCACAGTGCAGGACCAGACCCTGTTGCAAGGCTGAGCTGGTTGCTGTCCTCTGTTCCCCAACAGATCTTCGATGCGGTGCTTCGCTCTCAGACTCCAACAAAGCATTAAAGATTGACCTCAATTCAAATGCAAACTGTGTCTGGCACATTCAGAGGAGTGATAATCAAACAATTAGGCTCATCTTCTCGTATTTCAAGTAAGTATCTCCTCCAGCTGTTCCTGTAGCATTTCATTCCATCAAAAAAATATTGCAATGTATCAGGCTGAATATCTTAATTTCATCTCAAGACATTGTAACCTCCAAATATTTATCTGTATTTGCTTCAGTAAAATGCTTACTGAGTTTGTGTACCCCAAGGAACCTGGATATTTATCTGTTCTGCTTGTGTTTGGTTTTTTAAATAGATTCAATCCTTCCTCAAGCTGTGAAACAGAAAATATTGAAGTCTATGATGGTCCCTCACCTAATTCACCTCTTCTTGGACAAGTATGTAACAACACTGACGCCGTCCCAGTGTTCCAGTCATCTTCAAACAGTCTGACTTTTCTCATTACAACAAACTCTGTGGATTTCACACGAAACTTCTTTGTCTTCTATTACTTCTTCTCACCAGAAACAGGTAAGCCGGAACTTAATGCAGTCATTAAACACCATTTAAGCTGTACCACTGAAGGAGAGCTTATAAGGCAAAGTTTCATCCAGTAAGTTCTCTGCATTTGTTCAATATATTCTTATTCTGAAGGAAAAATAATAATAATAATAACCAGCCCTAGCTCTCGACCAGTTCCTTTGTTCCTGTTGATCTGAGCGGCATGGTACACAACACCTGAAAGCTTCAACTGGAGAGAGAACTTGTCACATCCTTGCTTACACTGCTCCAGTGTTTAATTAACTCTGCTACTGGAAAAACACACCCTATGTTTACAGCCTGTGTTTTCTTTTTGAGTTTTCTGCTATCTTGATTTTATTCTGCCTTTGCCTATCAGTCAAACATGAAGACCTTGCACTTCCATGCAAACCATGACCAAGATTTCTCTAACCAAGTCATTCACGGTTTCTTTTGGTTGGTGCAATCTTCTCAGTATTCATTTTTCAGAGCACTAACTTACCCCAAAAGTGAATTCAATTCAGTTGTCCACAGTACCAAAGTCAACTCATCTACAGCTGTTTCAGTTTCCTTTACACGGTGCCTTGATACACATGTGCTAACAGGCTCCATTTTATAATGAATTATGAGCTGCCACCTGACCTGAAATTCCCCAAAATTTATAGAAATGTTATCTTTAGTGCCTTTATTCGTTTCTACAGGAATGGAATCCTAGCAAAGCAACCCTGCTGTACCTTTAGAATTTATTTTTTATGGCTCATTACACATACACCACTGTGTTAACCACTGTGTCTGCTCTTCCTTTCAGCAGTTGAAAACTGTGGGGGAAACTTGACTGGTCCCAGTGGGACATTTACCAGCCCCAACTACCCAGCAGCTTACCCTGAATTTACCTATTGTGTCTGGCACATACAGACTACAGAAAACTCGAAGATAAGCTTAGAATTTCAGGATTTGTTGTGAGTAGATATTTACTACACGCTTACTACGCACCATTACTCTTCTTTCATTGTGTTCAGAAGCATTACTTCAAATACAGCAAGCAAAAGTATTTGTAAGCTTATCTATAATATGCAAGATATTATGTAACGTGTGCATAATATGTGATATCTATAATATTATCTAAGACATGTAAGAATATCTATACACCTTGAAAACAAATGTGATTTGCTGACTTTTATGTTCAGGTAATCACAACACGTTCCAAATCCCTGTGTGCTACCCCTTAGCTGTTGCAGAGTCAGGCAGCAAGACAGGCAAGCAAGAAGAGGTGACTCTCCATCAGCTATCGTGGTTGATCTGAATTTAAATTCAACAGTTTTAACTCTTTTGCTACATAAAGCTCATGTTTTAAAACAGCATTTGTGGGTCATCCTGGCCCTCACTGCTTTTTATCAAGGTTGATCCCCTGTATCAGTGGGATGGCAGCATCGATTATGCATGGAGAAAAGCCTCAAGACTGAGGGAGTGTTCAGACTTCCCAGTACAATAATTATGTTTTTCTGTTTATAGCCTGGAACTAGATCAGCACTGCCAGTTTGATTTTCTGGCAGTCTACGACGGCCTCACCACTAACACTGGCCTAATTGGAAAAGTATGCGGTATTTCTCGGCCCACGTTTGAATCTTCTTCAAATGTCATGACAGTCGTGCTGTCTACAGACTATGCCAACTCCTACAGAGGGTTTTCTGCTCAATATACCAGCATTCTGCCAAGTCTCCCAGAGCCTGACAGTAAGTGTATTTGCTATGAGTGAGAATTTGCCTCTCATTTTCACATACGAATCTTCCCCTCCATGATAAAAGTCAAAAAGATCTGACAGTTGATCCTGAGGATTTCAGCCTTTATTGTGGCAGTCATTAACTCTTTTAAAGTACAAAAACCACATTAGTTTCTCCGATAGACTATAAGTTATTCCCTGATCTATCTTCAAAACAAAGCATGTTGTTCAGTCTTTCTGGTCCTCCTTCTGGACATCTCCACAGAAAATATGATTTTTCTCCTCCTTCGGGACACAATAGGAAATGTTGCCCTTCCAGAGATCTAAAGATAAGCTTTTTTTGACTCACTATATGTTTTTGTTTCCCAAGATATTCAGGAAATGATCCACACCAGTTGATAAAATGGGGGTTGAATGTTGCAATTTCCTTTACCCCGAGCTGGGGAATTTTCCTTATTGGTTCCTTATCGGTTGTTTGCATACCCATGTTCTCATTAACCAAGGTAGAAAGGGCAGCCTCTAAAACTTTGATGTCTGCCAGAAATCTGTTTCCTCTCCCCCATTCTGCAGTAGCACTTTGCTTCCTTTTCCCTTTTACAAATGCTGTAATTCATTACGTTACTGTGCTTAAAATTAAATTTTCAGCATGAGTTTTACATGATTTCCCTTGCCTAGCAAATTCTGGGAGCCGAGCACGAAATTCTAAGTGACCTCAGATGTGCGTAAGCCATTTCAGGGTCAGGTTCTGACAAATTAAGAACCATGCAACGGATTCGAGGGCGGGCCTTGAGCTGGACCAGGTGAGAAATAACTGCAGCACACTTTGTGGTAATCTATTTTTTTTAATTTCTCTCTCAATGGCAGCATCCCTTACATGCTCTTCAGACAGAATGACAATTGTTCTGAGCAAGGCTTACCTGGACTCCCTTGGCTATAATGAAACTCACCTGCAGCTCAATGACCCATCCTGCAGGCCAGTTACAACAGACCAAGTGATCTTGTCCTTTCCTTTAAACAGCTGTGAAACAACTAAGGAGGTAAAGAGGGGGAAAAAAGGACGTGTACAAGCCAACACTAGCTTGGGAATGACAGGGACTCATCAGAACAGTTTATGGATAGGATGAGAATGAAATAACAGCAGATTTACTTTCACATTGCTCACCCAATTACACATTTCCCGTCTTGAAGATGAAAGATATTTTTCTCTGGTAGCACCTAACGATCAACGAGGCTTTCAAAGGAAACCCAGGGTAATCTAAACAAATTAATTCCCAACATTTTTGTATTATATTTCATTCCTGCACAATGCAGTTATTCAGAAGTAACACAGTGTTTGGTATGTGGCTCCATTCTCTGCAAGTGATACAAGTCACGAGGAAAGAGAAAAGCCCTGTGACAGCAAGATTCCTAAGAGCTAGTTAACAGCATTGCTTAGACAAGAGTGACTGAACTGTAGCTTTGTTATTTTCCTCAACTCATGCAACATTCCTGCATGGCACAAATAGGAGTGAGAAGGCTGAATGTGGTTGTTTTGATTGCAACATACCTCCTATTGCAAAGGTATCTTGAGCCTCTGATAAGTGTGGCTGGGACACTTCAACACATTTGCACCTCTCCAGTCATGAAAATTGAGCATTTCACACGATTTCTTCTACAGGAGGAAGATCAGAGCATCACTTACACCAACATCATAACTCTCTCTGAAAGTGGCAACATCATCACCCGCAAAAAGACTGTCCAGATCGTTGCAAAATGCATAATGGAAAAGAATTCAACCCTAGAAGTCATTTATGTAACAGAAAACAATGTAATCCAGAACACAACCTCTGTGGGAATATACAACGTTAGCATGTCATTCTATGATTCTGATTCATTCTCCAACCCTGTACTTGAGTCCCCCTATTATGTAGACTTGAACCAAACTCTTTTTGTTCAAGTCAGCCTTCATTCCACTGACCCAGACCTTTTGGTGCTCATTGATACCTGCACAGCATCTCCACAGTCTGATTTTGGATCAATAACATATGACTTGATTAGAAGTGGGTAAGACCTTAAATTACTTTGATTGTCTCCTAGTACATGAGAAAATACAAACTGTATGTCAGCTGTAGTCCTTTTACCTTTGTCTCTTCTCCAACTGTTTTTAGCAGGCCGTGGTTGGAAGCTAAATTTGATAGAAAGTTAAAGGCAGTACATAAATGGAACCAGGAAAAACATATGCCCCATTGCACTGGGAGGTGGGGGGGAAGCACATCAGTGTATGCCCACATACTGGGGAAAAAAAAATAATAGTCCTAGTGAAATGCTCTGGGTTAGAGCTAATAGTAGTTGGCAAGAGTGACTACTGGATGTGGTCCACTTTAACAGCTCTCCAAATTCTGTTGCAGCTGTAACAAAGATGACACTGTGGTAACATATCCACCCCTGGAGCACTATGGAAGATTCAGATTTAATGCCTTCAGGTTCCTGAGGAGAGCTCCATCAGTTTATCTCCAGTGTGATGTTTTAATTTGTGACAGCAACAACGTGAACTCTCGCTGTACCGAAGGCTGTGTCTCCAGGCACAAGAGGGATACTTCTCCATTCACTTGGAAAACCAAGGCTGTAGTAGGTCCTATCCGCCTGAAACGAGACCGCAGGGCTGCTGAGCATCTAGGTAAGAAGGGCACGTGAATTAAGAACCAAGCTCTTCCTTTATGTAAATCCTTTACCTTCCTTCCACAAGTGAGGTGAGTTGCAGCAGTTGAGATCTAGCATGGTATCAGAGCAATGGGTTCAACAACTTTGCATTTTGTGTGAATGTAGAAGCACTTTTCAAACTGACAGCCCAATGGGCTTTTGCATTCAAGTCTTTAAAGCCAAAAAATAAGCACTTCTAGTTACAAAAGTAGCGTGAGCAGGACTTGACTATGTATTTGTAGAGTCAGGAAATGAGATTTCAGACTTTAAAATTTTGTGGCTTTTTTAATGAAGTAAACCTTAAGGAGTTCAGCTTATTTCTCCAAGTCATAAACCCACGCTAAAAAACAAATGCACCCCCAGGCGTGATCAGGCTTTGTTGTAACCTTTGTATCTTGTCATAGAACCAACTCTGAGAAATCTCCTTCCACTCGCTTTCACTTGTTTGTTAGTGCTACAGAAATGCTATGCCAGATGATGAACGTAAGAGACAGTGCTAGAGTAAATATCCTCTCACTGTATGCATGACCTACTGGGACAAAAAAATGGAACGAATGGCAATGGAGCAAAAAAATCCTCAGCACCACGCTTTAAAATGAGAGCTACAAAACTTTAAGACAGCTGAGATTTCCTGCCCCAATCCAACAACCTTCAGCACCAGTGCAGGTCAACATCTCAAAAAAATACCTGAGAAAATGCTTACTGAGTGTTATTGAAACGATGTGGTGCTCGACGCTTTAAGCACTCCACTGTCTTTTCTCTCTGTACAGAATCCCTCACTAGGACAGATGCTGAAGAAACCTCAAACCTACAAGACAGCTTCTACGCTCTTTCATTTGTGGTTTTGATTTCAAACGTTATCACTGTGGTAGCTGTGGCACTAAAATGTCACAATAAATGCCTATCGAGATATAGCTACCAAAAAATCCAAAGTTGATATTAACTGCTCTACAACGTTGTGAATTGGTAACAAATTTCTATTCAGATTTATCACTCAAAGAGGGGAGAATGGGAAAAATGAAGCAAATTAACAGTCCTGCAATGCAACAACGCTTGGAAACACGCTTCAATCTTTTTAATTATTTGAAAAAAGAATACAGATGAAAACCAGACTCCTCAACCTAGGGCTGCATCTTAAATCAGCATCATCATCTTAAATGAGTTGGAAGAATGCTACTGCCTATTCTAGGCTGTTTGTTCAGAAAACATTTCAAAAACTAACTTTAGATGTAATGTTACACATCTAAAGTAGGAGATGATTTAGGTCCTTATTAAAAAAGGAAAAAAAACCCACCCTGTTTTCAAGTCATTTTGAAACTGTACTTAGCATGAGTTAAACAGAGGGACAACCATGAGATAGCTGTTCTGCACAAACTATCCCACCTCTGCAATTGGCTTTTGTAGGTTGCTGATAGTTTTCAAGAGACATCAGTTTTCTTATACGTGTCTACTATGTGCCCCTTGTCAACACTTGCTGCCCCCAGTTTTTGCTCAAAGCATCTAAGATGCTGAATATAACCAATATCTGTCCAAGGTAGGAGGTCCATATACAATCATAGTTAAATGGTGCAGCCCGGATTTTGAAGAGCACTAAGCAGAGTGAAGTACAAAGATTGACCTTTCAATAAGGATGGACTTTGTGACATTTCTACCTCTTTAAATGACAACAGATCAGATACCAACAAGTTACAGTAAATACAAAGCAATAAGGCTACTTATAGTGGAAATGCTAAGTCATGGCCTGAAGCAGTGATTGAGCACCTGGTGGAAGGCAGGGCCAACCCTGGGCAGCTCAGGTGCATGCAATGCAGCTCAGTGACCAGAAGGGCTGGAGCCAGGATCCACCCTTTCCCAGACCTCATTTAAGGGCTGGCTGTAGAGGTGAGGGCATCTTCTGCCAGAGATCCCTGCCTAAACAAGGTCTTCAAAGGTAAGCAGCTTTTTTTCCTTCATTTCTGCATCCATGGCTGCTGCATTTGGGCTCATTTTCATTTGCTGTAGACAAAGACTTTGCCACGCTGCTATTATCATCCTATTACAGCATTAGACTACTTCTTTAAGTGCCAAAATGTAGCAGATCCTACCCAAGCACATCCTACCTGGCAAGAAGATCCCCTTGGAAAGGACCTGCATGGATCGTTCCTGCAGGGATCAATATCTTCAGGAAGAAAAGAGAGCAAAACAGTCTTGTTTTAGGGATCATTTGTGGAACCTACACTCCTAATGTGAGTGCCTGCAGAGCCAGCAAGGCTTTCAAAGGGCCCAGGTTGCAACTCCTCCCTCTCTATGCCTGATTCTTATACAGCTCAAATTAAGCAGTGCAGGTACTAACCTTCCTTTTACAAACAGAGAAATAAACAGCTTCATCAGGAGTCCCATTAAAATAAACCAAAACCACAAAGAAACCATGTTTCATTCTAGTGGGAACATGCTACATGTCATAAAGCAAGACAGAAGCAAAGGGAATTGACTACACATACATAAAGAGATATGCTGTAACTCAGTTTATTTAGTGTACTTCATTTTTTCCAAACAGACACTGGGAAGCCATGTTTTACATGGCTTTCAGCAAAGCTCCTTAAATAAATAAGCCACAAAAGGCATACAAAATTCTTATTTAGGAAAACCACTCATTCTTACGACCTTTCATAAAACTAACAACTGTGTACAACAGTGGAGAATTACAGTAACAAAATGCAAGTCATCAACACTGAGGTTCTCTGCGGTTATAACTCCATAAATATGAAGCTTTGTAAAGTGTAACTGCCCTTAAAAATACTTGCACTGGAGTTCCATATCTACGTATGTTTATCTCTCCCCATTAGAGAATCCCTCATTAGAGTCATAGTGTGCTTGTGAAATTTTGTTTTGCTTTGAGTTCTGAAGCAAGTCCATTAAGAGAACCATTCTATCATCTATGTGCGCCTGCAGAGCCTGGATTTGGCGATCGATGTAGTCTGTCAGTTTTTTCTCCATCAGATCCATGTTTTTGGAGATGATCTTCTCCAGATAGGAGCAAATAGGCTGTTGTTCTACTCTGTGAAAAGAGCAAGATAACAGTCAGTATAACCTTGTTTCTTGATGACAAGGAGCATGACAGTGATATGGATGCTGGAGTGTAAAATCTCATTTCTTAAGGCAATGAAGGTTTGATGGGATTTTTACCATAAGCAAAAACCTTGTCTGTCACACTTTATATGTGCAAATTTTATAATAAACAGAGGATGTAAATTCACCTTCTATTTTTTCTTTTTTTGAAGACTCAATTCTGCATTAGAAGACCTAGTTATAAGTAAGGAAATCCACATAGCTCAACAATATACACAAGAGTTCAAGTTTTGCCCACATGACAGGCTTTATTCTCTCCTAGCAAGCATTTCCAGAGTTACACACACAGTACACAATTCTTTATTTTTACGTGGTATTCTTTAAAAATACAGTACTGTCCCAGGACCTGGAGATGTCCAGGCTTTATTAGAACTCTGCTTCCTAGGCAACGCTCCTGCAGCTCACAGTTTCTCCTGTTGTTCTTCGGGTATCTATCAAACTAGCTGCACTGTTGGTACAAACAGTGAGAATAAAATGCTCGTGTTCTCATTTAAACTTGCTAATACACACAAGCTGCTAGCTAAGCAAGCACAAAGTTAACTTACCCAACAGTTTGAATGCCTTCTTCTTTAGTGGCCACGTTTTTATCAAGATGCTTCTCACCATCTTTTAGCCGAAGATGATTAACTTGACTACATAAGTTCTGAAGAAAAGGAAGAAGCATCTGTGGAGCAGCGACGTTCTGGATTCTGTCTGTTTGCTCCTGCATAAGCAAAGATCCCATAGCTTTAAAATCATTTCTGAGGTCAACTGTATTCTGCTGTGTATTAAGTTCTGTAGAGTTAGACGTATCCCTTCCTTCAGGAAGCTGTGCTTTCAGATCAGGATTTACGTTTTCACATCCTGTCTCACTTGTTGCAGGATTTCTGACAGACGAAGATTCACTGACTGACTGATGTAGTGATGTCTGAATGGCTGCACCGTGAAATCCATCCACTGGATGCTCGTTTCCAAAGTCTGAGCTCTTCCCAAACATCCAACTAAGTTTGTCTCCAAGAGGTAAACTGTTCTGCTGGTAAGAAAAAAGATGCGTTTAAATATTAAGTACTTAAATATACTGAAAGTGATACTGGAACAGCACCCATGATATATATTTAATTCCAAGGGATTACAGCATTCTACTAGTGTGGTATAATGACTTTATAAGTAGTTGTGAATTATATTCATAGGGAAAAGCATAGAAAAACTTTCCTTGCATGTACTATGTGTTCATTACTTCATGACATGCTTTTAATAACAATTAAGACAAACTAATCCATCTACTTACACCCCAAAGACAACAAGAAACATGTCCATCACCTAAGAAATCACAAGAAGTGACAAGTGACATGGACAAAAGGACAACAGGGCAACAGTGAAGCTGAAAATGACGACAGTGATACAACATGCTTAACTCTGATCTTCACATGACTCCTTGAGCACATGTTCTTAATCCACTGCATGCATTTCAGGGTAGCAACAGATAAGCCACGAAGGCTAGGTTAAAAACAACCAAAACTTTTTCCACCTAATCAGTTTAGAACATGCTTAACTGTCACAGAAGGCCAAGTCACAGAACAGCATTATTGATGTTTATGGAGCAGCACAGTCACTTACTTTCTGCTGATACCGGACCATGTCCATGAGTTGCTGAGCACCTGGAGACAACTTAGATCCCATAGATTCCATTATAGTTTGCACTCTGTCTAGATCTATGCTTGATCCTAGTGAAGGAAAATCAGTTGCTAGTTTTGCTGAAACTGTATTCAGTTGTACAATTATTTTACTGATGAGTACCCTTTGTTTCTCACCAATGGAGAGCAGCTAATGCAAGAAGGAAAAAAGGTATTTTGGTTAGGAAGAAAAAAAAAACACAATTCAACATTTTCTTTGTATGAATATGTTGGGAAGTTGATTTCTTTCTGGTTGTTACTCTTAGAAGAATTCTGACTGAACAGAAGGTGCTTGCAGGATTGAAAAATCAATCAATACTCTTCTCAGTACTTAAATACAGCAATAGCTGTATAGATTTTCCTAAGCTTATTTATCTGCATCACAGGGCTCCTATTACCAATGTACACACCTACAGTGGAGTTCATAGTTCTGACTATATAGTAACTGCAGATTGCCTATAATGTGTTTGATGTATGAAGGCTTTTCTCTATGAGGTTGCAACTTCCTCACATGCAACTTCATGAAAAGAAAATCGTGAAAGAAAACTACAAGAACTATTAAGATATACAACAACCAAATGATCTTAATTGGTTATGTGATTATGGTACAGAAATAACAGTAATCTGAGGAAGGATGATGCAATTTAGTCAATGAAATGATTAAAAAGACAATGAGAAGTTGTAGGTTTCCAGCTCCCTACCTTAATCCTACAAGAGGTCGCTGGGCATTCCAATTTCAGATACTTTTCGTATAAAGTCACAGTTTCAGTTTCACTGCAAAACAAAAGGAGAAATCTGTGACACCCAACCTATTTCCAAGGGAGTTTTAGCTTGATATTCCATGTGTGGGCACACTACAGGTCAGTGCAGCTCTGGGGGTTGGATGTATCACTCACACCGCCCCTGAGGCTCTGAGTCGGATGTTTTCGTTTAGCTAATTAAGCAGATGTGCCACACAACAGTTTAATGGGCACCTCAGTACAGAAAGGACATGGAGGTGCTGGAGCAGGTCCAAAGTTGGGCAACAAGGCTGGTAAAGGGCTTGGAGAATATGGCCTATGGGGAGAGACAGGAGGGACTGGGGCTGTTCAGTTTGGGGAAAAAGAGGCTGAGGGGAGACCTTACTGCTGTCTTCCAATATCTGAAAGGTGCCTACAGTGAGAGTGGGGTTGGTCTCTTCTCACTGGTGACAGGACGAGGGGAAATGGCCTCAAGCTGCACCAGGGTTATTTGAGGTTGGATATCAGGAAAAGCTTCTTTACAGAAAGGGTTGTTAAGCACTGGAATGGGCTGCACAGGGAGGTGGTTGAGTCACCATCCCTGGATGTGTTTAAAAACCGTTTGGATGTGGTGCTCAGGGATGTGATTTAGCAGACGGTTGTTAGGGTGGTATGGTTCGGTTGTGGTAGCGCTCGATGATCTCTAAGGTCTCTTCCAGCCCGAGGGACTCCGTGGTTCTACGACCAGCCCGCTCCCGGCTCAGGTTCCCGATGGACAGCCCGCAGCGCGCCGCTCCCCAGCCGCTCACTCACCCTGATGGCTGCAGGATGCCGGCGCTCACCCCCCGCCCGGTTCCGCAGTACTCCTCGCCCACGTACACCTCCATGTGCCGGGCCTCGCTCACCACGCCGACTGCCGCCACCCGCTCGGCGTCCGCCCGGCACTCCAGCTGCAGCACGCACGCCGCGTCCCCGCCGCCCGCCCGCCGCTCCAGCGCCACGGCCTCGCCGCTGAGGAGGGAAGCGCCACAGCCGCGTTACCCCGCCACGCCGGTTCCCCACCCCGGCCCTCCGCCGCCCCTCGCGAGGAGCTGACGGGAGGCCCCCCTTCCTCCTCCTCCCTCACCTCGCCTCATCGCGGCTCGCCTCGCGCCGCAGGCACAGCACCCGGTCCAGGCCGCCCGGCGGCGCGCAGGGCCACGAGCAGCCCACGGTCACGCCGGGCGGGGCAGGCGCAGAGCAGGGCGCGCCGCCGCTCGCCATCACCGCGCGCGGAGCCTGCCGGCCTCAGAGCGGCTGCGCGGGGCGGAGCTGCGCGCATGCGCGGGGCGGCGCTGAGGGCTCCTCAGTGCTGCGGGAGTTGAGTGAAGGGGTATGAAGTCGCTCAAGTTGGAAGAGACCTTAAAGATCATCCAGTGCAACCACACCGCCCTAACTCCAACGGCCCTCCGCTAAATCACGTCCCTGAGCACCACATCCAAACGGTTTTTAAACACATCCAGGGATGGTGACTCAATCACCCCCCTTCGCAGCCCGTTCCAATGCTTAACAACTATTCCTGTGAAGTTTTTCCTGATACCCAATCTAAAATAACCATAGCAGAGCAGCTCTTGGAGCAATGCAGCCCCTGTATTCCAGGCGGCGTGCTAATAGTAGGAAGGAGAGCATAAATAAAAGATCGGGTTCATTTAATTTGCAGTAGGATCCTGGCTTCTGGAGTCAGGGAGCGTTTCTCTTTCCGCTGTGCTGTGGATGAGAGCCCAGGGAGCTCGGATATCGAGTTCTTGGTGCTTCGGCTGAGGGAATTAGGTCTGTTAATTAGGGAGATTTGCACAGGCTTTATCCAGGACAATATGACAGCGCTGACATCTCTAATTTTTGTTTTGTTTTTGCACTTGAGCCTTTATTTTGCGTGACTGACCAGCGCTGGCTTCACTCTGCTTTAATTAAAATGAATTAAAATGAATTGCTCGATATAAATGTTTTAGTGTGAAAGCCTTGTTGTCTCAGTCTCCTGTTTGGGTTCCTAAAGGTGCTCAGCGCTTCCGAATTGCACTGCATTCATCTTTGGGAACGTTCACTGTCTGCTCTTGGTGATGATGCTGTCGCTCCGTGCCTTGGGAGATGATTCTGATCCTGGAAGAGCGATGGAATCCTCAACATTACAGACTTTTGGTGAGGAGAATTATCCTGTGTTCTGTACAGCTGTGGGATTTCCATGTGTTGATAAGCACTGCATTTTTCATATTTGTAGAGATAAAATAAAGGAAAACAACAAGCTGAAATTCCAGAGAGTACATTTTGCTCAGCTAGCAGCGACCAGTACAAATATCTCAAATATCAGATCCGTTGCTAGCAAGACTGGATGTTTTGAATCTCATATAACCTCACTGTGGTAACACTCAAAGCCCTTCAGAAGAAACCAGCTTGGTCCTGGCATGATGTGGCTGTCTGCCTCCAATCAGCATTTCAGAGAGCTGCTTTTTGTTTGCCTTAAGCTGCCTAACCAGTTTTCTTGCAAGCCTAATGGATGAACTTTTACTTCCCGTTTCCTTAGCAGAGATGAAGTATCAGAGCTTTTTCTGTTGTTTACCTCCAGAGCAGACGGTGCTCGTTCCGTGCAGAGCGGCTGAGAGCCAGGTACCGTGTCTGCAGGGAATCTAGTCATGCTAAGGCACGGCCTGTTTCTCCTCACTTTTGGACTGTCTTTAACTGGAAGCTCTTGTTGGATGACAGGTAAGCTTTTCGTTTCTGTTACGTATTCAGAAAGTTTACCCAGGAATTCTTGTACTCTCCAATTCCAACCAGAAACGTGCAGACCTTTCAAACCAAGGCATGACTGTCCTTAGGCATTAGGCTGTTAGCAGATCTCCTATCCAAGAAGCTCTGGCTTAGGGAAAATCCTGCAGTTTGAAGCTTCTTATAGCTTAGTTCTTTGTGATTTTTTTCCCCCATGACATAGTAGGTGTTTAAAAACATCTCCTTCCCCACATGACACCAGTTGTGATAATTGGCAGCTAGTGTCACTGATGGACACTGAAAAGTGGAGAAAAAGATTTGAAATGAAATTGAAGAATTGAAATTCCAGCAATGTTTTGTTTGATGTCCACATTAACTTCTTTACGTTGATGATTAGGATTCCGATTTTAGAAGTAGACGTAATGCCTGAAATATTTCTTAGAAAGTTATATGTTTATGACCAATTTTACAGGTGCTTTCTTGCTTTTCTTATAGAGTCATTATAGAATTATTTGAGTTGTAAGGGACCTTTTGGTGACTCTGGGGTCATCTGGCCCAACTTCCCTGCAGTGAATGGGGACACCCACAGCTCCATTGGATGCTCAGAGCCCCCTCCAGCCTGACCTTGGGGGTCTGCAGGGATGGAGCACCACCACCCCTCTTGGCAACCTCTGCCAGTGCCTCACCACCATCACTGTAAAAAAGCTTCCTTCCAGATGTCAACATTTGAATTGTGAGAACCGTACTTCTGCCCTTATCTCTACATGCACTTACAAAACAGAACAGATTTTATGATTTAATTAACAAAGTTATTATTTCAGATAAAAAGACAAAAGTAAAGAGGGAGCGCCAATATTATCTACAAGCCTGTTTTTGCTATTAGCAGCTTCCACATTTTGATGGTAACAGCAGTATTTAATGTTAATGATAGTATACCTGCACCTAGTTTTCAAAACTCCTGATGTTATCTAATAGGTAGAGATCATCATTACACTGAGGAGTCCTCCTCCTTGCTTTGAATTGGTGATTCATGATTGCCCTGTGGCTTCTTTGCAGTTAGTTTCCTTTCACAGAAACCGTGAGGCTGGGGTTAACTTTGCCCTACTACAAATGAGCAGGAATCTCTTTGTTTCCTCACAGGGGAACAATTTAAGAAATAGGTTGTTAAAGCCCACGTTGTTGTTGACTCTGTAACCTGTTTAAAAGCAACGGTTGTGTCTTTGTTGACCAAAAGAAACACTAAAACCACTTTAATGAACAGGCAGAAAAAAAAGGGAGGAGAAGTTCTCCCAATTTTCCAAAAGGTCGCTGGAGATGGTTTTTGCCTGTAACTGAAACTGGACGCTCAAGTGACTTCTTAGCTTTAGCTTCCTGAGTTGGGATGGTGTTCTGAAGACAACTCATAGTGTGTAAAACCTTTCACCAAAAAATACAGGAGAAACGTGAGCATAACTGAGCAAGCATCCATCAGCCACCCTTAGAGAGCCCTGCTGCCAACAGACACATCAGCACATTGCACATCCAGCAAGGTGATTTCACAAAACCTGAAGGAACTGAATGGTATTTGAGATGTCAAAATCTCACGCACGGTTAATTTTAACTGGCCAGCTGCCTTAAAACTTCCTAGAAGAGGGCAGATGGGTGGACAGAGAGGATAGATACTGACTTTTTCTGCAGTACATCAGGTTGAAAGCATCCGTCATGGGAAAAGAAAGTGTTTCAAAAAGGACAGACAAAGTTAATAGGTAAGGGTTAGAATATGGGAGATTTAGCTAATTTGGTAGCTTTTCTTTATGTCCTCTGGAAGACTGCAGCTGAAACCAGATTTTACCTCCTTTTGCATCAGTCTGGCCATTCCTGAGCTATTTATTCAAGGCATGCTCTGAATACAGGAGCTTTTTGTTTTGGTTAGATTTTTAGATTTTCTTTTACTCGGGATTTTGTGTGATGTTACAGCAGTGGGATTTTATTTTTTTTCATGCAATCATTTGTTTTCATAATGACTATATGAAAGAATGACCAAAACTTGAGTTACCATTTCAGTCTGTAATGTAAGTAACTAAGATACAGTTAGTCTATACACCCAGGAATGCAGAATACTTTGGCCATGAATGAAAACATTGATTTCTTTGACTTTCTCAGCATAACCCCAGAACTCAGGCAGAGATGGAACAAACCAAACTCAGCACAGGCAGTTTTGGTTTGGGTCCCATGCTGGTGGAACTCCTTTTTCTCCATTTATTGTCTGCTCAGAATTATTTTTCAGCTATCATCTCTGTCCTGGTGCCAACACCAAACATCACTTACCCTTTCTGATTCCTTAGGAATTTCATTTTTAGGTGCATATTCTGAAGAGGCATCCAGACTTTCTGCATTCGAAATCATTATTCCTCAAAGGTTGACAGGCAGAGAGAAACATCACCCATTTCTTCATGAGGTTTGTTGTTACTTTTGTTTCTAACGTTGCTGGTCTCGATGATCTCTAGAGGTCCCTTCCAACCCCTACAATTCTGTGATTCTGTTTTTCATAATATAGGCCTATATTGCAGGCATGCATACATACTTTATGTTTATGTTGATACAGATTAGATTCTTAAGTTTTCTTGAGTAGTTTTGAGTGAATTTGTTCCCACAGAGATCTAGGACTGCACTAGTCCTGCCTTATGAGACAGAAGTAGGAAGGAGACTGGGGAATATTTCATTCTTCAAGTCAGATTAGACACTGAACTTGAGCTAATGTCCATGCTGTGTATATTCTGTTGTACTTGGTACACAGTCTTTGAGAAAACATGAGATTTCAATCGTAGCACCTGAAGGGCAGATGCTCCCTTGGTACAAGTGGTCCCATACAATCCTACAGGTAAATGAATGAGTTAGAGAGATCTGAACCTTAATTCTTCCGCTCTGAGGTCATTTACCTTTACACCAGATACAGAGTTCAATTGTTGAAATAACTGATAATGAAATGGTTAGTCATCTCTGTGCAAACTGATTACCTGAGGAAGTGTTTGCATGTTGGTCAGCTGGCTGATGGTGATTTACATAAGGAGTGTCACAAAACTTGACGTGATGGTTCAGCAGAGTGCATGCATGGGCTGTGCCTTCCTTGGAAACTACCTCTGGCCACCTTCGTCTGCTCTGTGCCTGTTTCCTCTCCACCACATCCTCAGGAGCATCTGAGGATGCTGAGGTTCCTGAGACTGTAAAGCGATACAATGGACGCCTATGTTTAGCTTAATGAACACTTATTTTTTAGTTATTAATACCACAAATGGTAATTATTGACCTTTTTGTAGACAGCATATCTTCATTCCTTCTCCAGATCTCTAAAGGCAGACATACTTAATCTTCTGTGTAGTTTGTATGATTTTTCATTATGTCTTCTATATGATTATTTATAGCCTAGCAGAATTTGAACTTTCCATAGGAAAGAACGTAGAGCGTGGTGCTGAATCTTTTAAGTGCAGAAAGTGTGAGGGGTAGGAAATGTGTGTTTTGTGAATCAAGTGAATACGTCACACATACGTGGTAGTTGGAGCTCTGTTATCAAAGAGAGCATGGAACTGGCACACCCAGGTAAAAATTCACTGAATGATATTTCTGTTCTGTTTTCAGGAGCATTCAGATGACAGTCTTTCTTACTCCATTAAAACCAGAAATGGAACATACCTCCTAACACTGAAGAAAAATAAGTATGTTACAGAGTGCTCTAGGATATCACTCCATGTTTGAATGTGGTTGCATGCAGCCAAGTATTGTTACACAGAAGAAATCACTTTGAGGGCAGGCTGCCATAATTACAGAATATGTTCTATAGTGTCTCTGTTATGGTGCTGCCTCACAAGCACAAGGTAATATTTTTCTGTGCACAACTTGATTTCAATTAATTTATTATTAGCACCACACAGCAGTAGATTTCAGAAAATCCTGGAAAAGTAGAATTCATATCCATTTTTGGCAGGGAGGGTTGTTAGTAATGTTGGAGTTAAGATAAATTTGTCTGTTGTTCTTCGTTGTTTCTGAGTCAGTAACAGTCCAGGCCCTGATATAACATAGTCTGCTCAGGTCCTACTTTGTGGATATTTTAGTTAAACTACTTCAAAATAACACATTTTCCAAATAGCTCAGCTCATTCTGGAGGTATCTCTTTCATGTCTATGCAGTTTAGTAATAATATAAGAGGAGTATGCTGCTAACAATGTAGTACTTACTAGGATTTTTGATTTATTTCTTGCTTTATAGACCCTTAAAAGAGCAGTAGTTTGTTTTTGTTTGCAGAGACCTTGTTAGCAAAGACTTTATGCTGTATACCTATGGGAAAAATGGGAAACTGGAGGCAACACAATCAAAAAACAAGGTATTGCACATCTTAAATTTCCCCTTTCGGGTAAGAGCTTCCTCAAAGCAGAGAACCCAGGCTTTTTGAACTGAAGGCCTTATTAACAATTTGATAGAACTGAGAGCAGCAGCTAGGATATAGGTGCATCTATATGCATTTCAAAAGCAAAAGTGAATGTGTGTGACCATTCATTCTGAGTGTCTTTGTGTCTGTACAGTAGAACAATAAAAATTCTTTACATTTTTAGCAGTGGAAAGGGAAATGCAGGTATACCAATGAAGGGCGCCCATAGGAAAAAGAACTATATGCTGGGTGAGAGATTTTGTCAAGGTTTTCTGTTTATAGCATTAATGTTCATGTGATATAGAACAGAAGGTTTCATGTTTTATGAGGGAGCAGTCGTGTCCTTATACTTTTTCTGATGATACAGCCTCACTATTTTGTAAGGTGAGAAAGGAGGCACAGGAAATTATGCCAAGATTGAATTTGAGCTACCCAACTAGGTCACCTTTGCATAGTACACTGCTAAAGGTACAATGGCAGCATCAAAGCTCTGTAGTTTTGAGCAAACCTTCAGAATGCTTTTATGTTTAATTTCGGCCTTTACCTGCATGCTGGCTCAGTGAGACTGCTTTGTGCATGCAGAGCTTCTTGGATCAGCCTTGGAGAGGATTCTATGTGAGAACAAGATAAACAATAGAGACACAAAGAACTCATGAAAAGATGGTGACAGGTTAAATAAAAAAGCTCTCTATTTTCTAGAACCAGGGGACTAGATGCTGTAGTAGTTACTACTCATGGCAAGTAATATTTTACTCCCAAGAAATTTGGGATTATTTTAGAATATGGAACACTTTCAGTTTGCAAAAGTCAGCTATGACATCCTGCAAATAATAAGGCTGGTTACCAAATACGTTTGAATTTGAACACAGCAACCTTATTTTGTCATTAATTATGTGGCCTTGTTGCATTTCAGACACACTGTTATTACCATGGTGCTGTTGAAGGAATGGCTGACTCGGTGCTTGCTCTTAGCACGTGCGATGGCCTGAGGTATGACCTCTTGCTTTTTGCTTGGAGATAATTAACTGTACAGCACCACCAGTAAAAACAAAACAGAAGCCTTAGTATCCATCTTACTCACGGAAAGAAGCACCATCCTGTCTTGCAAAGATTTTTTACGTTTCACATCTTGATGAAGCTGAAACTCGATACAGTTTTTATTCTTTGTCTCCACTACTATTTATCACTTAAAATTCCTTCGGGGAGAAAGACAACACGAGGGAGAGCATGATCTAAATACATGTAGAACACAGGCATGAGCAAAGGCCTGTAATACTTGATACAAGTGCACAGAATATCCTGTCCATGGAAGGGACCCACAGGGATCACTGAGTCCAACTCCTGGCTCCATGCAGAGCAATCTAAGAGCTCAACTATATATCTAAGGTGTTGTTTGTTGCCAGGGAAGCCTGTTCCAGTGCTTGACCATCCACAACAGTTATGCTTTCCCAGTAATTGATTCAAGGAGCATATATTTCCATAAGATCAATATCTTCAATGAGTACTGTTTTTTCTTTTGAGATCCTGTTGGGCTTCTGAATTCACTCCCTATACTGAGATAATTTGAGATAATAATTTATGTTAAGATAGTGGCAAGAATAATTACGCTTTGAAGTGTTTATCTACTGTTCACTCCCCTAGTCATAATCACGAGAGAGAAATAATTCTTCATTCTTTTATGCTCATCAGAGGAATTATCTACATTGCTGGCAAATGGTATGGAATGGAGCCACTCAACACATCCAGAACGTTTGAACACAGGTTTTACCAGTTAGAAGACATGCAGCATATTCCTTTCCACTGTGGTGTGCTGAATGACAGCCTTCATCATGAGATGCAGATGTTTGCGAAGCAGTCTGTGAAATATGCAATTTCACTAAACAGTACCTCTAGTAGGGAAGAGCTTTTGAGGGTAAATACATTCCTGTTTCTCTCCTGAGGGCTACAGTCCAAACTATTTCCTCAGTCTGTTCCAGTAGCAAAGGGTGTGCAGAGCCTTGCTTTGGCATGGTATCACTGCAGGTGGGTTTGGCTGAGCACCTCCTGTTGCTCACGTTTTCGTGGACCCCAAACTGTTGGGAGTTCTGGTAAATTCTGAAAGAGAAGAATAGCACAATGGGAATCTAACATCACTTGAAGCAGTTCTTTAGCAGAGCTCAGCCCATGGGTGTATGGAAGGCATGAAGCTGCCATTCAGCTCATGCATCTCAAGGTCTGACCAAAAGTGAAGTGCTAACGTACTGATACTGGCGTGGAAATCTAAAGCTAACTTACATTTGAGGCCAGTTTAAAAATGCAAATTTCTTTATAAATACATTAAATGAAAAAGATGAGAAGGATGAGTTAAAAACCTTGAATCCACTAGGCAGCATTAACTTACTGTGCTTTCTAATTTGCAGAAGAAGCGAGCTGTCCTGCCACAGAAAAGCTATGTGGAATTATTTGTGGTTGTGGATAATCACAGGGTAATGACTCTGTAGAATGCTAAAAACCTTATGTTAAAATATTAACACTTTTCACTGACGTTTGCATGTGGCATCTTACAGTTTTTGCAGAAGAACTCTGATCCTGCTGCAGTGCAAAAGGAAACCGTTGAGCTGATTAATTATGTTGATGGGGTAGGTCTGTTCAGTCACCTATGTTCAGTAGCTTTTATATGTCTTAGTTTTCAGAAGAGAAAATAATTCAGTAAATCTGTTGCAGCTGTGTCCTGAGAGTGTATTTGGAAGTTATGTGGCAATTGGTGATATTAAGGCATGCTGCGTATCTGTGCACAGAACTTGTAGAGGTGCAGACCACAAACCTGAGGTCTGCAGCACTTTTTATGTTTCCAGGAAGAGTATTTCACTTGTTTGCAATTGTTTTTTCCTTAAGCAAACTGTCAGCATTGTGAACAATTCCATGAGGAATGCAGTGACATGCTCACAGTTTCTCCTCAGTGCATTTAGCTAAGAAAATAAATGAACATTATCTTTCCAATTTCACCTGAAAGATCTCTTTAAGCATATTCATGAGGTAGATTGCCTTCAGTCATGTATTTCTTAACATTAAACTAGATTGTAACTATTCAAATAAACTAAATTTATGTCTCAGTCACTGTTTGGCTTCATGTTAATGCAGCAGTAACGAAAAAATCTTTCATAACTCACTTGAACCAGACTGATGGATAGTCATCACCTTTTTTTCCCCCTTTCCAGATGTACAGTGCATTGAATATCCAGATTGTTTTGGTTGGATTAGAGATTTGGACAGATAAAAACCAAATCTCTGTAATGGAGGGTTCAGCTGGAGATGTACTGAGTAGATTTGTTTCTTGGAGACAGAAAGATCTTCTTAAGCGATCCAGAAATGATGTCAGCCATCTCATAATGTAAGTTTTTATTTAGTGGCAGAACTGGCCACACTGCCAGAGTTGCTAACATACGTGTGGGTTTTGTTTCATATCTGAATGAAAGTATAACTGGAAAACAATTCCCTCAACTTCCAAACAGCTTTAACCTGGCAAGAAAGAAATCAAGAAAATGTAATGAATATGGTTTGATCTTAGAGGCACTGATACAGCAGGCTTTGGCGACTGATCATTATTTCCAATCAGTGTTATCCCAATATTATTAGTTGAGACCATGATATCGTGCAACTTTCTTCTTGTCTTCAAGAAGACCAAATTATGCTTTGCAGTATTTGTTTCATCAGCGCCTTTTAGAAGCAACCTTAAACGTTCAGCTCCTCTTTCAACACCACCTTAAATTGCTTCTGTCACAGAGGGAGAGACTCTTACGGCGGATCCATCGGAATGGCTTTTGTGGGTACTGTCTGCTCACAGGTGCAGGGAGGGTCGATCAGCACTGTAAGTACATTCCATGGCTGACTGTGTTACTGTCACACTATGATCCTGTTAGAAGGAATAGAAAGGGCAGCAGAATTTAGCCCTGCCTGAAAATGAACGGTGGCAAACTGCCATTTCTTGCTGGTTTTGCTTTGCAACACAATTTTGTGTCTTTGTAGCCTCTAAGAAACCTGTGGCTTGAATAAGTGGGCAGGTAGAAATGTAGTACTTTACTTTCATAATTTTTAACACTGATTCTCTTTATTAGTTGAATCATAACAATGTGTTACGTCATGCTACAGTAGTTGCACATGAACTGGGACATAACCTTGGAATGAAACATGATGATAACAGGTGTCCTGCATCCTACATTATGTACAGCACAGATAAGTAAGATTTCCATTTAATTTAATGACTGTTATGTATCTGCACTGCCTAAGTCTTGTAAACTGAGAAGATTCCACGAGCACCAAGGAACTTTTGTGAATGAGAAGTCGTTTGAAGATTTTGATCATGGAGTGAATGTTTGGGCTTGATTTCATTTGCATTTATATGAATCGTTACCTATTTTCTGACCTAGTCAGAAGATATTGCAATCAGGCATTTTTGGACTCAGCACAAACGAAGGATTTTGGAAGCCTATTTTGTATAAGAATGTATAACCTGATGGGTATTTTTGGTTCTGAAAAAAGGAAAATCTCTTTTTATTTCTAAAAGTAATACAAAACAAAGTAAAAAGAGAATATTTCAAGATCTCTAACATCTGGAAACGTGACAGTATTTTATTGAATTGTCTTTTTTGCAAGGAAAATCTAATGAAAACATTGTGCTTTCCAGGGGATCCAGGAATTTCAGTTCCTGCAGTGCTGATGATTTTGAGAACCTTGTTCTAAATGGAGGAGGAAACTGCCTCAGAAATCCACCCAAAACAAGTAATGTTTACAAAGAGCCTGTCTGTGGTAACAACGTGATTGATAACAATGAAGAATGTGACTGTGGAAAGCCACAGGTAATGGAATTCAGCTGTGTACTTGTGTGTTGTACTTGCACACCTGATTTGTGTTAACGTCTGGGGAGCCTTTCTTTAAGTTCACATTTTTGCAAGCTGGATAAAGGTTTGTTTTAGAAAAAGCCTAAAATGATACAATCAGTTTTGGTAGGAACTCAGTTAAGGGCTGCTGGACTTGACAGAGCTTTGAGTCATTGCCTAACAGAGAAGTGCATTTCAGTGCACAACATGTGAAAATGCCATTGGTTTTTGTGCTGGTTTTAGCAAGGTAGAGATTTATGTAACAGAAAAGTGATCGCTAATTTGTGTAGCACTTACATGTTTCCTATCTGTAGCCCTCAAAATTAGCCCAAAGCACAATTACTTTGGTCATATTCACACTGTGAAAGTGTCTTTCTAAGAATGGGGCATATTGGCTCGTTCTTTGGTGTCTCCAGAAAGACACCAATAAATCAAAAGGCTGCCAGTAACCCCGTTGCATAAGTCTTCTTCTAAGCCAACAAAAGATATCAGCATTTCCCTACATCAAACTGCCAGTGTAGTGGGAAAATGAGACAGGGTGGGATATGTAGTGTTATTTTTAAAACAAACTGGTCTGCTTCTTTAGTGCCTGCCTGAAGTGGAAACCTATCTTATATTCCTATGGCATAGCCCATCAAAATAGGTGTTTTTCTGATGACTTCTAAAAAAAAACACAGCCAGACTGTATGTTGCTTTCTGTGAGAGGCTACCAGTCTCAGCATATGCAAGGCAGGCAGTGTATGCAATGCTTGGTTTGTCCATGCACATGGCTTGACCAGCTACATTCCTAGCTACACAAGGTAGAAAGATGGTGTTCCCTTCTTTCTGACTTTCTCAGGAATGCACCAACCCTTGCTGCAATGCTGCCACCTGCAAACTTACGTCTGGATCGCAGTGTGCACAGGGACTGTGCTGCAAAAACTGCAAGGTAGGCTTTGTCTGATTAAGCTGAACTGATATTCATTACTAGGCTGGCTTTCTTAGGAGGTGTTGGAAAAGAGTCCCATAGAATCTCTTGACATAGTTCCACATCAAACTACATTCACCAGCAGAGAGCATGGAGGTAGAGAATTTGTCTCTTGATGAGTTCTGAAGCTTAGAAATGGAATCTCATCTCTGTGTCATCCCTCACAGGAGGAAGAAGTAATCAGGGGATTCAGCAATAGTCATCTCCATTATGCAACTCCAGGCATCTGCACAGTCTCTGATTGTTGGCTACTTTTTAATTTGTGCTTGTGTGTGCATTTGTACGACCTACCCAACTCTTCTGCAAACTCAGCTCAAAAACTTTGTAGCTACGCCCTATGAACCTGAGGGAAGTTTGGAACTTTTTATTAGATGTTAATCAAAAAAAAAAACCCACCCTATTTTATCTTCTTTAAAATCTTCTTTAAAAACAGATTCTCAGCTGTCATTGTTTCATGTTTGAAGTCGTGCCGTTACGAAATAAAAGTGAGGCAGCATTCTTCTCCTGTTCCAGTTTAAAGCAGCAGGAACAGAATGCAGATCAAAAATGGATTTCTGTGATCTCCCTGAATACTGCAATGGAAGCTATGCCTACTGTCCAGACGATGTTTACATCATGAATGGTTACCCATGCAACAACATGGAAGCATATTGCTACTACGGAGTGTGTCAGAGCTTTGATTCACAGTGTGAAGCTATATATGGGAAAGGTAAGTTTATAATTTAATGTAAAAAGACTTGTAGTCTTCTAGAGACGTTTCATAGCTTGCTTTTTCTTTCTCATGTTTTTAAGACAGCGTGATGGCTTGCTAAGAATCTCTGTTTTTCATACAGGGGCACAAAAAGCACCTGATCTGTGCTTTGAAAAAGCCAATATTAAAGGAGATAGATTTGGAAACTGTGGAATGACAGGTGGAGTGTACAAGAAGTGTTCTGTTCAGTAAGTCAGTACTAAACAAAAGCCACCCCTAAGATCTCCAGTGTAAAATACACATTCTGTTATGTACTTGCAGAGCATAGAGGTTTAAGACAAGAGTATTTGTTTAAAATGCAGCCTACATTTGACTGGCTGGTGTATTTGCATTTATACTGGGGGTTTTTGGTGTGTTTTTTTGCTGTTCATCTTCTCTCCAAGTGCCATTTGTTCACTACAGGCACAGTCTGTGTGGCAAGCTCCAGTGCACTTCTGTTAGCCTTCAGAATCTTCCTGCTTGGAGTGTTGTCAATAATGCCTCTGGGGTTTTGTGCTGGTCCTCTGATTTTGACTTAGGATCAGATATCCCTGATCCTGCTCAAGTTCATGATGGAACAGCATGTGGAGAAAAGAAGGTAAGACAAATGTCAGCATATGTACACAATATATTGCCCCAGCTGGAAAGCTCTTAACTTTCAAAAGCATTCAATGGTTCACTTATGTATCTACCATAATGTCATTAAAAATCTGCTTGTTCAGATATATGCACACAATTAATTAGCTCTTAAAAACAACCTGTGGTGCTACAAATCAGTGAGCAATCTTATCAGTTACTCAAATTATTTCCATCAAGCTGCATCCATAGATTTAAGAAAATGTGAGATAAATACAGCTATAAGGCTGTTAAGGACTCAGTGTTCTGTATGCCAAGGCAAAGGGCTGATAAGCAAAAGCTGTAGACTTGAAAATGTTTATTATTATATAGTATATGTATAAAATGGATAGGATATGGGGGGAATGTTGCATTTAAAAGTCATTTTTTAAATACTTTCCCAGGCCTGTGTAGCTTTTGAGTGTGTGGATGCAAGTCATCTGGGCTACAGCTGCGATGTAAAGCAGAAGTGTAATGGCAATGGGGTGAGTAGATGGTGTTTTCATGCTCTACATCTTGAAGATAGCTACAGAATGCCTCTGTAAAAGCAACAGCCTGACAGATGGCTTTGCTTTATTCTGCTCTGTACTGAAAGTTAAATCCACGTTTTAATCCATAATTCACGTTAGCAGTACACTGTAAACACCTCAGCACTAACGTTGCAAGACACTTCTAAACATTTCTTCTGAATTTCCCTCGGGACTATTCGAATATTTCTGAGTTGTCAAACTGTAAGAGGAGAGTATTCCTCTGAGGAGGACAGGCTGGTGATTCAGGATGCAGATATTTCTCTGTGAAGAATGAAAATGGAGTCGGACAGTTTAGAACTGAGAAGTTCTTTCACTCAGCATTCTGGAATGTTGTGGAAGCAGTGAGCTTATGCTTCCTATGCTTCTGTGCAATACTATGCAATATTTCTTGTTCCCACCTGCAGTTCTTAATGTGTAACTTAAGATACACATCAGAGGTTGAAAGTGGCTGCTTCCAAAAAGCCTTTCCTTGACTAAACCCCTTTGCATTGGCTGCAGGTGTGCAACAACAATGGCAACTGCCACTGCAATTCTGGATGGGCGCCTCCGTTCTGTAACCAGTCAGGCTACGGTGGCAGCACTGACAGTGGTCCAGCTCACATGGGTATGATTCTGAAACTGCTTTCTTACTGCTTCCAGGGTCCCATTTAATTAATCTACTCATACAGGGTGGTTTTCTGTCTCTTTTCTAAGGCTTTTTTTCTTTTTTCTCTACTGCTCATTTGTGACTGCCTTGGAGAATGACCAGCATCTGATTTGTGATGTCTGCAGACCTACACAAATTGGTCCGAGGGAGAAGCTCCATTTTAGTTTTATCTGAGATAAAAAACAATACGCTCATTACTTAGAATTACTTGTACATTTTAAAACAGTTAGATGTTCTCAAATATTTAATTCCTAATTATTTTGAACCTGATAAACATGTATCACATAGTAAGGCTACAGCTTGAGTATGAAACCAGCAGCCTTTACATATGGAAAAGGTGTCACTGCAATGAGTGGGATGAAGGAGGTTCATGCTGCACCATCACTGCTCAGCTGAGAGCCATGAAATTATGCAAAGGGAAGAAGGAGTGAATTTTTCTGGCATTTACACTGAGAGACCAGGGAAAGCCTTTTACACCTGTGACTAAAAGGAGAATGTTGTATGTCATACAGCACAGGCTGAGTAAGGCAAGGACAATTTGTGATTACGGAAATGCAAATCCTAATTAGTAGTTTTGCTTTATAGCAACTTAAAGATGGCAATTCTTACCTCAGAAAGGTATTTTTAACTGCAAAATGCTTTCATATGAGGTGAAACAAGACAGCTGTCTTACACGATTGCTGTTATTTTTCTCCAGATACATCACTTCGGGACGGCCTGCTTATTTTTTTCTTCGTTGTGCTGCCAGTACTGATTGTGACTGTAATAGCAGTAATTAAGCGTGGCGCAATAAAGAGGAAGTTTTGCAGGAAAAGTAGAAGACATCACAGGTATGATCCTTATTACAAATGCATTTCAATGGCTGTGAGGGTGCTCTAAATCAATTTAGCAATCTAGTTAGACGCTCTGTGTAAAAAATACTACATAGCCCCCCAAAGAGAAAGACTGTCCTGCTATTGGTAAATGTGAGTACTTTCATACAGATGCTCTGATCGTGAGTTCTCATTGGTACTTGTAATTGTGTTCATGGGCACAGGGGCATGGAGCATGGGTGGTGAGGCACTGGAACAGGCTGCCCAAGGAGGCTGTGGATGCCCCATCCCTGCAGGCATTCAAGGCCAGGCTGGATGTGGCTCTGGGCAGCCTGGCCTGCTGGTTGGAGACCCTGCACAAGGCAGGAGGTTGGAAGCAGATGATCTTTGATGTCCTTTTCAACCCAGGCCATTCTATGATGATGAACATGGAAATTATTTGCCACATCCAGGAAGGGGTGAAGTCAGAAACATGAGATCTGTAACTGGGTCCCTTTGTAAGCATTCATCCCTTCATGCTGTCAATCCAAATGGGGATTTTCCTGAGGGTGTTGTTTTCCTTTCAGGGATAACAATGCACAGCAACCAAAGCAAAGCAACAGACCAACCCATACCACAAGAAATGATCAGGTAAGGCAGATGCACAGCTGTATTACTTCATGCTGAGTAATCCCAGTCATACAGTGCCTTCACCTAAGCCCCTTACTGATTACGTTGTGGTTTTATTGACACACGAAAGCCATCAGAGGCTGTTGGACAGGACAAAACACGCTGTCTGAAAGTTGCATAGCATTAGCTCTGTCGAGAATAGTGAGCTACGATTTGAAATGTGTTGCGCTAACCTGATTATCTGTGCCATCTCTCCTAGCCCACCACAGCAAGCCCTGATATTTTCACCATATCGCATTTTCCCGGTCCGAGGTTTGTATGACTTAAACGTTTGCTACAGGGGGCAAAATTCCTCCTTAGAAGTACGGCTTGTCTCGGTGCCGAAGCACTTCTCAAAGCTGTTCCCCCCCCTCCAGGCAGGCAGGACAAACGCGGTTTCCCGTGGTTCCTTCAGGACCTCATCGCCCTGCTGTCCCATCACCCCGACCCGCTGTGTGAGGAACTCCCTGGGCTACAACTGCTGCCAGGAACTGATAAGGAGAAGCACGAGGGCTGGCATCTCGCAGCCCTCCACGTGTGCATCCTTCCAGCAGCACGTACCGCTGGGAAAGACTCGGTGCCGAGAGACCCTGAGCACAGCCTTTGTATCACTGCCTTACTGTATTATTGCCTAAGAGCTGCTGGCTGCGTTTGTGCCTCTTCTACCTCACCCTTCTTTTTGTTTTTATTTCTTTCACGGAAAGCCTGAAGTCCAGCTGTGGTTGCTTTAAACCTGTGGCAGAACGGGGCTTCTCAGCGCGCAGCTTCAGCTGCTGGGGAGGAGAAGCGGATAGGGGTCATTTAACAGCCGTCCAGTTCCGTCCTGTGCGGGCAGCCCGCAGCTCCTTCGGGCCCCTTCGCCCCCTCCTGGAGGCAGAAACCCGCGGGGCAAAGCGCTTCCTGCAAGCAACGAGCTCCCTCGGGAGTCCTCAGAAGGCAGAATCGCACTAATGCAATGACTTAACGTACATCACCGGCACGATCTTGATTTCATGGCCGTGGAACGCAGCCCGCTGCCGTCGGGCGCCCGGCAGCTGCCGCACCGTTCGTCACTCTCCACTTCCCGAACCGCCGCCGTCGCGACGACCGCCGCTCCGCCAGGGGGCGCTCTCGCCGCGCGCCCGCTCTCCCATTGCGCCTGCGCAGGGCCGCCCCCTCGGGGAAGCGGCGTCTGAGCGCAGTGCGGCGGCGATGGAGCGGGCGGACGGCGGGCGCGTGGTGCTGTGCGTGCTGTGCGGGCTGCCGGCCGCCGGCAAGTCTACGCTGGCCCGCGCTCTGCGCCGCCAACTGCCGCTCCGCCAGGGCTGGGATTGCGCGCTGCTCGTCTACGACGACCTCATCCCGGAGGAGGCCCGGGGGCGGGGCGAGCCTCCGGACGGGGAGCCCCCATTGGTCAGTGCCGCTCTCCTTCCCGCCTTCCCATTGGCCGCGTCGCTCGCCCGCCGTTGCCGGGCTGCGAGGCGCAAACCCCGCTCCTCGCTCCGCCCCGCAGGACTCCGCCTGGAAGCGGCGGCGGCGGGAAGTGCTGCGGCTCCTGGAGCGCTTCTTGCGGGAGCTGCGCTCCGGCTCACCCCCGCCCGGCCCCGCCCCGCCCGCCTGGGGCCGCTTCCTGAGCTGCTGCGCCGAGCAGGGGCCGCTCCCGGGGCGGGACGGAGGCGGTGCCGCGGTCCGCCCGCTGTGCGTCGTCCTGGATGACAACTTCTACTACCGCAGCATGCGATACGAGGTGTTCCAGCTGGCTCGCGAGTGTAATTCGTGCTCCGCTCCTCCTGCCGCACGCGGCCGGGCGTGGGTCGAGCGGGGCGTCCTGCTTCGTGTCGGCCGGTGGCAGCGGGGTGGCGCTGGGGGGATGGCAGGAGGGTTCGACCTTCCCGGCAGGGCAGCCTTTGCCGCCCGTCTACACGTGTACCGGTGCAGCGCACAGGCTCTGGTTGGTCGCAGAGCTGACGGTGGCTGCGTTGAAAAAACACTGTTTTGTAGGCGAGAGTTTGCTCTGTCAAACCGTGTTGTCGTGCCCTTTATACCTGTTGTAGTTTCCGTGGAAATAAACAGGAGGCGCTACTTTTGGAGCGAGCAGCATAGGAGCTGCTGGGTCTCACGCTGCCGTTCCCGGTGTGCCGCCCTCAGAACTGGGCTCCTTCATCCGGAGGATCAGCACTCTTGCACGGCCTCGTCCAGACAGCTGTCCATTGCATCCCTGCAGATTCCCTGGGCTTCTGCCAGCTCTTTCTGGAATGCCCCCTGGAGCTGTGCCTGCAGAGGAACAGCCTGCGGGGCAGCCCGGTGCCCGAGGGGACGATCTGCCGTATGGCACAGAGAATGGAGCTGCCAGAGCCTGAGAAGAACCCCTGGGAGCAGAACAGCCTCATCCTGAGCTGCTCTGCGTGCACCTCAGAGGAGCAGTGTGATGCCGGGCTGATGGAGGCTTTCCAGTGAGTTCTGTTTGCACATAGGGGCGGTTGAAGCTTGTCGTCGTTTCATATCATTAAGCTGTGAGAGTGGTGGAACTGCCACCTGTGGATGCCCCGTCCCTGGAGGTGTTCAAGGCCAGGTTGGATGGGGCCCTGGGCAGCCTGGTCTAGGATTAAATGTGGAGGTTGGTGGCCCTGCATGTGACAGAGGGTTGGAGCTTGATGATCCTTGAGGTCCCGTCCAATCCAAGACATTCTATGATCTGACTTCTCTATAACTATTATCTCACTGACTGTCTCATAAATTTAACTGGAAATGGGGGTTTTCTGTCATGAGCTATCATGACAAAATGAAAGATGCATTTCTGTTGAGACTGTTGGATTAATGCATTTCTCTAATCTTTGTTTCCTTAGCGTGCAGATAATTAATTTGCTGGGCGCTGCTTTGCAAAATCCCGTGAAGCAAAACAAGGAAGACACCGAGCAGAAGGTAGAGTGCTGTGTTTTAAAATCTATAGCTCTTTCAGATGATAGGGAATTAATTTCTTCTGGAATTGTGCTCACAACACCACAGTGACAAAAATTCAAAGAGTTCTATTGCGGTTCTGGGTGGCAAAAGCATGCACACGGAGGCTGATCTATTTGAAGAGGAGAAGGAGCAGACGTGCACTGCGCTGGGCACTGAGGTGGTGCTCACATTTCTCCCCGTTGGAGAATGAGTACTTCAAAGGCTGATCATAATGTGAACGAATTCTCATCTGTTTGCACGTTTCTCCCTGTCTGTTGGTCCTTTTGGATAGGAAGCAGATCGAGCGATCTGTGCAGCCAGTGCTGTCCATCAAGCTGATCAGACGTGCAGACGAATCATCTCTCAAACTATGAAGGAGGCAAAAGGTACGTGAGGCACAGCTGAGGTGGAGCACAGCCAAGGTGTTAGCTGGCACCGTGAGGTTAACCTGTGGAATCCCTTGGGATTAATTGGATTCCCAACCCTGCAGCTGTGACCAAGGCAGTGTCCTTCAGAAGCCTTGCCAGAATTATTGAACAACACGAGCCGAAGTTATGGTAAATGTTAGCTTCTAAAATGAGCATAACATGGCAACTTGAATTTTCTTTAAGATAAGAACGTGCTCCCAAGTGAGATGAAAAGCCTGGCAGAAGAACTCAACAAACTCAAGGCAGAACTTTTGGAAGATCTGCGGCATGGAAGTCATGTGGGAAACGAATCTGGCCAACAAAATCCCACTACTGACCCTGCTACCAGTATGCTTTCTTCATTCCAACTTGAGGCAACCAATATAGTTAATAAATACATTCTAAAGTAATAATACAGAGAATGTTGGGTTGCTTTGAAGAGTAAAGAGCGTTAAAAACGTAACGCTGCTTTAGCAGTACTGCTGAAGACACCTGAGAGTGACAGCTTCCTTCTCAGGGCTCAGCCACCTCTAACTCCTGCTCCTGGTTTATGGAACAGGGATGCTGTAGAGCACAGCAGCCTGGGAGGAATGCCTGGAAGTCATCAAGTTCCACTTCCCTCTTGCAGTGGGACCAACATCGGGCTGGCCTGGCTTTCCCAGAACCTCATCCAGCTGAGGTTTCAAAGAGCACCTTGAATGGCAGCCTGTTCAGCTCTGTTCCCAACAGGTAGCTGAGCATTTGCACAGCTCTTTTGTGCCTGACAGGGTGTAAAAGCAGTAAGTGAGATGGCATTTAGCACGTTGAGTGATAGGTTGACAATAAATGAACTGCAGCATCCAAAGTCAGGATACAGACAGTTGTGCTCCATTCAAGTGCTGTCTCAGTTTCCCAAGTCCAATTTTTAGGTCAGGCTCTTGGCCCCTCTACAGCAACACCATAAAGGAAAAGATTTGAAACACCTTAAATTGAGATTCAGAGCTGCAGGCACACATGAATGCAGGTTGGAATAACTTGGATGTCCAGAGGAGCTTAAAAGTTGGTGCTGCCTTCAAGGCTGTTAAAAGATAATCGTTTAGCCTCTGTGCATAGGGACATCCACCTTAGGGTGACGAAAGGCTTGATCTCACCTTCCATACCTTACCTAAAGCACACCTAGGCATGAGCAGCTCACCAGCTGATCCACGTGCAATTGAAAGATGAATCGCTGTAAGGCTTAATTAGAAAGTATTATTTTATTCTTACCTTACAAAAGCAAAGCTCCACAACATGAACTACACTAGATATAGTCGAGTTATTTCAGAATTAACCCTGTCTTCTGAGAACATCCACTACACAGTAAAATTTACTTTACAGTTCTAATGGATTTCATTTTTGCATACAAAATATGCTCTTTACATTGAAATACATATTATTAACAAAGCAGGTACTTAGAAGCACATACACAAAGATTGCTCAATGAAAAATGCTTCAGCAGGGTATATATTTTCCTGCACCAAAACATCCGTTTGCTGTAGATTCTCAAAGAAGTTGAAAATTAATAGAAAACTTGCCAGTGAAAACTTCTAAATTACATTCCCATCGTCCAAAGAAACAAAAAGCAAAGAAGCAAACCCCAAAAACATCCTGGAACAGAAATACAACAGATCATTTTGCTAGGAAACAGTGGCACGCACCTTTATGTTAAAATGCCAATTAAAGTTTGATGTCAAAATTAACTTTATCTAAACATTATATCTGTGACAAACCAACTATTACTACTCTCTGTTGGCTGTTTTACAGTTGGCTTAAGCATTAACTGAGATGATCTACCAAGATCTTCACGCTTGCTGGAATACCTCTCAAAGCACTGAGTCTGTATGAAGAGTGCTATAAATAATGCATGTTCAGATCATCAACAAATCTGTAAAATAAGCTATCACAATACAAACAAACAAAAGAAAACCATTAACTTAATGTTTTGCAACTACAGAAGTTACCAGAGTCAAGGTATGGGGGAAAAAATAGATCAGCTCGTTCCTAAACTTCCCTGTGAATATGAGGTCAGGTGCTCATCACCACCTTGCAATACAAAGGTTTTCATAAAGAAAAGCCAGTGCAGCCCATGGAGAAGCCAATGTGGAAAGGCTCACTAGCCAAGGTCTTGATCCCGTGGTTCCTTAAGGGAATCCCTTGCTGACTGAACGGGTAAGGCCTGCTTGTGCATGGCAACTGTCAGGATCGTCATCCATCTTCCAGAATTAGTTCTGTTCTTTAAATTATAGTAAACAATATGTACAACAAAACCAACAGGAAAACACGCCTTCCAAAGCTACTCAGTAGTCAGAAGGAGCTAGTTATAGTCAGGGAACTGTTTGGCACAACAGAACACAGCATTACATTGGGCCCCTTTCAGTGAGGTCACGCAGGCTCCCTCTTGCTACCAGCTGCTTCTCATAGCAACCTTACTGCTCTACCTGCAGTTACATGCAGGGCAATTATGGTTCAGAAGTCACTGCACTTGATAGGAAGTCCATACTGCTTATAGGCACTGCTGAAGAAACAATATAAAGAACAGAACACAACCACAGCAATCCCTCTGGTGTCAAAGACTGGAGCCACAAACCAAACTCAGCTGTTGTAACCTAGTAACTCACAGCTGGAGGGTATTCCTTACAGCAGTGCAAACCTGGAAGTCTCCTTGCAGCAGCCAGAGCCTAGCAATTAAAGCCTGCACCACGTATCAAAAGGTAAGAAAAAGATTAGTAATTGTAATGGTCTTTCATATTTGTGGTTCTAATAGTGTGTAATTTAGCCACCTCTGTGTGTCACCTCGGTACTGTTCTGTGACTGGCAAGGCCACGTCACACAGCCTGTACAGGAGCAATACCTTCCACGTGGATTCCAGTTCAGTCAACTTCACCATAGCCTTCAAAATACAAAAGGACACACAGGTGGGTGGCTCCAGGTCCTCTGCATGCAGTTCATGCAAAGAGCTGCTGTTTTGCTTCTGAAACTTTATAAAGTGAGAAAGGGACATCGGAGGATTATAATGAGTGCCATATGAAAAACGGAAATGATATTCTCAGTTATACCAACTCACTAAAACGCATTTGAAACCAAGCCTGAAACCAAAACAGTGGATGAATTGGGTAAGTGTATTCAGTTCCTAGATTTCTAATTCGTTCAAGTGAAAATCACCTCTGGTGCCAAAATTGTCAGGTTCTTTTTCCCTGCATATTCTTCTTAAACAGAAGTCCTTGTAAGCTTTAGCTCCCATGGCAATACAGATCTGAATAACCAAACAGTCACTGTTCAGATTGCTGACACTGATTTCCAGAACACAAAATCTTCCTACTTTTGACAAAACATTTTCTGCCATATGTTGCTGATAGGAAAGAGGGAATACATATAAAAGAAGCTTTAATTTGTCTCCAGTAAGACAAACTAAGATAAAAGTGCACGTCTAAGTATGGTAAAAGTAATGGTTCTTCAATTTCTGAAGCATTACAAATTCCTGTGTAACATATCAAGAGCTTTTATTAGTTCTACTAGGATGTTTCATATAAGTTCCTATTAAAGTGCCTGTCCATTAGTCTAGGTGCTTCTAAAGTAACATGTAAAGGATTAAATAAACATGTGCAATGGACTTCATGTACATCCTTGTGTACGTATGCTATTCATCACAATGAATTCAATGTAGCCAGCCAGTGCTTCATTGCCTGCCTACTACATGAATACTTAAAAAAACCCAACAAAACAAACCCGACCCCACCACAAACACACCCTCAGCTCTTCTCTGTACTTCCAGCACAACAAATGTTGGGGATGGATGCCAGACAAACTGACTTCCAAGTTAGCCAAAGCTTACAATAACGTGATTACACAGCTTTCAAACAGAAAGGCAACCTACCAGCTGTCGCCCGGCCCAAGATAAAACTGAGTATCAGATTCAGCTCATAGACCTCTCCTTTCCATTAGAACTTCCATCAGCCAGACAGAAGTCTAGTTGTGCAAATTTTAAAGATGTGTACAAATGGATTTAAGGCAGTTAACACTGATCTGTGCTAGTACTACAAGAATTGCCTCCTTTTAACATGGATACAATTTTGCTAAGTGTACTTTGCAGTTTCAAATAAGGTGTCAAGTTTATTCCTTCTTTTTATAGGCAGTGAATGATTGGCTCTTAACTTTATTTTCCTACCAGAGTTTCACTCACAATCATCTTTCATCTTCTAGTTTCATGGTGAATCTTAACAATAATAGTTAAATTAGTGTTTTGAGTTTGGGTTATTGTAAGCAAAAACATAATAATCTCATCAGATTAAAGTGAGCTTTAAAGTCAAATTCAATTTGTATGTGAAAGTTGCTTCTGTCTGTGTTTTAACCTTGATAGTAGCTGTTTTTAAGGATAAGTCTCCAAAGCAACCACATCTGTCCCTGCAGTAACCTTTCATAGTTTATGCCTAACATATTTTATCCTATCTAACAAATCTGATGACTGTATTCTACGTGTCAGGACACTCTGTTTCTGCATCTGTAATATTTATGGGGATTTTAAGAGCAAGCAACTGAAATTTCGCAACCAAAACATCTTAATAAATTCCAATTGTTATAATACTTTCAGTGGGTTGATTTCTCTTTTTTTTTTCTTCTTCTTTTTTCCCCTCCTTTTAAAGGCTACATATAAAACAACCACCACACCTTATACAAAATTTCCCTGGCAAGTTTCATGACAACACAGAAATAAATTTGCCTTCTTTGTCCAATAGTTCAACGCAAATTTTCCTTATGGGAATGTGCAAGCTTTCCTTCAGGAAGTATGAAAAATATATTGCAATATGTTAAAAAACTAAAAGAAAGCACGTTCTCAATGTTGGCTATGTTGACCTCTCGCAAAATGGCAAGCAAAGTCATACTTGTTTTTACACTTGCACCCACATATGTTGCACTGAAAAGGATTCTCAAACCCATGACATCCCATGTGAATGGTGTAAAGGATATTGTCCGCAAAATACATGTCACAGTGCTGGCAGTGATGCAGAAGCTGGGGGTCCTGAACAGGAAGGGTGGGAGCTGGAGTGCTTGGCTGGCTGTTACTTATGCTGGGAGTACTGGTGTGGGCGCTGCGCTCGCTGCTCGGCCCCGCCACCGGGCTGTAGTTCCTTTGGTTGTGTGCAGGCCGAGGATCCGGGCTGGTTGGAGATGAACTCTGAGCAATGCTTGCTGACACAGAGGAAACTACAGCGGGCGTAGCAGGCTGCTGCATCATGAAAGGCTTTTCGTCTTGGCAGGTAACAACATCAGGAGAGCATCCTCTCTCGTTTTGGTTTTCGGGTGGCAAGCTGGACAACTGTCCAGCTAACGTAGAGAGCTGGTTTAAAGGATTATCGACCATGAGGTCTTGTGGATCTCTTGGCAACCCACCGGTCTGGGATGACTTAGTCATATTCTCATAAGCTTCAGTCTGGATATTTGGGATTTCATGAGTGAAATCATTCAGGTAGTCTGGTTTGTGAACCACCATAGAAGGAGGGCTCAAATTAATTAACGCTCTTCTGCTGTACCCCAAGTTGCTGGTCTTCTTCTGCAGAACCCCCCACATTTTCTTGCTACTCAGGGAAGACCTCGTACCCTTGATAGGCACCATTTTATGTTTACGCCTCCGGTGGTGAGATAAGTTGCTTCTGTCACTGCAGCGGAAGGAACACAACTCACATTTGTATGGTTTCTCACCAGTATGTGATCGCATGTGAGCTTCCAGATGACGTTCGTAAGCGGACGCAAAGGGACACAAATGGCATCTGTGTGGCTTCTCACCTGGAAAATTAAAAAAGATACTGTGGCATCTCACAGGAAAAGTCTTTTCATGGAAACAGCTGTGTGCTGCTCACCAAAGGGCTCAAATTCAGCTTCAGAGTTGTTGCTAGTCTTGAGATTAGCTGGATGTTTGGTGGAATAGCAGAGTAAAGTTACACATGTCTGCCTCTCCTAAGTGAGTGAGCATCAGAAACAACGTGAGCACAACTAGCACAGCCAATAGCCTGAGAATTGCAGCAATGATGCCAAGAACCAAATGCAGTGATGTCCGTGCGGTGCTCTCGTTAGATCCAAAATCTACCTCCTCTCTAAAGCATGCAATCAGTTGGCTGCAGTAATGTCTCACTGTTCTTTTAACATCGAGGAAAGGCATTCTTTTGACATCTTCTGCACAATTCTCACTTTTAAACATCTTGGAATTATTATCCAAGTAACCCATGCACACATACATGTACTCGAGAACTGAATTTTCAAGAAGAATTCTGTGGCTAAAGAGTTACTGAAGAAAACTAAATCCAGCTAACCACCAGACAACTGCTCTCTCAGACATGGTAGTCAGGTACTGTCCTTTCTGACAGCTTGAACTTCATTCTTCTACTAGATGACATTTCCCACTAACGCTTCTGTAGTTGTGTTTTCAAACACAGCTCTTTGAAAGCTTTCAAACAACTCCATGTGTTACCTCTGTAACATCATACTGGGGTTCTCAATCCTCCTTTCACAGATTGATATCTTAGGAGTTTTTGCATTCCATGTGTGGATGGTTAGAAATGCCTTTGGTGTGATTTGATGCATGTCCAGGTGCTGACATGCCACATCCCTTACCTTCCACATGCTTACCTTCCTACCTAGAATGATATGCCAATTTCTAAACTGCTTTTGAGCAACTTCTGTTGCAAAATGTTTTGCAAACTGCAAAACAGAAGAGTGTGATCCTTCTCTTCAGCCTTTAAGTTCTTTTGAAGCATTCTCTATCGTTGTGAAAACAGGCCAACAGAACTGCTTTGTGGCTTTCAAAATCCATTATCTACAACAACAACAAAAACCAGATGTCTGAATGCAGTCAGGGCTACTGATAATGTGCAAGCACTGCACAGGACACACAAGGTGTCACATGACTAATAGTCACACAGCCCTTCCCATGGCAAAGTTAATGCAGTTCTTATTTCACTCTAAACTGGTGACACAGAAAAAGATCTGCATGTCGTGTTGCAAACCCTTAAACACAGCACAGCCAGTAAACCACTGACAGCACTGCTATTAAGACCCAGTATGAATTTTATTCAGAGTAAATTGCACTTAATAACAGTCGTATGGTCATGCCTGTGCCATAATTGCTTTGGTAGATACTTGCTGCACTTGCACATTATCCAGGACGCATCATCTGTTTGCTTACATCTCTCTGAGCTAAAGGTCAGCTCCCAGTTCCCTATTGCAATGCTGGCCCTCTCTGAGCTTTCATAGTCATGCAATCCATGTCTTAGCCCTTTGCCACACTTCCTCCCCATGCTTCTGAGCACAATAAAACAGAGGCCTTGGATCAAATTGCCTTTAAGTAGGACAGTTTCCTTGATCAAACGAGTCATGCATTTACTCTCCAGTTCTGGCAACATTTGCAAATGCACTGAGAACAGTCACCTGTCACATAAAGCTCTGCTCTTCCAGCATTTCCCAAAACTTGAAGACAGAGCAAAGATTTTATTTGAAACAAAGAAGGCATATGAAGAACTGATGGTTTTATGCGTTGTGGGCAACTTACCATCCTGAAGTTCAGGTCTGAGGTGATGCTGATAATATTACATGCTACAGCCATGAGAAACAAGTCTGAATGTTAGCCAAGGCACAAACCCTAAGTGTCACACTTCTCCCCAGAGAGGACCTTCCTGTTTGCAGATGGTACACAGTCCTCAGAAGGCTTGGTTTTGAATAATTACCAGTGGGTCAGAAATTTTGATGACGTTTCTCAGCACTTCAGCTTTCAAATGGAATTCATCTTGTTTTCGTATACTACAACTGTACTGAAAAGGTCATAATCTATAGCAGATATTGTTTTGCTAGCTCAAGCCACCAAATGACTTCTGTTCCATAAAGCAGCAGCAGGATAAGGCATTTGGAGAACACAAAAGAGCTGTTAAGAGCTAAGAGTATAGGAGAACACAGACAACTTTCTATAGTAAGGGAAGGAATACTGACACTGTACTGTTAGCCACGTTCTCACACTTGAAGAAGCAAAGCTTCATTTTTGTTTTGTGGTACAAGAAAGATTTACAACACTTGATATTAAGTAACAATACATTGTTCCAGCCATTCTCTTTGAGGCTCCCCATGCACACAAAGCCAAAGACATCTCAGGAATCAGCAAACAAACAATACCACCACCAACAACAACAACAAAAAAGCAGGTTATCTGCCGAGTAACTCAAAGAAATATCACACTGCTTGAAGATGACAGCTGCTCATATGCAAAACGTAACACTGAGTGCACACCACAGTGCCTCACTGTGAAGTACTGTAGAATATTTCATACCTGTATGAATTCTGATATGCTCTATCAGCCTTGCTGTTCCTTTGCTGGCATAGTTGCAGTAGCGACACTTCAATTTTCCATCAAATGTCCTTTCAAATCCATCCACTAACATTCCTGAGTTTTCATCCAGTGAAACTTCAACAGAAGGATGATCCAGCCCATTCTGATCACCTTCAGTCCCAGCTGTGAAGAATGCAACAGGCGTTTCAATAGACAATCTCTGAGATAACAGCTGTTGTGCTGTGAGATATGCCAAGTATCTCTGCTTCCATACGCCCTTGCTCATTAAACACACAGAACTATCAGAACAAACCCTAATAAAGATAAGGGTACACATACATCCTCTGTGATGTAAAAACTACTACTAGAAGTGCTTCCACATAATGGGAGTAGTGTGCATAATTATCCAGAATGTAGACTGTGCAGTCATTTCCCAGAATCCAAAATGCTGATAGGACTGAAGTTAGCTTACCTCCCTGAAGAGTCTCTGCTTCCTTGTCTCCACTAACAGATCCAGAAATCATATTCACATGGTGAGTCTGCTGTGTAAGGTATTCCTGAAAATCTTTTACAAAGTCCAAAGGTTCTGGCTTCTTTTCACCCATATTCCCTCTTTAAGTTTACAACCTCTTGTGCCTAGAAGGAAAAATATGTTCAAATCACAAGTTCCACTGCATTTAAAAGCATTCATAAAACCAAGCTTTTTAGAGTGAGGGACTATTTTTATCGTGTATCATGTCTAAATACATGAACTGACAACCACAATTTCAGGATCTTAATAATCAAGATCATTAAGTAAGTATTAGTATGAAAATCATCTGCAGAAACAGGAAGATAAGGACTACATAAGAGCAGGTGAAATGACATCATCAAAATCATCAAGAGACTGCAGGTCCCAGCTCGGCAACACAAGCAACTCCCATCACGACCTACCTCAGTTTAATTATTATTAACCATCTTGATGAGGGGATTGAGTGCACTATCAGTGAGTTTGCAGACTGCACCAAGTTGGGAGGGAGTGCTGATCTGCCTGAGGGGAGAAAGGCACTACAGAGGGACCTGGATAGACTGGATCGATGGGCCAAGGTTAACTGTGTGAATTTCAAAAGGGCCAAGTGTTGGGGCCTGCATTTTGGTGCAACAACCTGGGAAACCCTACAGGCTTGGGGAGGAGTGGCTGACAGAGGTCTGACAGAAAGGGACCTTGGTGTGCTGATGGACAGTACTGAGTATGAGCCCAGGTGGCCGAGAAGGCCAATGGCATCCTGGCTTGG